TCTGGGTTCGAGTCCCGGATCAGGCCAAATATAGATATTAGGTTTTTTGTCAAGTTTTCAGTAGCAGCCTTAAGATGGGAAATATGTGGTATTTCAACCCTTGTGTCACGGAGGTTTATCCGTCGACTTTATGTCTGATCTCTTACAGCGTAAGACTTTGAAAGGGTAAAAAGAATGCACTTAATCTGCCCCCGCATATACATGTATGTACTTCTACACTATAATATCTCTTGCATATATCGTTGGTTCAATATTACAACGTTCTATGTTACAATTTTAGTACTTATTTAGTTATGAAGGTTCTATGTGTCATTAGCTACAGTTTTGCAAAAACAAACCACTAGATGGCGGCACTTTAACTACAAAATATTCAATTTTACATAGTTCTATGTTGTTTTTTTTAAATCTCAAAATAACGAAGTTCTATGTAAAACATAGAACCATTCAATTTTGGTTTTTATATTTTTTTAGGATAGCAAGGTTCTATGTTAAACAGAGGGCCTTGCTTAGAGTTTTATTTACAACTAGCGATTCACCCTCGCTTCGCTCGGGTTCGCCTCTAGAAAAGCACAAACAGGTATATCCCACGGGAACCGTTCATATTTCCGGGATGAAAAGGAACTTGTTGTTAGACCGGCAATATAAGGTATCATGCCAAATTTTACTAAATTAGGTGCATAAGTTGTTGTGTACTAAGTTGTATAAGTTACTATAGTTTTTTAACTATCTCACGGGAACTCCTTAATTTTCCTGAATGAAAAGTATCTTAGATGTTGACCCGGGATATAAGGTACCACCATGCAAAATTTCATTTAAATCAGTCCAATAGATTCGGAGATTAGCCCGTACAAACAGACAAAAAGACAGTGAAACAAAAAAATTAAAAAAAAAATCTGGATTTGTTCTACATCACCCTGACTCGGTTTTTAGCATTTTTGTTTTATGTACAGACATTTGACTTCTACAGTTTTATTATAGTATAGATAGATTTGAAGTAAGCTTTAGATGTTCACACAGCAGAATCTATCTATCGATGGATACCTACAGTGGACAAGGAGTTCTATGAGGCAATATTCAAAGTGTAAACCATTTTTTATGATAATAAACTTCACATATGTACAAGTAATGTTTTTTAATGGTACTGAGACATGATAACATATTATAATAGTTCAGATGACTCAAGAAAATTAATACTTAACTGGGACTTGAAACTAACATCTTTTACTTATTTCAATGAAACAAAGTCCTAAGATCTGGTTAAAATAAAAATATTTTTTTGGTATCACAAAGTTCTATGTTATTTTAATTCCGATAATATTGCTTAATATCCAAATCAATATTCAATTGTTAGTTCCTAGAAAGCATCACGTAGCCCATAATTATGCTAATAAACTTCATTAAAATTAACATAGAACCTTGTTAAATAAAAATAAAATTAAAATAGTGAGCCAACGATATGGCTTGTCGCAATAAAATAGGCCACCATAGCCAAATCATCAACTGGAGGACATTATTATAGCTCATGTAATTTTCCCATAAACACACATAAAATTTCTAGAGTAAAACCTTGATGGATTAAAGGGGAAAAAATTAATTATGCATTTACAATATAAATAAAACTATATAGTATAGGTTTATTAAAGAAAACAACAATCATATTTTAAACGTTTATTGTACATAACATGATACCGTAAAGCAATCAACCGCTACAAAGTACTCTTGAATCTGCTTCTATCGTACCAACACTGTACCAAATTTGCTGAGTGACATTTGTGAAAGATATCAGTACAGCACTTTTATATGCAGCATTTTCTAAAATAAACTGTATATTTGAATTACAAAACGATTATATAAAGACGATTTCGTTTTTTCTAATATCATTTGATCCAAAGACAATTTTTTTTTTTCAATTACAATTAATACTCGTCTATGACTCGATTTTGGTCCTTCGGAGTCACTCAACAAATCCGCTTTACAACTACATAACATCAAAGTGATAATTTCAAATGTATGTATTTATTAATATAATGTTTACTAGGGTGGTGCAAAAAAACCGAATATTTTTTCGAGTCTTGTGTAAAAATATATTACTTTTTTCATGTTTTAAGATCAGCTCCTTTTTCCTCTTTAAAAATCAGATCGAAAAAATTTAAGGGGTCGCTCATGATTTTTATAAATGGTTAAAATTGTTTTTTTTCTTCCCGCGGTAAAATTTAATACCTAAAAAATAGTAACTACCTCAAAGTTACAGATTAAATTATGGATTTTTAAATATCGCTTAGAATTTATGAACATTTTTCAGTTCATTGCCTTTGATGTTTCATAACGTGTTTTTTAAGTGTGTGTTGTATGCAATTCACTCACGGTAGAAGTGAAACTTCAGAAAAGTAATCTACGAGAGAATGAGATAAATATAGAGTATCGGGAGTAGGATAATTGTAAGGTTTATTTTTTTTATAAATTTTTACTATGTTTAAATGTTAATTTACATTTTGTTTAATATATAGTACATCGAATTTTGTTTAGTATTATTTTTATAATTTTCACTTCCTGTATAATTTATGTATTCTATCTCATTTTCCTATATATTTATTTTTTTGTCTCTTTGTCGTGAAGCATTTTCGTTTTGACTTTCAAATCACAACGATTCTAAAGAAGCTTGAACTTAGAAAAAAAATGTATGAGTCACTCACCCCAAAAGTTTTTTTTTGGAGCTGATCTTTAAAAAGGATTCTTAATACATAAAAAACTAACATATTTTCATACAAAACTCGAAAAAAAATTGTCGCTTCTTTTGCGCCACCCAAATATTTACTTATCTTCATTAGTATGGAGCGTACATTGGACTTACATTCTCAAAATCTCAAATAACAATCGAATTAGGTCTTTCAATGGAAAACACAAGCCCAGATATAAACTAAAGGAATGAATTGTTTAATAGAATGATGTATGATATAAAAAAAAAGGTTTTTCACATTGTTTCGCATTAACTAATTATATATTCAATAGAAGTTTAGTTAAATATTTGCACATTATTAACTTCTCTTATGTCACCTTAAATAAAAAGCTACAGAGAAACAGATATCTTATAATACACATAATCTGAAATGTTTTTTAAAGAACTATTTAGACATAAGTTATATTAAAAAAACATTACAACAATCTTTATTTAAATGAAAATATTGAATATTCTTTTCATTTAAGTAAAAATTGGAGAAAACTAAATTAATTAGTCAATTAGTTTCTTAGTTTTACGGGTTTTAGTCGTGCAAGAAAATTTTATTATTTAAGGATGACATAACCAAAAGAAATGCTAACGAAGCTTAATATGATATTGTTTTCTAATAACATTACCCAAATACAGCATATTACTTCTGATTTTAATATATAATAGATGTATATATTAACTTAAATATATAATTTTTATCCTAATTGTATATAATATGAATACAGCAAATAAAGAGTAAGAAATTTTTTATTAGTAATAACATTATAATGTAATATAACATTATTATTAAAAAATTAAATTAATAAAATGAAATCAAAAAACGCGCCAGGCGTCCATTGTTTTTTTTTTTTTTGACTGAACCAATGATATTTTACTATACAGCAAATACTTTTCTTATACTCTTCCATACATTTACGCCAATTTTCTCACTAAAGTTTCAATATGTGAAGTGTGTAGTTTTTTTTGTTTATTATAAGATATTACGATAACGTCGTCTCAGTGCTTGTTTGTCCAAACGACCAATTTACCAAAAAAGCCGAAGAGTTGTTGTCTAATGAAATATGATCAGAGCTACCATTTACTTAAAAAAAAAAACTTTTTTTTAATACGAGAAGCAGATAGTTGAAGGAAGAATTAACATCGGATTATAGACTTTGATAATAATTTTTAATTTAATTTCTTTCAAATATGATAGTTTGTATTTTTTTTTTTAAATAAAGAAATTTTATAAAACAATTCATTATGAATCAAGATTTGCAACTTCAATAATTTAAAAATGTTAAACTTGTCGTAATAACAAATAAACGACATTGACATTAAAGAGCAAAATGTTATAATAAATAAATTATTAAATTATTAAATTATTAAATTAATTATTAAAATGGCGTAAATGTCACTTTGAAAATGACAGTTCTGAACGAAAGAACGTATGGTATCATAATATACAGCCAATACAAAACTATTAAAAAAAATAATTAAAATAACATGTCACACGTTCGTGCGACGTTCGTGAGACGAATTTCGATAGTAGAATTTGAGATTCTCCCATATAAGACTATTATTAGCTATTTAACTATACGCAGTGAGCGAAACATATATTAAATTATTTATATTATATCAACGTGAAAGGAATCTCGTAATTGTATGTGTATATAAATTATATACAGAGTTATATATTATGTAACACGCCATTTTATATTGATCTACTAAATCCAAAACTGCTTGAAGAATCCTGAAAAGAAAATAAATTACATATATAATATAATAAAATCGCACACAACATATCATTTGCAATTTAACTAAGAAATAGGCCACACCCAGCAGTGAGATTTTAAATACAGCTAAATGAATTCTGCTAGTATTAACATAATAGCAACCTACGACTCTCAGTTCGTTAGGGTGCATCCCTAAACCTAACAATAGCCTGTGTTACCCCAGTTATCTGTGTCCAGCCGTTAAGCGTGAAAGACATACATACAAACTTTCACCTGTACAATAGTATTTTAATCATCGATCGTTAATCTAATCGAAATAAATTTAAAACAATGTAAATTGAACCTTAAATGCAATGCCTAAAGTTGATTTTACAAAAAGAATAATTAAAAGCGCGCTCAAATATTCAAATGAGCGCTCATTCGGTGAGGACATCTTTTGTCGTTGATTGTGTATCTAGTACTTTTTTGATCGATGATTTTAATACTATTATACATGGTATACATAGATTTATAGAATTTCTATAGGAATAATAGTATACATACATTGAATTAATTTAACATCTGGTCTCATATAGCCCGGAGCGTCCGATGTAACGCACCCATTTGATCACATCGTGGTCCGAGTAGTTCAGTTTAGGCTCGAACACTTTCAAGTATCGCACCTGTAACAAATATTAAAATAATCTATACATATAATAAAATTCTAACTGTGTCGAATCTGTACTTTTGAATATATTTTTGGAAAATCTTATTGAAATAGTCATTATTTTTAAGAATTTTTGTCTGTATGTCTGTATGTCCAGGAACGCATTAAGAGAAAACCACTGGAGAAATTTTGATGAAATTTGGTATGACGATAGCTGAGTATCCGGGTTAACATTTAGGATACTTTTTACTGCAGGAAAATATCTCATGTCTGAGAAATCTATACTAAACTCCCACTCAGGACGAACCTGAGCGTAGCGAGGGTGAGTTGATGGTAATAATATGAATCACAATCGGGTAATTACCTTGAAACCAGAGGGAGCAAACGGTACTTCAAAGCCCATAGAAATCGGCGGGCGCGTCCATTTCTTCTTAGTATCTGTTTCAAGTAGTTCAATCTCCGCTGACAGCTGCGTTTCCTTCATACCCGCCATTCGTTTGATCCTAAAATTAAACAATTATAAAATTAGTAAAGTGCGAGTCGGATTTACATAACAAATATTCCGTATCACCGCTCTAGTGTCTAGCACGACCGGTTTTATACTGAGTTTATAGGTTTGAATCCTGGATTGGGAAAAAAAAGAATGTCCTGGGTTCGAGTCCCGGGTCGGGCCAAGTTTAGTTATTGAGTCTTTCTGTATAGTAAGCCTCAGTAACAGCCCGGAGTTGGGAAGTTGGCGGTGTTTCACCACCGTGCCTCGGAGAGCACGTAAAGCCGTCGGTCCTGCGCCGACACTCTCACAGGTCGTGTCGAGTGGTCGTCCCACCGGAACATGAGAGTGACAGGAATAGAGAGTGCACGTTGTGTCTGCGCGTACACTTGTGCACTATAATATCTCCTGCGCAGTTGGCAGTCTCAATGAGATTGGCCGCCGTGGCCGGAATCGGTCGGGAGAACATCATATCCCAGAGCAAGAATTTAATGAATCTATATTATAAAATTAAATGAGCAATTCTTATATATATACTAATTTATTTCGTATATCTCGAAAACGGCTCTAACGATTTGAATCAAATTTTGTATTTATGTTTTGTTTTTAAAGTTTATCTTTATTGTCTGAAAAAACCCAACGTTTCACAAAAAGAAGAATATTATAACTAATTAATTAGATACATATTGTTAATATAAAAGAAAACGTAATACAAAAAAACTAGTTACTTTTTAAACTTTTTAAAAGTCGCAATATTACAGTGAAAGTTGGGTAAAAAATGACTATATTCGTTAATTCTTGAATGCTTTCAAATATCAGTCGAAAAAAGTCAGAATCAGTAAAAAAAATTTTTTCCTCAAATTTTTTTTTTATAATCTACAAAAAAATTTATTCATATGTACTTACTTCCAAACAATTGCATTCTCAGAGGCCTTATATTTAGCCTTCCCCTTCAAACAAATCAACTGTACACCGCTAGTGTTTAATGGTGTGGGGATTTTTACTTCAATCTTTTGGCCGAGCAGGGACGGCTTGAAGTTAGATTTCAATACAACTTTGACATCCATTTTGGTCCTGCCTACTTCTCTTACCAATGGTATCACTCGGAATGGCAACGAGATGTCCTTTGTTGTACGATATCTGAAATAAATTTTAGTTTAAGTCAGAACATTACTTGTATTATTATGAGACGCGTTGATCAAAGTTTTAGATACACAATCAGAGACAAAAAATGTCCTCACCTAATGAGCGCTCAATTGAACGTTTGAGCGCGCTTTGTTTTTTTTTGTGAATACAACTTTAACGGTGAGTCGTGAAGAAAAAAAGATATAAAATACCTAAAACCATCTTTGATTCATGACGCATGTGCATTTGTAGTCTTTTTAAGGTGCATAACTCAAATTAGGATAAATGCACAATAAGTAACGAAGAATTAATTTTTAATAAAAAATATCTTAATTTTTGTAATAAATTAAAATCATTGTTTATGAAATTAATTTTTTTTCTTTTTTTATACACTTACTATAACTTTAAAAATATACTTTTAAGGTAAGACATCTTGTAGGGACTTCGCCACTAAAGAACACACACACAGACACCCATACACTCACCTCATAAGCTCAAACTCTCCATCGGGCGGTATGAACGATATGGAGTGCTCGGTCTCGAACTTGCTGAGCTTGACGCACTGGTGGAACTGGCAGTCGTCGATGACCACCACCGGCTTGCCGGAGCGCGCCGGGTCGCTGTCCGTGTTGCCGGAGATGCCGCCTGGGGGCATGCCCAGATGTATATATAATAATCTATACTAATAGTATGAAGAGGCAAAAGTTTGTGAGTTTGTGACGTTGTAGGGGGTAATCTGTGAATCTACTGAATCGATTTAGATGAAATTTGGTAAGAAGATAGTTTGAGACCCTGGGAAGGACATAGGATACGTTTTATCCCGGAAATCATCCCTTAAGAGGGTGAAAATGGGGATGAAAGTTTGTATTGGGAAGCAAGCTAAGGATGAACCAGAGCAAATGCAATATGTGTGTATATCTATATATATCTATACATATATATATATATATATATATATATATATATATATATATATATATATATAATATATATATATATATATCTAGTTGTATTATCAAAAGACATTTGCTGTAGGCAATGGTGGCCACTGTGCAAGACCAACCAAGTGAAGCAGGTTTAAATCCCAGATCTCACACCTCTAAAAATTTAATGTGTGAATCATTTCTAATATGATTACCACTTGTCTAACGGTAAGGGAAAAAAACATCGTGAGGAAACCTGCATGTCTGAGGGAACCTAACAAGTGTTCAAAAAACATGTTCAGTCTGACCGCACTTGGCCAGCGTGGTGGACTAGGGCCTGATCCCCCTCGTATTGAAGGTAGGCACTTGCCCAGCAGTGGGACGTTAGAAATGGCTGAATACAAAAAAAATAGAAACTGATACAAAATAAATTCAAATCACATACCATTTCCTTTTCCTTTGGCTTCCATTACAATTTTGTCGTTGATACCGAATTTGCACTCCGGCATACCAGATAAATAGGACTTCATCACGACCTTACCCGCCACGTGCGCCGAAAGAACTTGACCTGCAATAAACAATAACAATAATAATATTTATCTACATAAATGAAACTGAATGTTTGTATGTTTGTTCTCTATGCGTTCCTAAATCATTGTTTGAATTGTGATTAAACTCTGGTGGGTTTTAAATAAAATTATTTTTCGCCGATATATTTTCATTTTTTATTTTTAAAATATCCACAAAAAATTGTTTCTCCCGTGACCATGATTTCTGTAAAGCATTCAAAATAATAGGAACACATATAAGATAAAACTCGCGACATAATTTGATAAAATAGGTTTATTGAAAATAAAAATGTTAACTAAATTAATAAATAAAACTATCTTTTCGGATTTTTTCGCGAATTTATTCAGATTTTTGGTTCCCGATATTTCAAACGCGTTATATTATAGTTTTATTTAAAATGTTAAATATTCGCGCAAATCTAAGTAAGTATTAAATAAATGGAGTATGTTATCAGGTTAAAATTTGTAAATTCATACTACAATACATGTTCACACCTAAACCGCTGTACCAATTTTGATGAATATTAATGTATAGAGATAGACCTTGGAAAAAGACATAGGACGTCCGTCATTTACCATTTGTCTTACGGTGATAGCAAAATATAGTATGAGAGAACCTAGCAAGTTTTTGAAAGACATGTGAAATTCGCCCTGCACTTGGCCAGCATGGTGGACTATGGCTTTACCCTCCTCAAATTCAAGGGAGGCCCGTGCCCAGCAGTAGGACTCTTAAAAAAGGGCTGAGTACATTATATATAAAAAGAAATTATTCCTTTTCTGTCGGTTGGACGTCGGTTCATAAATATAACAGTACCTTGTGGTGACATCAGCAAGTTGACATACTCAAGTACATCTAAGAACAGCTCATTACGTCTATACTTAATGCCTTCACGACGCCATCCTATTTGCCCAGTCACCTGTGAACAAAACACAAAAATTCATACAAAAAGAAATGATGTTAACAATTTGCTTCTTTTTGTGCTACTGTATAGGGGACTTCCATTAATTACACGAGCCATTTTCTTTCAATTTATACAAGTATAGATTCTATATAAATTACATTTTAAACTGCACTAACCTGTGAAGTAATTTGTGCTTGTTCTTCCTTAGATGCAGATTTAATACCTTGTTGTGTGATGAAAGTTTTCAAAACTCCTGTATCTGAGTTTTGAGGGTATCCAAAGTCTAAGATTTCTAGAAATTTAATAAATTATATTATTATAAGTCATTTAGTATATGATATTATATATAACATATTATATAATATATAACAATAATTGTTTTGATGAAAGGAAGCTTTGAATTACATTGAATGAAATAAAATATACTTTATTCAAATAGACTTTTGCAAGTACATTTTAAAGTAATAGCTACGTAGAAAAAAATTGTAACATCTTATTTTAACAAGATAGAAAAATGAAATTTGTAAGTTTTAAAAAGGCTCTTACCATCAAGCAATTCATAGATAAGCACAAAGTTATTTTTGATATTTTCTTCAGAAATTTTTCCAAAGTATGATTGCATCACATCAATGATCTTCAATAGAAACTCAAAGACCATAGCAGCATTTACATTCTGCTTGGTCACTGCTGCCAACCAGATGTTAGCTCTCTGTCGATTAAAAACAATGTACAATATAACTACAGTAACATAAATTTATTTATATACATTTGTAATAATTAACTACTCTATATTAATAATTTAAATGAAGACTTAAGCAAATACGATCCTTGACTATGATGTTTTTTTAATAATAACGATGATGATTGTCATAATTAATCCTCTTTAGAGGAAAGTTACAGAAAGAGCACATTAACAAAGTATTTGTATAAACTATTTATTTTGATCCCTATAGGAAAAGTTGAACTCTTGGCATTCAAACTGACATGAGAGCCAAAAACTGTCAAGCTCCTTGCCAAATTAATATTCAATAATATGATAAGTATAATCTATGAACTATATGAACTGAAAGTTAATTATAACAGGATTGTAAATTATATTTTAATAAAAATTACCTTGATGTGAAAGAATGAAGTACGGGCGATGTTAGTTACCGGTGAGCGGACCTGCTGCCGAGCATGGATCACATTAACTCTAAATGCGTCCACAGCATTCCGCCCTATATCGTCCCGGTACACCCTCGATATAAGCACCTCCCCCTTATGATTGTATACGAATAATCCCCCGATCATTTTCACGATAGCCTATTTACTAAAAAGAAGTAAAAGTATTACTTAATCATTAATTCATGTAACAAACATATAAGTACCTTAATTTCAACTGGACAAGCACTTCTACATGGTTAAGTCAATTGTTAATCAATAAAACAGGATATGACCAATAAAATAAAACCGATACAGTTAGAAATGTAATAGAAACTATAAACTCACGTAAGATTTAGAAGATACATTGATTTTCAAATAATTTTAGATTTAATATCAGCGGCGTTTTAGTACATTCATTTTAGGGCAGTTTCGCAAAATATTGTAGAAAATTATATGATACCCGCCCCCAAAATGAAACGTCAATAGCCAGAGTCCAGATCTGAGATCATAGAGTATTTTGCTACATATATAAACCAGATGAGACTGCAATATAGATAACTTATAATAGACTATTCAAAAATCAAAATATTAAATAGATTTTAAGCTTAGTACACAAGTTATAAAATTCCCTTCAAACGAAATGGGGAAGTATTTTGCCTTTTTCTCCCGCCAGAGTTCACGATCACTACGGTCCTCAACATATTGCAAAGCTCTAAAGCTCTATAGTTTTTGTCTTTTGCGAACAAATGATATCTATTTTCTTTGCATCGTAGCACTGCGGTATTTGCCATTTCAATTAAATTTTAAATAAAATAAATAAAATCCTTTATTCGCAAAAGCCAAAAAGTAAAGAAATTATGGGCTAAAGTAATAAGACGACCAAAATTGGCGAAATAACAATTTTTATTTTACAGAAAGTGATTTTAAAACTCTTAAAGGTGATTTTTTGTACTCTTTTACATATTCATTACAAAGTTTCATACAAGCTTTCATCCCCCATTTTACCCCCTTAAGGGATTGAATTTGAAAAAATGCTAAAACATATATTTATTTCATTGTATTGAAGAGCATTAATAACAAGTTTCGAGTAATTCTAATCATAAATAATTCTTTGACCATTAAATATATTTATTATTTTTATCTTAAAGCTAAACACCACTTTCTGTGTATTTCACATTAATATTGAGAGATTCTCACACAATCTGTAATCCCCTATTTTGTCCACTTAGGGGATAAATTTAGAAAAATCCTTTCCTATAAGATGCCTACATCATATAAGAAATACGTCATGCTAATTTCACGTTTCTACAACCAGCGATGTTGGCTGTGTGTTGAGCCATCAGTCGGTCATGACCACCACAGGATGCACTTTTCCTTCTCAATTCTTCCTTTACCTGGTCTAAGTTCTAGGAACAATACATTGCAGCGAACGCAATAGAAGCAAAAACCAGGTACTAAAGAGATATCATAATAAATTGTTTAACCTCAGACTGAATATAAGTAGATCATACGTGTAGCGCCCTCCTTTCATAAAAACTTCCCCCTTATTTTACCAGCGCTACCGATTGGCAGGTAAATTACTCGAAAAGCGGATAATTTTAGGCGATTTTTGATGGTGAGTAATTTTGACGGGTAATTGCATTGATCTTTGGGGACAAAGCCGGTATTTTAGTTTAGTTGATTAATTTGATATTTTAAGTCTTTTTTATGTTTGACTTAATAATTTAAAGCTGTTTAATTGAGAACTGATTATTGTAATCAGTTCTCAATTAGACTTCTTTTTCTAACATTAGTACTTTCTTTTATTCTATATAAAACATGAATAAATTACTTAAAAAACTATTTTCGGGTATTCTACTCATGGTTGGCGCCGACGGGATAAACTGGGAATTTTGAGGTTTATTGGTCGGTTAAATCAACGACTGTTACTTGGCAGCCCTGTATTTTACTATGTACTCTTTCCTTTATAAAGTATCAACGAACATATTTTGTCTTCAGTCGCTTCACTAATGTCACAGACAATTATTTATGAAAGGAAAGTGTAATTTTGTCAATGGTGTAAGATTTGGGTCGATTATGTCATGGCGGGTTAGATGTTTTCGGCACTCAGTTTCGTTGAATTTGTTTTGAATTACGCCGTCAATGATCTCGTTTGGTCCGTTCTTGTTTAACACTTACGGTATCGATATACTAGTAATCGTTTCGTAAACATTTCAAATGCTGAAACAATTGCAAATGGGCCTTCGCGCGTTCATGCTAATCGCATCCAAAGTATGGAGTTGTTTTTGTTACATGTTTAGAAAGCAATATCGAGCGGTAAATATAAATTTAATGCGCTTGTTTCGAGAATATTATGTATTTACGAGTTTTGTGTTTCACGTGGTGTTTGCTTTTCAGTTGGCTCAGCATCAATCTGTCAAATATGAAATATATCCACTTTCCCCAGTATCTCGACACAGGCTGAGTAAGTATCTTAAGATTTTATCAACGTATGTTAAAATTACGAATTATCGCACTATTTACATTTAAATGCACTTATTGAAGACGCGCTGGACATGTTATCAGTGAATATCCTTGTCTATTTATAGCCAGTATCTTGAACCCTTATTTAATAAACATGTCACATTCTTAAAACAAAAACAGTTAAACTACGTTTACATCTTAACACATGTTCACCAAATGTATATATTTTGTGGTGTTTTTATATAGCCATATGCTAAACTTGCAATGACACTGATATTAGAATCATTGTCACATACTTTTATTCAATATAATATTATGCTGCTATTTTCTGAAAGATTTTACAACATACTTTGCTGTACATTTCATAACTTAACTAACTTCAATCCAGAAATATTATAAAATTAAAAAACTATCCATAAATTCTCATGTAATATCTAATTAAATATAACTAGCCTTATAATATGAACATGTTTATCTAACTTTTTGGTGCAATATTTGTTTTCTTATTGTTTATTAAAAGAATACTATAACAAATTTTTATAGACTAAATTTTTCCATTTAAATAATTGAATCTATGCAAAGCAACATTTTATGTAACAATACATTTTCATAAATAAGAAAAAAGATAAGAATGACTACAAATATTATCATTCCAAGATAAAATATATTGACTACAAATAAAATTGCTGACCATGAAAAAAATCCATATGACATTATATATTTTTTAAATTAAAATAGGTAGGTACATTATTTTATCAACTTTGTTTTTATGAGCACATTTATTAGTATAAACTATGACTTAAAGATCTGTGATATTTATAAAAAAAAGTTGGGCAGTTCTAAATGCATATATTGATTAAATGAGTGCTTAGCAACATAACAACTGTTTCTTTTTGTAAAGCCAAATTAAGGCTTGATAAATTTTGTTAAACCCAGACACCAGTTCTAATATAAATGTAAAGGATTTCACTAGCATTGCCCACAGCTCCACCCGTGTTCACATTCAGACCAAAAAGCAAATTCTTAGGTTTTACATATTAGTATACTCTTACATTGCAATTTTTCTCAGAAATGAGATATTTTCCTACAGTAAAAAGTATCCTATATGTTGACTCGGATAACCAGCTATGACCATACCAAATTTCATCAAAATCTCCAGTTATTTTTCTGTGATGTGGTAACAGACAGACAGACTAAATTCTAAGAACTATAGATTCAGCCTCTGTATTGATAATAATGTTTATTTCAATAAGATTTTCCAAAAAATATTTAATGTACAGATTCGGCTTAGTTACAATTATTATATGTATAGATTATAACCTACAACTTATTTATCAGATAATATCTTAAGAATTATTGTGAACAAAAATTACTAATTTAATTTTGATATGATTTTCATTTTACCTTACATTTATTGCTAGAATGGTAATCTAAGATTTAATATCCATACTAATATTAATGTGAAAGTTTGTGAGGATGGATGAATGGATGTTTGTTACTCTATCACACCAGAACGGCTGAACGGATCTGGATAAAATTTGGCACAGAGATAGATTATAGTCTGGAATGGCATATAGGTTACTTTTTATCCCAGAAAAATGTACAATTCCCATGAGATAGATTTGTTTTTGTTTAGGGTTCAAACCTGTAGCGAAGAGAGTGTTAGTTGCTAGTTTAATATATATCATAATTATTGTTCCTATGCAAAGCTATGCAAATCTATTCAAATATGTATAAAAATATGTTTAATCAAAATTTCTTATCTTATCTTTTATATTAATACAGCTCAATTTAAAATATTCATCAAATGATCATTGTAGTATCAATGTATTATTTACTGTAGTAACATAGAAAGTATATGGCACATTATTGATAATTACTTTACACTACCTGTTGCCCTTGAATGTATATGCACGAGGGATTTAGTTAAGCTCTTTACTGAGCTGTGAGAGCGTAAATGCATTGTTTTTTATATAATAAGAATTGATAGCCGTTATTTTGAATTTATTTTGCACTAGCAATTTACTCACTTTGAATAGGTGCGTCCCTTTGTGCCATTTGGATTTATTAATTTATAAACAGACAGCACTATGTTTTTGTATATATTAATACTACAAGTAGCTCATATGTTATACCTGGTCTAATTGTATATGTATATTTCATCCAAATTTGTTAAGCTATTTCAATGTGAAGGAGTGACGAACACACAAACAAAGTTTCACATTTATAGCAGTAGTGGTATAATCGAGAATAGTTTTCAATTCAATTCTCTTGTTAATGGCCTTGTAAAATTCAAAGTGGGGTGGTTGAATACAGATTACTTCCCCAGTGTCACATTGAATGAAGAAAACATGAGTGAGGTTGAGCGACAGAATAGTTTTTTTTTACTAGCGACTCACCCTCGCTTCTCTCGGGTTAGTGCACACTATAATCTGTCTCTGTGCCAAATTTTATCCAGAATCATTCAGTCGTTCATTCATCTATCCTCACAAATTTTCATATATATATAATATTAAATAAATTTAAGCGATTATTATTTTTATTAATATAGATCTTTTTTATTTCTAGGTCTAGTCAAAAGAAAAATATTGGTCTTAGATTTAGATGAGACGTTAATACATTCACACCACGATGCGATGGTCCGGCCGACAGTGAAGCCGGGCACGCCGCCCGACTTCGTGCTCAAAGTGACCATAGACAAACATCCAGTCAGATTCTTCGTTCATAAACGACCTCACGTCGACTATTTTTTGAACATTGTAAGTATAATATTGTTTGAGGTTTAATTTAGCTGCTTTGTTTGATAAGTTGAGTGATCGGTCAAGTGCGAGTGGGACTCGCGTGAAGGGTTAGATGGAGTTGCGCCCCGCGTAAAATTTAGAACTGAAATGTTGCAGTTTGACATGTATATTGTTTTTAAATCTGAACGCCATAGATGCCCACTCTTTCATGGATACTGTTCAGGTCCATTTATTCCAAGAGATTTGGGTAAAACCTCAAAATCACTGCTTGATAAGGATTTGGAAACCAAATAAGTCTAAATAATTTTACATAGTAGGTAAACTACATACTAAAACATATATGTGCCTAGTGGCACCTCATTCGTTTCATACAATGGTTACACGTGTATATGTAGCCTTTCTTAACGTACTATTGTTGAGCATGGACCTCCCTTCAATACGAGAGGGATTAAACCACGAACCATCACGCTAGCCAAGTGCGGGTTGGCGGTTCACTTGTCTTTGGAAAACTTGCTAGGCGCTCTCAGACATGCAGGTTTCCTCGCGACTTTTTTCCTTCACCGTAAAACAAGCGGTAATCATGTTAGAAATGATTCGCACTACGCACATGATATCAGAGTGTCAGACCCGAGACTTGAACCCGCTTCACTCGGTTTTCCAAACGAGCGCGTTACCACTGGGCGTGAGTGACGTAAATGACTATTAAAATTCAAACATTTTCACAAACTTTTACATCGCAGTACCTATATAATATTATAAATGCGAAAGTAACTCTGTCGGTCTGTTACTTTTTCACGCTTAATTCGCTGAACAGATTTAGATGAAATTTGGTACCTATGCAGAATTTTTATCCAGGAAATCACCCGTTAACAGGGTGAAAAGGGGGTTAGATATTGTTTGGGGAATCAATAATTTCTCAAGTAAAGGACACAAAACTCATCATACCTATGTACTATATATAATACTAGCATTGCCCGCGGCTCCGCCCGCGTTCAGATGACCAAAAACTAAATTCTTAGGTGTTACATATTAGTATACTCTTACATTGCAGTTTTTGTATTTTTCCTCAGAAATAAGATATTTTCCCGCGGTAAAAAGTATCCTAGGATCGCGCGCTACATCGCCCGGTTTATATAGCTTGAGCAGGCGGTCGAGCGATGCGGGGCAGAGGGGATGGACTCGCCGTAGGCATCTCAATGCTCGCCAAGCATTAAAAATGTTTCGCTACTAATTACTTCTAACAACGATATCTCAAAAACTATTCATCTGATTGATTTAGTGTAAAGAGCAATTTTAATCTGCATTAAATGACTAAGCTAACTAAAATATTCATTTGGATAAGGATTAATACCGAACTAAAGAAAATAACTTTGAAAATAACGTAATGTTTTTAATTAAAAATGTTAACATAAAAGTGGTTATTGTAAGTCAACCGTAAGAGATAGAGATATGCTATCGCGGACTTTTTTGTAGCATTTTTATAGATTTTGAATTCTCTAGTACATTACTTAACTGTATCTTTGCTAGTTTACGCGGCGTTCGCGTGGAAAGTTCCCATTTGGCGAGATTTTTTGCGACCTCTTCAACATTTGTCGCCGTATTTCAGCTAATTTACATAAAAGCATAATAAATTATATACCTAAACCTTCCTCAAGAATTACTCTTTCTATTGTTGAAAACCGTATAAAAATCCGTTTAGTAGTTTTCGAGTTTATCGCGTACAGACAGACAGGAGGACAGACAGGAGGACAGAAAGACGCGGCCGGGGGACTTATTTTTATAATAAGTATAGATAGTATATCTATTCCATACTAAACGTCGAAACGTACCTAGGGACGAACCCGAGCAAAGCGAGTCTAAAAGTAATGATAAGTCTATAATATTTAGTTTAGCTCTGTTCACATCTTTAGAATCTATACTAAAAATACGTGTGTTCTTTTCTAATAGATCTTGTTGTGTAGCGGAAAAAATAGCAATTTATTTAAGATCAACATAAATTAGTTACGCTTATTCACTCCATGTGTTGCTAACCGCTAATATGAAAATCCCATATATCTATACATATAATAAAATTGTAACTGAGTCGAATCTGTAAATTGAATATTTTTTTGGGAAATCTAATTGAAATAGACATTATTATCGATACAGAGTCCGAATCTATAGTTTTTTTTAAATTTTGTCTGTCTGTCTGTTTGTCTGTTACCGCATCACGAGAAAACCACTGGACAGATTTTGATGAAAATTGGTATGATGATAGCTGGTTATCCGAGTCAACATATAGGATACTTTTTACCGCGGGAAAATATCTCATTTCTGAGAAAAAATACAAAAGATGCATTGTAAGAGTATACTAATATGTAAAACCTAAGAATTTGGTTTTCGGTCATCTGAACGCGGGCGGAGCCGCGGGCAATGCTAGTATATATATATAATGTTATTTGTTTCTTTCGAAATAAATTGCATTCATTACCTCATAATAAGTTTTTGCTCGTTTCATATACTTTTCCTTATACCACCCATCTACAATTATTGTAAGTAATTTTATTTTTATTTTTAGTGTAATATTCAGTTTATCTACAGATGTAAGAAATCTGAACTCATCTACGTTTTAAAATAAAACTATCTTTTCGGATTTTTTCGCGGATTTATTTTGGTTTTTGGTTCCCGACGTTTCGAATGCTTTACAGCATTCATGGTCACGGGAAAGACTGGCTAGTCAAAAAATCGAGTTAAGAAAAGATAGTTTTAGTTCAAAATATCAAATATTCGCGTTAATCAACGTTTCTACTGCTTTATCCCCAAAGAAAAGTTAGTAAAACTGACGGTTCTCATTATTATCCTATACTAGCGAATCTTCGCCTATTTTAACGGTTAGTATGGTATAAATACTCTATATATTATATGATATATAGCATATAGCCTTCCTCAATAAACGGGCTATCTAATGCAAAAATAATACTGTAAATCGAATTAGTAATGCCTGAGATTAGAGCTTTCACATAAGCAAACTCTGTCTCTTTATAATATTAGTATTGATATTGAAATACTGGCGACTCACAAACATATATCAGGTAAATTATTTGACAGTTAGTAGGGAATAGATAGGCTATATATTAGTATATATATATATATATATATATATATATATATATATATATAAATAAGTATAATGAGTTACATACATAGTTTTACATCCCTTACTCGAGAAATAATTATTTCCTCGTACAGACTTTCACCCTAATTTTCACCACCTTAAGGGATGATTTCCTAAATAAAAACTATGCTATGTCCTTCCCAGGGTATCAAACTATCTTCATACCTTTCATCAAAATCGGTTCAGCGAATTTTTAATTTATCCATTATAATATTAATGTACGTACTAGTATAATCTATTATACTAGTAACTATTCCTAATGAGCATAACTTCAAGTGGAAAGAGGTAATTTTTTCCTCTTTATTTTTCATAGGTATATTATGTTATAACTTGGCCAAGTATAGATTGATTTTCATAATTTTATTATTAATAAATGTTTTATACTTTAAAGGTAATTAAATGTGATGCTTTATAAAATTAAAAAAAAATTCTAAGTGTGGATGAAAACAGCAGATAATTTTCTATGCAAATCATTTTATGTACCGTAACATGTAGCCTATGTTACTCTCCAACCTATAAATTTTAACCATCTCTTTGGAATAAATCATGATTGGTTAACAACGTTCGCAAACTCACAACTTGTCAATTGTTTATTTTGTTTGTTTGAACGCTTTTGGCGTTTGATTCTAAAACTCTAGGAACTTGTCTGATTTGAATTATCTTTCTTGCATTTATAGTCTAGTAGCTACCAACCTTTGTCCATAGGTTGCTTCCCAATGTAAACTTTCATCATCATTTTCACCCCCTTAAGGGATGATTTCCAGGATAAAAACTATCCTATTTCCTTCCCAGGGTCTCAAACTATCTTCTTACCAAATTTCATCTAAATTGGTTCAGTAGTTTCGGAGCTTATTCGGTACAAACAAACAAACTAACAAAAAAATCTTTTCTTTTTATAATATTAGTATAAATTTATTAGAGAAGGCAAAAAAATAATTACATTAGGAGGTTAAGAAAACTTTGCTAGTCTCAGTGAGATTGGCCACCGTTGCCAAAATCGGTCGGGAGGACATGATCACTATTTAAACTAGTAGTATTTTAAAGTAGACATTTTTTTATTTGTTTGTATGTATGTATGGTCTTATCTCTAATCATCATATCCCTTGTACGTGCAGGTATCGCAGTGGTACGAGCTGGTGGTGTTCACGGCGTCGATGGAGATATACGGCGCGGCGGTCGCGGACAAACTTGACAATGGTCGGGGGATCCTGCGGCGGAGGTTTTACAGGTATAATGAGTTACCTGTTATGTTTTAACTGCCCCGGTGGTCTAGCGGCTAGCATTTACTACTACAGATCCTGAGGTCATGGGTTTGAATTCCGGGTCGAGACAAGTTCAGTTTATAAGGATTTTCTCTCAAACAAAATCTCAGTAACAGCCTGGAGTTGGGAAGGTGGTGTTTTTTTCCTAGAGAGCATCGGTCTAAGATCACTTTGACCTGATTGATACATGTCTCAATTATCTTTTGAAGTAAAACGGGATTTTTAAAATTTTTTTTTACTTTCATGAGTTCACGATATTTCACCACACTATTATATCTCTCGCAAAGGTGGCTAATTTTAGGCTTAGATGGGCCGATTGAAATTCGGTCACGTGATCATTCCAATTTTGATGTTATCTTGATATATCTTATTATCTATATCCTGATTTTATATGTTATGTCTCGTTTGCAGACAACACTGCACGGCGGAGCACGGCTCCTACACAAAGAACCTGTCGTCGATATGCGACGATCTAAACAGGGTGTTCATATTGGACAACTCACCGGGCGCCTATCGGGACTTCCCCGGTGAGTGGTAATCGTTTTTTTTTTAATGGTGTCTAATAAAAATAATTTATTACAGTGTGGAGAATGATTTGTTGATTTACGGAGTAATTGTGGGTTCAGAAGGATTTATAGGGAATATTCGTGCGATTTAAATGAAGGTTGTAATTTTTTAATAATCTTTATTGCTTTTGAATTAAGCCTATATTAATATTTTTTGATGTAATTTCTTTTTGATTAAGAAAATAATTATTATAAAGTGCAAAAACAGATGGGAAATTCAAAGTAGTTGAAACGCACGCCATTGGTCAGACCGAATATGGCGTCAAAGTATGTCATAACAGAGCGATTAGCGATTTTGTTCACAACAAATGAGTCGTCATTTCTCAGTGTATATCATACTGTGACGTCGCGCCACGATATGATTTTTTTTCTAATTTTTATACTTAATTTTTTTGAGTTGTTTTTTTATAATTATATAAAAAAAAATTAAAAATCACGCATATTCCCTATTGTTGTAACCAGCAACGATCAATAGCGGTTACGTCTGTGGGCGACATGCTAGGACCCTGTTCGCCCCCGCTGTTGTCGTCGTCGTTACGATATTACGTTTCACGAGTTATTTTAAATCTGTGGTATCTTTGAACATATTCATCTTATTTAATTGGTGTAAAGGTCAGTTTTGATCTAAATTAAGTGCTTAAATTATCTTAACTAATTTTGTATCCAATTTGAGAACCGTAAAAATGGTTATTGTAAATCTATCTACCTTAAAAGATAGACATATGTTATCGCGGACTTTTTTGTAGTAATTTTTTATGTTTTTCAATTTATTAGAACATTTCGTGGTTCTGCCTGCAATAGCTTACGCGGCGCACGCCAGTAAAGCTCTCAGTCGGTATGATATTTTCCGAAATCTTCAACAATCATCGTCATATTTTAGCCAATTTGGAACCTTAATGAATTATATACCTTTTTTTTTTTAACGTTGGGAAAAGCATTTACGCACGACGTGTGGGACTCACCGGCGTAATACAGCCAGTACTACCCACTAAAACCCAACAAAACCTTCCCCCGTCTTAATGGGGCGTCGCAGGATCGCTTACGCATTCAACTACGACGCCCCGACGGCAGGTCTGCCAAAGCAGACCACCACAACCATGGGGTTGCTCCAAGGTCCACTCTGCTATCAGAGAAGTACCAGGAGCAACCCGCAAGGTACACCGCCCCCCGAAGAGGGCCACCTCCCACCGCCCACCGAAGTGGGCAACCTCCCAGTGCGTTTCTTAGCTTCGCTACTACTACTGAGCCCCCCCACCACGACAAGGTGAACGCACGTTGGGGGGGAATGAATTATATACCTGAACCAGGGTTCGAAAAAATAATTATCATTGATATGGGTTGATAATTATATCTTTGATAGATATAATCGAAAATATTTAATTTGCAACTCTTCAAATTGTCGATCAGCTAATTGAACTCTCTCCATCAGCTCAAAAAACTCATTCAGCAAACTGAGTCAATGCAGTTGAGGAGAACGAGGATGATATTCCAGTCATTAATTTAATTAAATAGGGCCTGTGTAGTTTGTTAAAAATAAAAGTTAATACAAAAGATTACTTTGATTGTTAAAAGTGTAAATTATTATATTCTAACGTGAATTATGATAGGCAAATAGTCAAATACCAATACCTACACAAGGATTGCTAAGTTTATATCTGTTTGATAATTATCTTGATAATTAACGCGATAATTATCAATAGACATTTATCTTGATAATTTCATTCCCTGAATTGAACCATCCTCATGAATCACTCCGTCCATTGGTGTAAACCGTACGAAAATCTGTCCGGTAGTTTTTGAGTTTATCGGGTTCAGACAGACAGACGCGATGGGGGACTTTGTTTTATAATATGTATAGACATAGATGTTGCTTACATTTAAAATTTGAAACAATTTTGTCGTTAGTGTATTACACAATACAATATATTCAGAATTCGTCCCGATAGGTGGCGCTGCATAAAAAATAAAGTTTAAAACTGCAGCAAATTCAAGCAGGGTCAAAGCACTCAAACACACAAAATTTATAAAAATCGGTCCAGTCGTTTAGAAAGAGTTCAGGAAAGTTCGGATGGATGGATATTTGTTACTCAATCACGCCAGAACAGCTGAACTGAAATTTGGCACAGATTTAGATTATAGTCTGGAATAACACATAGTTACTTATTATCCCGGAAAAATGTACGGTTCTCGTGGGATAGATTTGTTTTTGTTTTTCATAGGAAGTCATATGTATATATATAAAAGATACAGGATAGACGTCTGTTTGATGTTGGATTAGTACACTTATTTTGAATGTAACTGGATGCAGATAACGCGATCCCAATAAAGTCGTGGTTCTCGGACCCGATGGACCTGGCGCTGCTCAACCTGCTGCCGGTGCTGGACGCGCTGCGCTTCACGCACGACGTGCGCTCCGTGCTCTCGCGCAACCTGCACCTGCACCGCCTCTGGTAGCGGCCCCGAGGTGAGACACGCACACACACTATTACAAGGTTCTATGTTTCATTAGCTACAGTTTTGCAAAAACAAACCACTAAATAGCGGCACTTTAGCTACAAAATATTCAACTTTACATAGTTCTATGTTGTTTTTTTTTACGATAACAAACTTCATTAAAATTAACATAGGACCTTGTAATAGTAAGCCAACGAATTATGTATATAAATACATGACGAAACAGATCATATGTACTCACTCGCTGGCATACACACACGTATGCACGCACAGAGCCATAATTAAATAAATAAAGATATGTACATAGATTATTATAGAATAAATAAACTGCTTTATTTTAATTTCCATATTGAATTTGGAATATTTGTTGTGTGAAATCGTCACGAATTTGTAGTTTCGTTGTGAAATACATGTCCTTTAAAATCGAAATGCATTTACACTGACGCGCATTCCGTAATTGTGTAAACTTTTGTTATATTTGTTCATTTGAACTGAAAACTTTGAACTGACTTCAATTTCTGTCCATAAATTGAGCTAGACTATATAAAATTTTATTCCAGTATCCACATGTTTGTTAGAAATAAAAGGCAAAGAGACTAAAAAAAAATATTTTTACTTTACTACATACACAAGCTTAAAACAATATTAGTTAATCGGGATATGGAACAAATGAACAAATGATTTTATTTGGATCCATTCCTAGTCTATCTAATATTAATCAAATGGTCAATAAATAAATATTTTTTTTATTACCTTAAAAAAATGGCTTATACAATTTGTTTTTTGATGTTCCAGATGAATACCGGCTTTTGTACAAATTAAGGAGGCTGGTACGCTTCCGGATACTATTTATTATTATTATTATTATTATATTTTTTTCACTTGTTAGGTACTTCAACGCTTATTCAAATATACATATAGAAATTATATAGTTAATTAATGTTTTCTTTAGTTTTTTTTTTTTTAAATTCATTAGTGTAATATACCTGATGTATATTAAGTCACCTACAAATGTAGGAAGTTCAAAACGCCCGTTTGCACTATGGACTTGCGTCGATGTGAATAGTGTGGACATGACCTAGCTATTTTATTTATTTATTTAGACTAAATAAATAAATAGCTATATTAGTTAGTTGTTTGAAATACTTATCCTTTCTTCGCTTGGGTTCGTCCCTAGGTATGTTTTAATTTTTTTAGCGGAACCCTAATTCTTGTTCTAAAATTAACGTAGCCTAATTTACTCCTTATAAAATCAGCTATCTGCCAGTGAAAGTCCCGTGTAGCTAAAATTGGAGGTTTTGATTGATTACAACCAAATATTTTAAATTTTATACATAGAGGTACCATAAATATTAAAATTTTTAGAAGTATATTATTTCATTGTTCATATATAAGTTGCATTAAAGTATCGCCAGGGCAAGTCCACGTTATGACGATGCTTATATTTCTATATGTGCCTCTCTTTCGCATGCACTGATTAGAGTGAAACGGCTGTTTTAATAACCAATTTAAGTATAGTATAGGTTATTATGGAAACCATTTTGTAATGATACGTCCCTGTGACATGGATTTTTGTTTATTTGAAACCTTGGTACTTTATCAATGAATGTAACGAAATTTTATTATACATATTTTTGTTATTTGATTGAAAAAAATATATGATTTTAATCATTTATTAATAAGTTCTAATGGTATCAAGTTATTTGAAGAATATACATATTGATTTAAATATGATATTGTGTACTCAAAAACCCCACCTTAACTGAATGAAGCTAAAGCTCATGTTGCATGTATGCGTACAGCAGGTTTTTTTTGTATATTTATTATATTTCTTAAGCAATAATTAGGTAGCTTATTTTAAAAATGGCGTCATATACGCTCACATTACAATTTTTTTTTAATAATATAATAAAATTATTTTTAGCGACCAAAATTAGGAAACAATTTTTCGTACGCAAATAAAAATTTGAGAACTTTTACTATATACTGTGGTATTTTGCTATAGACTTGAGAAGATTTTAAGTGGCAATTTTTTTTTACTTGAATTAAATAAACTTTCTTCAATAACTGAATAAGCAAAATAACTAACGAAAATAAATTTTAATTTTGCAATGTGAGCTTTACAATATAACATAACACTTTGTTGTTAAATTTTCTTCGACGAATAGATATATGTAACTTAATATGTATTGTCATTCCAAAAGGCTGTTGAATAGTTTTCATAATGAATGTATATATCGCAGACGGATTATTAAATTTAGCTATGTTACATAATAGCTAGCTGTTTTACAAAACAGCTCCGTTATGTAAAACAGCTGGACGACGTTTAGCATTTTTTTATAATTACTCAAATTTAACACGCTAAATTGCATGAACGTTTTGTATTTATGATTGCAAAACATTATGTTGGGTTAACGATTAGAGATTTTGTAAAGCAGCGTGAATTGAAACGTCAGATTGTAGATTTTAGTAATTTTTGATTTCTGATTATAGGTGACTTAAGGTGTTCTTTTTTATTTCAAACCCAGAATCCCTTTGATGGCAATTCAGCTAAACACTGTTCAGCTGTTTTGTAAAATAACTAACGGTTTTATAAAACAGCTGATTCGGCAATCCATCTGCGATACACACATCTTAAGGCTTGTCGCTCTATTAATCGGAGCGTGATGTATGTTTATATGTGTTCTTCCATATTTCACATTAACAGGAAGAGCTTCGTAGTCGCACGATCAGTTGGGCAACTTGTTTGAAGATTTTTATCAATTGTCAATTTTGGAATGGCAACACATGTTACTGTATATTCTATATATATGGAAATATCGTTAAATTATGTTACGCGTCTCTTGAGAATGTTTCACCTAAATATATAGATATAGAAAAAAAATTGAACTTTTTATAAATATTGTATAAATTTTAATTGTAAACGATTTGTTTGTTTCCGAAACGATTTTTTCTAATGTTTGGAAACTTGCGGATCGTATTAGTTAAGTAATAGCGTTCTAACGCTAAGTGTAGCGTCACACTTGTGTACAGTAATTTTCTCATTTCAAGCCACTTTTATACTATGCTTAACCGACTACAAATAATGATATGAGTTTTTCTCTCGTATTTCGTCCTATCTTTGTTCTTATTTGTCCAAACGTTAAACCAGTTTACCGAAAGAGTTTTTATTACAGATTTATTGACTTGTTAAATGGCAATTCTTTCGGTATATAATTGGTAAATTTTACTTTAAAATAAACCGAAAAAAATATTTCATCTACATATATATATGTATGTAATTCTTAGAAATAAAGCGTTGTTTTTTAAATAGAGGAAACCAACTTTCTATCTCATTATCCCATGAATTATATGTAATATTATAAATGCGAAGCTTAGATAGATGTTTGTTACTCAATTACGCTAAAACCGCTGAACGTATCTGAATAAAATTTAGCACAGAGATAGATTATAGTCTGGAATAACACATAGTTAGTTTTTATCCAATGTACAAAAATGTACAGTTCCCATGGAATAGATTTCTTTTTGCTTTTCACTAGCTACAAACCCGAGGGATGCAAGAGTGAGTTGCTAGTTGTAAAATACGACAACTTACAAGTAGTGGTTGGTGGTTTGAACAAATAAGCACAAAGGCTACGATAATATATATTATTATACACAAGATCGAAATAAATTTCATTTTAAAACATTGAATGATTGAATACGCCAGTGTGACGCTAGCTTTATGACAATAGTGTAAACTGTAAAGTATACCGTTAAATAAAACTCCCATGTACAAACTACCGATGTTCAACAGAATATTGTTCGCTGAATACGCTGTTTATTTTTGCTCAGCGATCGCGTATTGTGGATGTTATGTTTGTATATATATAAAGATTTTGTATATTATATAATAAATAATGTTTGTCATATATTTTTTTCTTTCAGGATGTGTCTTTCGTGTGAAATATAGATTATTCTCTAATTTTACGTCGAGTGTTGTTTAGTTTATTTTTTTTTCAATATCGTTAATAATATCTATTGCGATTCTCGTAATGAAATCTTGGCAGATTTCAGTCCCTACGGCCAGTCTCACTATGACTAAATCTGCCGATGTTATAGTGCTGACGTGGTACAGTCATTCTTTTAAGCCCCAAGTATGGTTAGACGACTTCGACTCAATTACAGAGATTAGGTCTTTTTTTTATTGAATATATTTGGTTTCACTCGTGACTCGATCCTAGGACCTCTGGATCTGCCAGCTGTACATGCTAGCCATTACTAACTAGGCGAATGAGGATATTGACTTAGAAATAAAAAAAATGAAGAGAATGTTTTAACGTAATTTGTGTACTAAAATCTTTCACCTTCTATTGAACACCTATTTATTCAGCCCTCTAACGTCCCATTGCTGGGAGTGCGCCTCTCTTCAGTACAAGGAGGATCAGGCCATAGTCCACCACGCTGGCCAAGTGCGGGCAGACTGAGTAAACCTTTGAAAACTTGCTAGGATCTCTCAAACATGCAGATTTCCTTACAATGTTTTCCTTCACCGTTAGACAACTGGTAATCCTGTTAGAAATGATTCGCACATGAAAATATCAGAGGTGCGAGACCCGGGATTTGAACCCGCTTCACTCGATTTTTCAACGTTACCACAGAGAATGACGTTATAAAAATCGTTCCTTAATACTCATTTTCATTAAATAAAAAAAATGCCATGCTTCTTAAAAGAAGCCAACAAGTTAGGCTCTTTATTATATCACAAACAAAATATGCAGACGAAACCACGGGATCCACTAGTTTATCATATATATGAAGTACAATTCCTACAATATGCGATCGCTTTATTATTTATATTTAAAATAATATATGATAGTTAATATTAAGACTCGACCTTATTTCCTCGGACATAGGGTATAATTTAAGAAATAAGTTATTAGGCGTGAATAAACAGCGTTGTCAGCTAACTGTTAGATGATTTACGCATGTTATATGTATGTATATACTTATGAAAATTTGGCCAAGTTAATGGACTTTGGAAAGCTTGAATTTTTTGGTTTTTAATCGTTTTAGTGCTACCGTTGTTCCAGATGATGTTAAGGTACAAAGTGTTCTAAGTAAATATTTGAGATATTTATTTGAATTTGGAGGAATATATTCGTATTATTAATCATTGTCTGTGGTAACTAGCTGACCTGATATACGCTGTCATGTCCCAAAAAGAAAAGATTTTTTTTTAATTTCCCAATGTTTTTTCTAAAAAAAATGAACATATCGGTCTAGTTGTTATTTTTATTTATCAATTTTCATAAAAAAAGCCATTCAAAACGACGGTAGCACTAAAGTCGATTGTATAACATATCTTAATTGATATTTAATTTAAAGCTTTAACGTCGATCGATCGAGGTTTGTCGTATTTTCCCATCTATCAAAAAAAGTACTACATACACAATCGGCGACAAAAAATGTCCTCACCGAATGAGCGCTCATTTGAACATTTGAGCGCGTCTTTCTAATTTTTTTGAGAAAACAACTTTAAGCATTACATCTAAGGTTCAATTTACATTGTTGTGAATTTATTTCAACTACAATAATTACCTAAACACAATTGGTGACAGTTTTAAGAGAACTTTCGCATGGGATTGTGTATCTAGTACTTTTTTGATCGATGTATTTTCCACACGGAATCCATGACATCAATAAAAATCTTTCTCAACTGCATAATCATGGTGTTTTAATATTTTTGGATATCTACAGATTTGATACGATTTATAAAAAAAAAATCGCTGTAAAAATGGACATTTTGTATGCAATTATTGTTCTTTATATGTACCCTGAAATGACTGATATTCCGCTTTATAATACTTATTAAATAATGTTTAAATTGTGTTTTTTTTTAAATATGGCTAACAAACATTTTAACAATTCAGGAAATCATATAAAACTTATAATTGATCGTTCGTTGTGAAATATAGTTTATTGAAGACACAAAATTTTTGATGCAAAGACCAAGAATTTTAGCATTTTTTTTTTAATAAACAAAAATAATAAAACATGATTAATTCATTGTTTCATACTTTTCCTCTAAATAAAGACGTAGCTCGATACTTAATGATGTAAACATGAAAGCGAGTTACTTTAACTACATCTCACATTAGTTGAATTAAAAAGAAAATTATTTCTCAAATGAAATATCATATCAAATATGACTTTAAATTTTCGCGTTCCATAATTATATAATGATTACACTACGGGAGTTAAACGTGGATTTGTTATTGGCTATATATGTATCTCGGGAATATGGTATATAGCCACTAACAAATTCAGGCGTTTAAGTCCCGTAGTGTAATTATTATATCTCAAATGTTCATATATTGTTCTCATTCTAGCTACGTCTATATAATATATATGTACAGAGTGTAGAAACCCCAGCCTTTATGTAAATATTTTTTTTTATGTACTGTTTGCACACAACATGAAAGTTGTAGTGAGATTAAAACCACCTAAATAAAGTAATAACAAAAATTTCATACTATTACAGTTTAAAGTTGGTGTTTTTTAGAAATTTTTGGTATTGCTAACTAAATTTTAGTTTACATCCATCTTACCAAATGACGTTCATATAATTTTGAATTTTTGTTACTATGTTAGAAGCAGGGCTCGGAAACCTGTTCAATTTTTAAACCGGTTTTGGTCATTGACCCCAAATCCAAAGGTTTTTCGGTTTAAGGGTTCGGTTGTTCTTTTACCGGTACCGGTTAAATTCAGGAGAACGGTTTTTGATAAATTTAGGTTTCATGATCAAAATAAACCTATTAAAATGAGTTTTGTATGATTACATTTGGCGCGTCTTTGCTAATGGTGAATGGCTTAGCAAAAGGATGCATGTACGTTTCTTACTTATGAATGAATTAACCGACTTGTTTCGGTATCAAAACCGAAATCCAACCTTTCTCTAAGAAAAACCGTTAGCCATTATTTTTTCGGTTTACTAAAGTTTTCATTAACCATTACATTACCGAAATAAACCGGGTTTTTTTAAACCGGTTCCGAGCCCTGGGTAGAAGCCAATGATTGTTTGTTTTCTTTTTATTTCTTTGAAAATATCACGTAAACGCTTAGCAATTATAGACTCAACTCATAGCACAATTAAATAAAAGAATTATTTTTCTAAACTACCCCCCAAATATTGTTTCTCAAACCCAAAGGACTTCATCACCATGAAAAATGGAATGTATTTTATGAATGTGAAAGGCAATTTCAGATATTTTATTGTTCTATTTAATATAAGTTTTCATTTTTAATGTATATAGTTCCGTGAAACGGTTATTTTTGTTAGTTAATAAATTTTATGTGTAAGATCTCGTCATATTGAATTAAATATGGCGAGTTTTAAGTAAAGCTAATTTCGATCCTGTGTTCAAAACTAAAATAAAATATTTGAAATGGCCTGCAATAACATTATGTAATTGTAAGTAGACAATCGACTGCGCGACACAGCGTTTAGTCTAAATTTTGGAAAATAAATTGTGCAACAATTTTGTGGTCTCAACTCGTTGTTCAAAGTTCAAAGGCGATTTGTAATATAGAGATATTAAATCGATTAAAAAATCTTTCGTTATTTATTATTTCACCTTTCATTTGACAGTTTTTATCCTGCGGCTTACTTAGTTTTATATAGGTATGAATAATTCAATTTTTTTTATACGGAAACTAGGTTGACGCTATGCTCCATATTCTCGTGTCCGATAATATGAAAGCATAGCGGCTCATACCCTCGCTTCATTCGGGTTCGTCCCTAGTTAAAAAGAAATCTATCCAATAAGAAACGTGCATTTTCCGGGATAAAAAGAAGCCCATGTGCTATTCCAGACTATAATCTATCTCTGTGCCAAATTTCATCCAGATCAAAGTGGAGCACGATATATTTGTGTAAAGGTTTTATTGAAACCCTTTACAAAAACCAGGTTGTAAGCCCCATAAAGGGTAACCAAATGGTTTTAACCGTCGATCAAAAAAGTACTAAACACACAATCGGCAACAAAAAAATGTCCTCACCGAAGTAGCGCTCATTTGAGCGCGCTTTTAATATTTTTTTATAAAAAAATCTTTATGCATTGCGCATAAGGTTTAATTTACGTTGTTTATTTATTCCAATGAATAATAATTACCTAAACACAATTATTAGTGACAGTTTTAAGATAATTATTGTGTGCGATTGTGTATATAGTAATTTTTTGATCGATGATCATAACCAGTTTAAATATTAATTTAATAATAGTGGAAACAGGTAGGGACTAAGTAAAATACTATATATTCTTCACGAAACGTTTAATTTGCGACTACTCGATGTTTTATTTAAATTTTTTTCAGGTATATAACATCCTTGTTAACATCAGTTGTAATTTGTATAAAATCTGGGAGTATTTTACGAAAATAAATTCGATTTATAATTTAGATAACAATCTCTTTTGACAGACTAATTGATAACAATTGAAAATTTTAATTTGAACTCCCTCAATAATTTTATAATTAAATTTAATCTGTTTTTTACGTTTTTAACATTTTCATATACAAAATGTTTTTTTTTTTTAATATAAGGAAAAGTATTTCATGTGAAAAAAGCACTTGGTTTCATAGTCAACAATAATACAACGGTTTTAGAAAAACATTAATTACTAAATGTACTGAATTTAAAAAGATCAAATTATACTTACCGCATGTTAATTTAATTACAAAGAGAAAAAATTTTTTTGACTATGAGACCATTTTTAAGTTTCCATAAAAAAGTTTATTTGTTCTCGTTTGATAGACAAAACACATTCAGTTTCTATTTAAATAAAACATGTCCAAAATGTTGACATAAGCCTGGATTTTTTACTGGGAAACTCAAACATGAATGTTTTAAACTTTCATATAGTAGAAATTGGCAAATTACAAAAAAATATACTAAAATTGTGTTCACAAAGTTAAAAAGTTTATAGTTGAAGGCATAGTACAATTTGCTTGTATATTTTGCAAAGGAAGACTTTGCATCGTATTGAAATAACAGTTCTAGCATATTACAGATACAAAATTAAAGTATTGTAAAGAAGTAGGAAATTTTTGCAGTCCTTATAAACAATACAAAATGTCAAAATTATACCCTTAAGTTTCAAAATTCATTGCATCAATCAAAAAAGAAAGAAAATATATATTTTATTTCTATACATCTACAAAAGACATACCCTACGTTTAACTTTATCCAGCAAATAGTATTATTATGCAAAAAAGACTTCTTGGCAAATGTATACAGGTTCAGTCAATTTTACAATACAAATCTTTCTATTTAATTATTATTGTGGCAATAACGTTATCTAATAAACATATCCATGGACAGATTTTAGTAATACTTTCATTTAAATATAATTTAGTTAGGTTTTGAAAAAGTAACAAAAATAATTTTTCATATTGTCAAGTTATCGTCAAGTTTCATATCTATGTCTTACATAGAAAATCTGTATAAGGCCAACTGAGTAAAAACTATACGCCAGTACCAATATCACAAATAGCTTTTCTGTTATATAATAAATGTGACTTTGGTCAGATCTTTCTAGTCACTTAAATTCATTCTCTATACAGATTTATATCACTGTCAAAGGTTTAAAACTTATTTAAAAATACTCTGTCCAAGGAAATAACTACAAATCTACTGGGTCTACACAACAATGTGGGGATTTACTCTTCAAATTACAACTGTACATTAATTACCACTGGCCAGATCAGTGGTTTGTTAAAAGAACATATTTTATGAAACAGAAAAAGCCTTTTCTGAAAAGGATTTGACGTATGCTTCATGTAATTTGTTAACAAAGTCAGTATCATGTTTAAGGAGATAATTGAAGGCCTGCAAAAGCTGATTTCTGGTTAATGGCTCTGGTGACTGATGAATTTCATTGCCCGGCGTTGCAGTGAACATAGTAGGAGGCATAAGAGCTGGCTTTTGTTGGTTCGCTAAAACATTAGTAATTGAAAAAATACCTCCCACATCTTCTAGCTTTCCACCATTATAAGAACCTACTTGGTGAGTAATATCTTGAGATTGATTCAAATAGGCTGCTAAAGGTGATGTAGGTTTAGGTGAAGAAATATGCATCAAATTTAACTCAGCTTCTAATGGATTCGGACCATTATTATCCACATTCTCTAATTGTTGCATTTTCTTGAGATTTATCCTTTGCTGATTTTGCTTTTCAATAGGAGTAGATTTAAGTGAAAATGAATTGTTTTGCCTCAAATTTGGATCTAAAGAAATATTGCCATTAGATGTTTGGGCATCCTGTGGAGTGACAGACCGCTGTTGTTTTTCAATATGCTCCACCGAATGGGCAGGATTACTCATAAGCCTTTGCAATAGTAAAGGCGCTTCTCGAGAATCACTTGGCAGCGGTCCAAAGATTCCTGGAGATGGAAGTGAAGAGACAGCTGGCATTTGAGCAGCTGCTGCACCGCTGCCTGCTTTTGCAAAAAAGTCCATTACACTTTGTGATGCCATGTCAGGTGCTCGCGATGGAGTCGACTCATTCTTATTTGGCGTCAAACCCTTATTAGAATTAAAATCATCTTGCGCTTTGCTCAGCATGCTAAATATATCAACAGACGAACTTGGCTTGGCTGCCGGAGGGTACACTGGATTTTGTGGCATATCATTCGGCGCTTTTACTATGGAATTCAATTTTGTCGCCACCCTTACGCACTCGTCTTTATCGTAGAACCATATGCCGTAAATACGACACTTCGCGTTCCTATATAATAGAAACGGCTCCTTTAATTGCAATTCGATTCCTTTAGAAACAGGCTCAATTAGATTATTCGTATTTAATCTGTTCATAATCACCAAACTGTGGTAAGGTTCACCATTTCTACTGTACACAAACAAAGCACCTTCGATGTTAGTTTTTTCCCATTCGTTTTCTTCAAAAGTATAAAGTGCTACGTGGGTAGCACTGTCAATTATTTCTCTGGCATATGGATCTGCCCTCTTTAATGCAGCGAAATTCATACGTAGACCGGTGTCAGCCATTTTATACCGACATACACAAATACGTTTTTACACGACGAACAAGCATCACCATCACAGCAAAATGACAGGATGAAGAATGAACAAGTTCGCCATCTTTATTAACGTTCCGAAAGTCACAGAATATCAATGATGTGCTGAATATTTAAATATTATTTAGAAAAATAAACTTTAGAAATTCATTGATAAATTTGTAAAGCTATTTTATAATTTTTAACAGAAACTTATGTTAGCCTTATATTTTTTAGAATATCTATTCACTTAAATAATCAAATTAGATGTTTTATCGGTTAGTAGATAACTAGCCACATTCTTTATCAGCAAATTGAAATTTATATTTAAAAAAAATAAGTGAAAAACCAACATGGCGCTTGAAATCAATCATGTTTGTTAAGCCCATGAAGGTAAGGGTTTATAGTTTCTCCTCTGTAAATATTTTTAAAGGACAAAAAATGAAACAATAATTTTCAAGCCAAAACTTCTAAACTCAAATACGAATAAGCAATCTAATTTACAGATCAATTGTTTTTTTTAAATATATCCAATATTTTTTTAAATTGTAATTGTTGATGTATTTTTTATCGTTTGTGCAATGGTGGATGAGTGCTCTAATCTTTGATCAAAATAGTACTAGATAATCAATCAGCGATATAAAAAGGCCTCACTAAATGAGCGCTCATTTGAACATTTGAGCGCGCTTTTAATTTAAATTGTTCTTTTGTGAAAACAGCTTTAAATATTGCATTCGAGGTTCAATTTACATCTTTGTATATTTATTTTAACTACAATAAATTACATTAAATATAATTTTTGATCGATGGCTCTAATGAACTTTTTGATTTAGAGACACCATCATGCTTCTATTATCGCACCCTTCACCGCCGGGTTAGATATCATCCACATAACCTGGATGCTTGACTGACTTGGTGCTGGTGCTGTAAGACCAAATTGTAAAAAATCATGATTCTAATTCAACCCTATAAGTTTTATTTTAAAATTTCAGTAAATGATACAACATAAACGCCCGTATTTTTGATGTGAAACACCTATTAGCGCGCCTTGAACGTAAAACCGACTCGTGGTGTGACGGCAAACGATGACGCTGTCTTGCTATCATGCACCTTCTACACCACCGCTCTCGACTCCCTTGTGTGTGCGCGTGCGTATACTACATACGCTCTATTGTAAAACAGTCTCTATTAAAAATACATATACATATTTTCTATTCTATTTATGAACGTAGAATATATTCTGTAATTATTATTATGATTAAAATAAGAAAAATAAATTGATTTTATTAATGAAACTCTATTTTTACGTTATAGGTTCTTATTAATTATGAATTCTTGATACTATGGTATGGTATGGTATGTTCGGGCTGTTTTCCGCAACTCGACGACTATGCGCCTATTTTGCGTGTGTGGGAAATTAACTTCTTGTTACTCTTGCCACCCCAGTTCCTCCAGGAACTTCAGCAACCTCTTCGTCTTGCCGAAAATTTCCGGGAGTGACCCAGGAGTGCCAAGATGTTGAGCCCGGTACGTCGCTACACCTGGACAATACAAGATCACATGTGCAGCCGTTTCATCTGCCCCCATGCACGCCCTGCAAAGTGGACTGTCAGTTATACCTATATTAAATAGATGTTTATTATATGGTCCGTGGCCGGTTAAGGCCGCGGTTATTTGCCTGAGTTGAGGTCTGTTAAGTTTGATGATACGGTTCGATATTTTGGCATCAATGTTTGGAAGCGATTCTTTCGCCTGTCTACAGTCTACAACTTCACGCCATACATTGTTGTGTTGGCGTTTAGTTCGTTGTCGGATTTGGCCTTTGAGCCAGCAAGAAGGTAACGAGACGATGGGCTCTGGTCCTATCGCCGTCATGTCCGAACCCCTTCTTGCTAGCTCATCTGCCTTATCGTTCCCCCACGAGTTACTGTGGCCTTTGATCCATTGTAAGGTGATCTCATTCCGGTCACTTACCTGTGTCAAGGCCTTATGACATTCATAGATCATACCTGATGTGGTAGAATTACTATTTAATGCCTGTAGTGCTGACATGCTGTCTGATAATATGCGGATGGAGCAGTCTTCCACCTTCTTTGCCGCAATTGTTCTGGCTGCCTCAAGGATACCTAGACTTTCAGCTTGAAACACCGTGTTGTAGGTACCTAGAGGTATTGAGGTTTTAATGTTTAAATCATCGGAGAAAATGCCACAGCCAGTCCCCGATTTGGTTTTCGAGCCGTCGGTGTAGATTCTTAGGTCCTTACTGTGGCGACCTTCATGTGTATCTTCCTCCAGCTGTATTTTATATTTTTTGTCAAAAATGTATTTTATTTGTATTCCGTCATTGGGTGCTCCCATAAGAGGAATGTCTTTGGCTACGTCCATTAGGATTTTTGTATGTGGAGTGCCTGTTTTCCTTAGCAGTTTTTGACCATCTAGTCTTATCGCGGTAGACGCAGCCTCTTGTTGTATAAACAAGTGAAGCGGTAAAAGGTTTAGCATGGCTTCGAGAGCTGCGATTGGTGTTGTTCTCATGCAGCCCGTCACTGCCATGCACACCAGCCTTTGCCAGCTTTGTAGCTTGGTTTGTGCTGTGGTCAAAAGTGTTCTACGCCACCACACTAAGGCACCATAGCTGATCATAGGTCGTATTACCGATGTATATAGCCATAGAGTTATTTTGGGATTAAGGCCCCATTTTTTACCTATCATCCTTCGGCATTGCCAGAAGGTGATACTGGCTTTGTTTAGTAAATTGTCTAGGTGTTTAGACCAATTTAGTTTGCTATCTAAGGTAATTCCAAGGTATTTTACCTCTGTGGTTAATGTTAAGGTGGAGTTAAAGAGTTTCGGCAGGGTGTAGCTTCCTAGAGCTCTTTTGTTTGTGAACATTATTAGTTCTGTTTTACGTGTTAACACTCAGATTATAGTCATAACACCATTTTTCGACTATATTTAGGGCTGTCTGAGTTAATTCACAGACTGTACTTGTGAATTTGCCCGTTACGAGGATGGCTAGGTCATCTGCATAGCCTATCGTATAATATCTGTTGTTGTTGAGCAGGGTTATTAGGTCGTTGACTACTAGGTTCCATAAGAGGGGTGAGAGTACTCCTCCTTGAGGACATCCTTTGGCCACGATGGCACCTTGTTTGTTGCTGTTACCTAGCCTGACCACTCTGTTCGCTAGCATGTATTGGATCCAGTCAGTTATTACTGGATTTACCTTATGTCTACTGAGTGCGGCTTTGATACTAGTGAAGTTGGTTTTGTCAAAAGCACCTTCAATGTCAATGAAGGTGCCTAGACAAATGTCTTTGGTATCTAGTGCCTCTTCGATTTTGTATACTACTGCATGAAGCGCTGATTCCGTTGATTTGCCTGAACTATAGGCATGTTGATTCCTGTGTAAGGGTGTTTTAGCTAAAGCGTTATCTCTCAGGTGTCTATCACATAATCTTTCCATAGTCTTAAGTAAGAAAGATGTGAGACTGATTGGTCTGTAGGATTTTGCATCCGAGTAATCTGTTCTACCTGGTTTCGGTATGAAGATTACTTTAACTTCTCTCCAGGTTTTAGGCACGTAGCCATACGCCAAACATGCCTGGTATATTTTGTTAAGTGTGTGGTGCAGTCTCGGGCCTCCCCATTGTATAAAGGCAGGGTAGATTCCATCTAGACCCGGCGCCTTGAATGGTTGGAAGCTTTTGATGGCCCACGCTATTTTCTTGGTGTTTATGACCTCTGACGCAACTTGCCAAGAGGTGTCTGTTTGCATTTTGGTTTACGTCTAACCACTTGTGTTCATTAATCCTAAAAATGTTTTCCTTCACCGTAAGGCAAGTGGTAATCATGGTAGAAATGATTCGCACATGAAAATATCAGAGGTGCGACACCCGGGATTTGAACCCGCTTCACTCGGTTTCCCAAGCGAGAGCGTTACCACTGGACTAACACTGCTTTTTTCTTATAATGCTTACTTAGCTTAAAATGAGAAATGTATTAATTACAAAAGATTAATTCTAGGAATTAGAAATAGGACGCAAAGAGCTGGAGGCACTTAGTAATTCAGTAAGCAATCGGTACATAATTCGTTTTAAGTATTTGTTTTATTATATTAGTATAGAAGTATAGATTACAAAATAATAATTTAACAAACAAAAAATATAAAGTAATAATATTTTAGTTCCGCTGAGTTTTCTTTCGCGAATTCTTCTCAGGTCCGAGGCTTTTTCATTCCAAACTGTAATAATTTAATGATGAATACAATAATATGAATTTGTAGGCCTTCTGCTGCTGTCTACTACTAATAATTATTATAGTAGCTACGAGATATTATTGAGCATTTCAATACAAGTTATCTATAAAATATAGAATAAAAATATCAATTAAAACAAAAAGAGTAGGTACTATAAAATATTCGTTAATCGTTATAAATGGACAATGCTGATTAATAAATAATAGCCTAGTCTTAGTAGTTGTATTTAGTTATACATGTATGTTTATATTACAATCGTTTTCTCATGTAATATATCTTCAAGTAAAGAAATATTTTTTAAATCCCACATATTTTATTGGAATGCATCCTAGATGTAATAGTTATACGCATTAAAACTTAATATTTACGATTTATTTAATTAGCATTTTTACAGTTTTGTAACTTTGTCAAAAAACATTTTTACTTTTAATTTATTTCCAAGATGAAATCTACGTGAATACAAATAGATATAAGATTTCATCACTACGTATTGGAGATTGACCTCTTGTCATTTTGCACTTACCATGTTATTGTACTACTGATACAAGTGAACCCACGATTTCATTTTATAATCATAGTGATGTCTCTCGCTGTTACAATGTTAGTAACGATAAAAATAATACATATATGTATTTTTTTAAGTATTACAATATACTCCTAATTTGTTAAATACCTACCAACATATTAGTTCAATTTATTTTATTCAAAGATAAAAAAAAGTTTTATAACGTACTTTCGACAACAATGAAGAAGTAAAATAATTAATTAATAACTGATTAAATCCCAATAGAATATTGTTGAACAGATGTATACATATTAATTTTTTTATATATCGATATCGATAATAAGTCAGAACCTTGCGTTACACTATGCCGAATGTCAAACGGAAACGTCATTTTAAAGTTTACGCGTGTTGTGTGTGGTGGTGTACCTATTTTTGTTAAATTTTGTTTTTACGAACCTTGTGCCTTACTATCTAATAAGAATCTATCAATAAATCGTATAAGCGAAATTTTTGATAGTTTAAGCATTAACATACTTAGTTTTATATTCTAAATGAATTGTTAAAACACACGCGGCGTAAACTTAGTAAACAAGTAAAATCTATTTTATTACTTGTTATTTTGAAAAAAAAAATGTCTGAGAACGTTCTTGTGATTGGATCTGGGGGTAGGGAACATGCAATATGCTGGAAATTAGCCGAATCTCCTCTTGTAAAGAAGATTTTCTGCGCACCCGGCAGTGTTGGGATTAGCACGACAAAAGACAATGTTGAGAGCGTCGATTTGAACATAAAAGACTATCCTGTAAGTTATTTTTAAATACATTCCATAAATTTATTGATTAAAATTCTTCTTTCAAAAATTATATACCATTTATTTGTAATTTATCTAAAACATATACTTACAATAAATAAATACTGTTATAAACTTATTATCAATTATTCCATAACTATTTTTGTAAATAATTAATAGATGTTATTACATTTCTTTAGTTTTCCTTATTATGTCTCAATAAACCAAACTTTTATATAAGTTCATTACATTTAAAAATTAAAATATATTGAGCCAAAAACTTTCTCTTGAAGATTTTAAAATAAATAATTTTAATTGAAAATGCACCTGTTCATAAAATTACATATTTCCATTTAATTATATACTAAATAAATATATTACATTTTATATTGTACTTAAATATATATTTTTTACATATAGTATATTTTAACCAAAATAACAGTTCGAGAGGTTTTGTTCTTAAATTAATTATTTAAGAATATATTGCACTAGTTTGAACTTAGACCTAATATATATTTTATTTTTATTGATTTAGTAAATCTGTAAATATGACCTACGCTCACTTTTTACGAGCTCTCATATAATCAACACAGGCAACGAATGGCTTGCGGCTAAAGAAAATATCTTATACAATTATGTTTTTATTTTAATATTTCAAATAGCAATAATACCAACTTTCAAGTAAGTTTAGCTAGGTAAAGTTACATGTGAAAATCCATTTATAGTAGATATCCATGTCAGAATAAAATACATATACTGTAAAATTTTTAGTTCTAACATTTTGGGTTAGGTATTACTCAGGAAATATAATTGTCATATGCGTATTGTGTATCTATTACGAAATAAATCTTTCATTGTCACGGATGATGAATTTGAATACCAGTCAATAATCTAATACAAGATAACCTTTGAACTAAACTTTCATATTGTCTCTTAGTGATTACTTTGTTGCTGAGCGCATATATATGTATCATTAAAGTGACATAAAGATTATTTTGGTATAGAAATAGACTTTTACCAATTTAAAAGTAAGTTATTTTCTATATTTAAACTCAATTCATACTAAAATAATGTAGATAGCTATTTATAAATTTAATACATTATTCTAATTTATGTAGCTTAACCAATAAATTAGAGTTATTTTTTTTAATCTCAAAGGTGATAGAACCTTCATGTTAGAAACTTTACATTTTTTTTTTTTTTTTTTATCTGGTATTGCAGAAGCATAACGGAAATAATAAAAGGTAAAATACTTAAAGCGATTGAAAATTAGCCCAGGCAGAATTTTAGAAGACTTTTCATGTAAACTTAGGAACAATTGTTACATACACAGAGCTGAATTTACACTAGTAGCACTCGGGGCTAGTGCCCAGAGCGGCAAAATTCGACGAGTAGGAAAAAAATTCACTTCGCGTTATCGAAAAACGCTTTCATTCTTTTCCAAATATTTATTAACAATAAAAATTAACTAGTAAATTTTTCGAAAAATTGAAATCATTTTTTTTTCTTTGCCTTTTTCAAAAAAAAAATTAAACTTTATCGAAACTCAATTTCAATTTTCAATAATGGTAAATTTTTTAGATGTTTACCACGGGAAAATGAAACTACATTAAAATGAAAATATAAAAGAATTCCATTCAAATAAAATTATATTATTTAGGAAGTATTTATCGACAGGCTCAAGTTTTTAAGAATTTTCGCCCGTCTCCCTTACTGTACAAGGTAACATTTCGGTGATTACAATGTATTTTTTTATTTTACATAAGGCTTTGGCGTTTTGGTGCAAAGAGAACTCCATCGACCTAGTCGTAGTCGGTCCAGAAGACCCCCTAGCCAATGGGATAGTAGATGCGTTGGCTGCAAAAGGCATCAAATGCTTCGGTCCCACCAAAGCTGGTGCTGAAATCGAAGCTAATAAGGATTGGTCCAAGACATTTATGAACAAATATCAGATACCAACTGCCAGATATCAATCATTCACCGATGCAAATGCTGCAAAGGAGTTTATTAACAAGTAAGTTAATGCTGGTCATATTATTGGTTGATTGCAGTCATTTGCAGGGTATTTAATTATGGCATAGAAACAGTACGAGCAGTGCTTTAAAACTTAAAAAAAAAACTGGCTTATTTATCAAATATATAAATAATTTTGAACTCCCTTCTGTTTTTTTTATAAACCGACTTCTCAGTGAAAATATCTAATGCACCGCGATTAAAATTTTCATGATCGGATTGATCTCTAGAGCAGAGCTTCTTTTGCTTTATGTTCAAACTTAAAAACTATTTCTGTACTACTAATATTACGAGTATTAGGTACATATGAATTAATTGGATAAAAGTAAATACCCAGACGCAGGTGAAAGGACAACCTGGATGCCTTTATATAAAACTGGCAGGTTATCACCAGAAATAGAGCACAGTGGAAGGAAAAAAGAAACGCCTTTGCCCAGTTGTGGGACACTAACGGCTGAAAAAAAAAGTAAATAATAATCATGTTTTTATTCTAGCGCCCCATTCCCAGCTCTCGTAGTGAAGGCATCAGGCCTGGCAGCCGGCAAGGGCGTAGTGGTAGCGGCGAACAAAGAAGAAGCATGTCTGGCAGTCGACGAAATACTAACAGACGCTAAGTATGGCAGCGCCGGTGAAGTGGTGCTAGTTGAGGAGTTACTCGAGGGAGAGGAGGTTTCGGTGAGCATTTAATTTATGAATTTATTATACTAGTAGTGACTAACCCTTGCTGAGATGCGTCCCTATGTGTCTGTATTTAGCCCTTATTAATGTCCCACTGCTGGGCGCGGGCCTCCCTTCACTACGAGGGGATCAGGCCATAGTCGACTACGCTGGCCAAGTGCGGGTTAGTGAACCTCTGGAAAACTTGCTAGGTTCTCTCAGACATACAAGTTTCTTCACGATGTTTTCCTTCACTTGGAAATGATTCATGATAATATCAGAGGTACGAGACCCGAGACTGAACCCGCTTCATTCGGATTCCCAAGCTACGAATGGGCTATCCCTGTCAGCTTAGGTGCCTAACAGTAGTTAATCTATCTGTGTACTAAAATTTATTCAAATCTGTCTAACTGTTCCTGCCTGAAGGGGAAACAAACATATGTACATATTTTGATACATACAAACTTTCGATATTATAATATTAGTCATGTGTATAATGTTATTTTAAATAAAACTATCTTTTCGGGTTCTTTCGCGAATTTATTTTGTTTTTAGTTTGGTTGAGGAACCAAATTTCAAATATATCCGCGAAAAATTCCGAAAAGATACTTTTATTTAAAATGTCAAATATTCAGGCAAGTCTAAGAAAGTATATGTATGTATATAACACTTATTTTTTTATTATTGGGTTATGTGACCTGTGTGAATTTTTCGCACAGTATCGCGATAAGTTTCATTAAATGGCGCCACAAAAATTATTTAGGTAAATACGATTTTAATAAAAAGTTTTAAAAGTGGGTGTTTTACAATAAATAATAAAAACATATGTTGGGACATTAACACACAGCACAATCTAGTTCCATGGGAAGCTACGAGGCGTGTGTTATGGATATCAGATAGTTGATACACTACACATATATAAACTTTAAATACATACATATTATAAATATAAACACCCATGACTGGAGTACAAACATTCGTGCTCATCACACAATGAATGCCCCCAGCGGGACTCGAACCCGCGACCGCTGGCACAGTAATTAGGGTCACTACAAACTGAGCCAAACGTGTCGTCGTATATTTTGTTAATTTTCGAAAAAGTACTCATATCAGAGTTTGACATAAGATTGTTCGAACCAATGTCCATTTATATAAACTCGTGATGTAATCATAAATAGTATTGTTTTCACAAATCCTCCGTCCATTGATATCACTTGAATTGAACGAAATCTGTATGTCTGAGACAACATAACTAGTTTTTGAATGGTATTTGAAAGCCTATCCACATTTTGGCCAGCGTGGTGGACTATGATACCCCTCGGCCCTCGTATTGAAGAAAACTTATCCTATGTCCAGCAGTAGGACGTTAAAAAAGGTTCAATTATAATTAAATCCGGGAACTAGAAGTTCCCAGATGAAAAGTAGCCTATGTCTGTCTCACAAATTTAAAATAAGTGTCGATCTCTTACGTCACTAGTGCGTTAAAGTACATAACAAACAAACAAATTTACATTCATGCTATTAAAAGTTAGGATGAAAACGTAAGCTTAAGTAGGTACGTACCTAATTTCTAACTTTACAGGGGAATGAAACTTAAAATTATCGATACTGTCTATCGATAATTTTAGATTTCGTATCGTGTTATTACTAGCGATACCAAAAGCCTATGTCTTCGGGTCATAGTCTATCTATGTTCTTTTAATCCGAATCTAACGGATTCAGTCGTTTCAGCGTGAACGAGTAACGAAATAATTTTGTTACGCCCAGATTTCAACTCTAAAATGCGAATAAGTCCTTCATATGCCTGAGTATACGCATTACGCATCTATAATAAGATTCGACAGACTGTCAGATTCAACAATTTAAAGATAATATTAAAAATATTTTAACGAGTAAACAGATATTATAGATTACTCTGTTCAAGAGTTTCTTGTTGATGGAAATGTGTGGCATTGAGATATATTGACTCATATGTGGTCTATCTATTATATTCTATAATGTTATGTTATTAAAATAAATAATACAATGTAACTCGATATTTAAAACAGCTACTGTTGAGTTTCTCCACGGTTCTTCTAAGCAGAACTGCTTTCCGAGCTGGTGGTGGCTTCCTCACGGATTGACTACACTGACTTCTTTTGAATTAAATTGACAATTCAAAAGTGCTTCTAGAAATCTTATTGAAGAAAGTTTAATTTGATTTCATCACACAGTAGAAAGTATAGTACAAATATAAGATACGATATATTTTTCTTGAGAACTGAATGAAGCATCTGTCGTTAATGCGATTGGACTAACTTTGCGTAATTTCACACCTTATTTACGTAAATGTCACAAAGACGAATATTTCCTTCAGCGCGTGCTGATAACAAGGGTCGTGTCAATAAGAAATAATAACAAGTTACGTTTAAAGTGGGTGATGATAAGATGATCTAAGAAAAAAAAACATTTTAAATGTTCACTCGCTAAAAAATAATTTTGTAGGTACTCATAGGTATCTTATATTTTTCTAATATAACCTGCGTTCTACACAAACCATGTTTTTGTACTATAACTTTTTAAATTTTCGCGTTCCATAACACCTCCAGGTTTTCTAAGAAATTAATTAAAATTCTAAGAAATCTATTGTTAACTGACACGCCGGCGTGTCCGCGATCGTGGATGGAATAGTTATAATATAATAATTACTCTATGGGACTTAAACATGTGAATTCGTTAGTGGCTATATACCTTACTAACGACTCACCCTCGCTTCGCTCGGGTTCGTCCCTAGCTTGCTTCCCAATACAAACTTTCATCCCCGTTTTCACCTCCTTACGGGATGATTTACAGGATAATAGGTATAGATGGACTATATATTAGTATACATAGGTATGTTGAATTTTATATCCGTTACTTGAGAAATGATTGATTCCACATACAAATTTTCATCCCTCTTTTCAGCCCCTTAAGGGATGATTTCTGAGATAAAAATCCTATGTTCTTCCCAGAGTCTCAAACTATCTTCTTACCAAATTTCATCTAAATCGGTTCAGTAGCTCCAGAGATTACCCCCTACAACGTCAAAAACTCACAACCTCACAAACTCTGAAACTTTACCTCTTTATAATATTAGTATAGATTCCCGACGTAAACTTTCTAGCTGTCGAATATTTGATATCCCGGTACGGGCCGGAGTTGATAGAAGAATGCTTGCGTCGGAAATAAGGTATAGGTATAGCCACTGACAAACTCACGCGTTTAAGTTTTTTAGTGTAATTATTTTTGTACGCTACGTAACTTTTTTTAATTTCTACTATTTCAAATTTTTTTTTGCAATAACTATAAAAATCGATATTTTTGAAAAAATACAATAATAAAATGCGAAAGTGTTTTTTTTTTAATTGTCTTTGTCTTACCTACGAAACGGACTAACTCATTTTTTTTAAGAAATAATTTCATTAGGATACGAATAGGCTATCTATTGCAAAAATTTACTCAGAAATAGAATTCTGTTAAATTAATGGAGCAATTTTTTTTAATTACTAAGAATTGTTGTAGTTTGTTCGTTACTAAGCCTTATATCGTTTAAATAACAGTATCACATGCACTAAATTTAAACGATGACGAACAAATTAAAGCGATTCCACAGATAATATATCAGGGTTGCACTAAGTTGTTTGGTGCAGGTCATTGCGTTTGAACATAGGTTATCAAAGAAAAGTGTTAAGCTTAGCTAGATATTTATATGGATTTGTAAACATAAACTAGTATTCTTAGTCATGTCCAACAACTATTTCACAAAGTAGGTATCTGTTGATTTGATGGTTGCTTTGGTAAAAACATAATATTATGTAGGTACTGGCGTGTTATCTATTTTATGGTAGTAGAATATATTTGGTATATGTAATTAAAACTCACGCCAACGTCTGCATGGAAATTAAAAATAAATAAAATCAAGGTTATGTGAATCGTAGCGATACGTTCATCGTAATTTTAAAATAATATATTTTATCTATACTAATATTATAAAGAGGTAAAGTTTGTGAGCTTTTTTTTTATGGGACTAAGGGGGCAAACGGGCAGGAGACTCAACTGATGGAAAGTGATCACTACCGCCCATGGACATTTGCAACACCGAAGGGCTTGCAGATGCGTTGCCGGCCTTTAAGGAAGGAATACGCTCTCTTCTTGAAGGTGGCCAGGTCGTAGCGGTTCGGAAAGACCGCCGGCGATAGCTTGTAACGTTGTAGGGGTAATCTCTGGATCTACTGAACCGATTTAGATGAAATTTGGTAAGAAGATAGTTTGAGAGCCTGGGAAGGACATAGGATAGTTTTTATCCCGGAAATTATCCCTTAAGGGGATGAAAATGGGGATGAAACTTTGTATTGGAAAGCAAGCTAGGGAAGAACCCGAGCTACGCGAGGGTGAGTCGCTAGTATCTTAAATATTGAGCAAAGAGTGGAGAACTAATGTGTCAATTCCATCAAAATAAATATGTAGTTTTTTATATGGTCATTTTTACAATTATCGTTTTACTAGTGTACGAGCTAACGTATGTTCCATTTGAAACTCGCGATAAAAAGTAGCCTTAGATATCACTTGTCTCTAGACTAAATAAAATAACATCGATCAGTTGCTGCATGATAAAAGAACCAAACAATAAATATATTTTTCGTATTTATTCTTTAAAAAATTACACAACACACAGATAACTAGTTTTTTTTATGTACCTACAAACAACAAATTCTTTCATAATAATACATCATGCATATCCGTATTAAAGGTACTCGCCTTCACCGATGGCGAGACGGTGTCCCTAATGCCGCCAAGCCAAGACCACAAACGTATAGGGGATGGTGACACGGGTCCCAACACAGGCGGCATGGGCGCGTACTGTCCCTGCCCTCTCATCACGCCGGAGCAACTAGCTGACGTAAAAGACCAGGTTCTTCAACGTGCAGTAGATGGATTAAAGGCTGAAGGCATTAAATATGTTGGTAAGTTCAATCAAAACTGACATCTAGGATTTTTACGAATGGGTGTTCCACAAGGATCTATTCTTGGTCCTTTTCTTCTTTTAGTTTATACTAGCTACTCACCTTCGCTTCGGATCCGTCCCTAGACAAAAAAAATCTATCCTATGGGAACCGTATGTATTTTCGGGATAAAAATAAACCTATGTGCTATTCCAGACTATAATCTATATCTGCGCCATATTTCAACCAGATCCGTTCAGCCGTTCTTATTCTGACGTGACAGAGTAACAAACATCCATCCATCCTCACAAACTTTCACATTTATGATATTATTCTTTTGATGAAGATTTGTTTCTTTCCTATTTTTAGCTGATGATGACCTTCGAATGTGATCACGGTGGTTCATATCAACGTTGTTTGTCTAGCACAAACCTATCTAAACAGATAAATAAAATTGAAGTGTCTGTTTGTAATGTCAAAATAACAGTGTTTTACTAATGCATATGAAATTATAGGTATACCTTACTTATAAGAAAATCACATTTTTTTTAAATTTTGTCTGTCTGTCTGTTTGTTCCGCATAATCTCTGAAACGTTTTATGTTTCAATAGCATATTTTCTTCTTATAGAAAGTTACTAGCGCCTCATTATCGCTATACTCGATTTCATCCGTCCGTACGTTTTGACGGTTAGTATGGAATAGATAGACTATATGTTATATGATATATATAGCTAGTTTAACAGTTCCTGAGATTAGCGCGTTCAAACATACAAACTTTGCCTCTTTACAATATTGTAGTATAGAATAGTATAGATTAAATAATAAATACTTATTATACTTGTAATAAAAATTAGTTGTTGCTGTAGTTATTTTTTTGCCTTTACTGTGAGAGTAACAGTGACGTAAGACAAGGGTTATCGTTGTTCAAAAATTTTCCGGTGTTTGGAATAAATTTGTGGAATATTGATTAATCTATAGTTATAATTTGCAATAATAAAGATGTTCAATCTCATCCTCGTTGAATTTGATGAAAATTAAAATCCGCATTGAAAAGATATTCTGTCTTATTAAATGCAGTTGTTCCCAACATATCTTTACATATAATAAAATTGTAACTAAGCCGAATCTGTACATTAAATATTTTTTGGAAAATCTTATTGAAATAAACATTATTATCGATACAGAGGCCTAATCTGTAGTTTTTAGAATTTTTGTCTGTCTGTCTGTTACCGCATCACAGAAAAAGCACTGGAGGGATTTTGATGAAATTGGTATGGTGATAGCTGGTTATCCTTGTCAACATATAGGATACTTTTTACCGCGGGAAAATGTCTTATTTCTGAGAAAAAATACAAAATCTACAAAGTATACTCTTACATATTAGTATAATCTTAGTATACTAATATGTAAGAGTATACTAATCTAAAACCTAAGAATTTGGTTTCGGTCATCTGAACACGGGCGGAGCCGCAGGCAATGCTAGTTTTAAATAATTTAACAAACTGTCTTTTAATACTTTTCTTACATTTACGCGAATATTTAGCGTTTTACGCATAGTACATGCGTAGATAAATATTTACAAACTAGTATAAGGTACGTTTTTACTATTAGTATGGTATAGATGGACTATATATTAGTATACATAGGTATGTTGAATTTTATATCTGTTACTTGAGAAATGATTGAGTCCCCATACAAATTTTTATCCCCCTTTTCAGCACCTTAAGGGATAATTTCTGAGATAAAATTATCCTAATGTCGTTCCCAGAGTTCCAAACTATCTTCATACCAAATTTGATCTAAATCGGTTCAGTTTATAGTTTAATAATAATAATAAAGCCATTTATTTCAAATTTCCAAGTTACAATTCAAACGTAGTTAATAAGTTGTTAGTAAAGTTTCTTAATTTATTGTTTGTATGTATGTTTAGTCTTCTTTGATTGAAATATGGACCACTTTTTAGATAAAGCCACCTCCAACTTGTTCCATGTGACCTGGCACTTGCTTAAGTTGTTCCCTTGTTACCTGTATAATATCATCAGCTCACCTTGTCCTTGGTCTATCAATACTCCTTTTTCCCCCATGGTCCTTTACATCGTGTGTTCGTTCTATGGTCCATATTTTGTCCGTGTAGATGTGTCCGGTCCATTTCCATTTTAGTGTAAGTGCATAAGCGTCAGTAATTTTCGTTTTAAGCCTGATATTTTCGTTCTACATTTTGTGTACTTTCCTGATCTCCAACATACTCTTTTGCATTGCTGTTTGAGTGCATTTGATTTTCTTTTTTACTTTATTTGTATTACCCAAGTTTGACATCCATTAAGTTAGCATTTTTTTCCAGATGCAATCCATAATTTCCTTTAAGAATTTCTTTCGGAGACCAATTTTTTTTCCATGTTGCGTTTATTCTCCTTGTTATTTCTTCTTCGTTCTTAGACTTGTTAAATGAAACTTGTTTTCTTAAATATATATAATCTTGGACATATTCTATGTTGTTTCCTTTGATTGAAATAGGTCGTTTATGGCTGTTAGTCATTATCTTAGTTTTATTTAAGTTCATTTCTAGACCAATTTTGGAGCTTTCAACATCGAGTGTTGTCATCATTTTCTCAATATCCCTTGAAGTTTCAGCAATTATAGCTATGTCATCAGCGAATCTTAAATGGTTTAGGTAGTTCCCATTCACTAGCAATCCTTTGTTTGACCAGTCTAACTTCCGGAATATGTTTACAAAGGGGTCTCACTGTCTGACATCTCTTTTTAATTTTATTTCGTCTCCTCTATTATCTAGTTTTATTTTGCTTGTACAATTTGAATAAATATGTTTTAAGATATTAATGTATTTTTGTGAACATCTGAGCATTGCAGAGCATTCCAAACTGAGCAATCGCTAATACTGTCGAAGGCTATAATCTTTAGTTCTACTGTTTTTCTAGCTTTTGTATCCATGTTTGTGTGTGGACAGCACTTTATAGACTCTTTTGGTTCTTCTAAAATTACTCATGTTTCTTGTGATAATTTCGTGTCTATAGTTAGTTTTAGTTTCTTTTTCATATCTTTTGTTTTGTGTTGTTTATATTAATAGGGTGCGCTTTTTTATTAGTTGAACCGTGTCTTTATTGAATATTTTATGTCCTTCCAATATGTTTTTTTCTAGGAAGTTGTAATAGGTTTGAGTATCAGTTGAGTCCATTTGCTTAGTTCCTAAGTTTGTGTGTAGATTTATTCTGTTTATTATATGTTTAGTATGTCTTCGATTTCAAATTCCGTCTTCAGAATCTTAAATGGTGTACAAAGTTCTTTCTACTTTCTGTTTAGTTTATCCATTACAAGCAAGAATACAATTATTTTTCTTTATAATATTAGTATAGACTAGCGACTCACCCTCAACTCTGCTCAGGTTCGTCCGTACTTACGTTTTAACATTTGCTATAGATTTCTCAGAGGTGAGATATTTTCTCGCAGTAAAAAGTATCCTATATGTTAACCCGAATAACCAGTTATCATCATACCAATTTTCATCAAAATCCCTCCAGTGGTTTTTGCGTGATGCGGTAACAGACAGACAGACAAAAATTCTAAAAACTATAGATTCGGTATATGGATAATAATGTCTATTTCAATACGATTTTCCAAAAAATATTTAATATACAGATTTGACTTAGTTACAATTTTATTATATGTATAGATAGACATTTACCACATTAACGACACGCGTTCTATCAAGAAATAATAAAGTAAAAATTAACTCAGTCACCTTTGATAAGACGTAATTGCCTTCTCGTGCCACTCTAGAATTTATGTGCTAGATACCGATATAAGGTCCATAAATGAACCTTCTAATGTAAACATATAACTAATATGTTAATAAGTATACAGTGTTACTTGGAAGACTTATGATTGTTCGATGTTATGTAAAAGTTGCTAATTATATATCCCTAGATTACTTCGAATTTTTCATAAATATGATATATTTTTTAAGACTGCATTTAAAAAAAAATTATTACATTTTACAGCCTAACCAAAAAAAGCTCTGAATCTTGGAAAGGAATTTTTAAATTGAATACATATGAAATTAAAATTGTTGCCAACTTAGTAAGGATAAATGTTAATTGGATTAGGGACTTGGTTTTAATTTCTTTGAGCAGTACCATAATTCTTTTTCTAAAATAAAAGTAGCCTAAGTTACTCCTTATAACATCAGCTATCTGTCAGTGAAAGTCCTGTCAAATTCAGTCCAGCCGTTTCGAAGATTAGCCGGAACAAACAGGCAGACAGATAAAAATGTTAAAAATTGTGCTTTCCTTATAAGTAGGTACCGTATATAATTTTATATACGAGTACATTTAATAAAAAGCTTTTATTTCGACATTACAAACAGACACTTCAATTTTATATATCTGTAAGGATATCTGTTTCTTTTTTGTAGGTTTACTAGTAGTATATATTTACCAATGAATGTTATTGTATCACCAGCCAGATTTCACATAGTTACTTACAAAGTTTCAAATTGATGAGAAAGCCAAATAGCAGGTTAAAATCGACTTCCAAGATCTTATTATAGTTAAAAAAGATCGTGTTAGTGAAAATACATATATCTATAGTAATAATTATTTTATGTCATATGCCTACAGTTTCCACCACTAAGCTCGTTTCATCTAGTAATAACAAGTCGTCATCAGAATGTTTGTTATCAATTTCGAAGCAAACTTACGCCACTATACTCATGCTATGGTTACAGTTACAGTATACTGTGGTCGGTGACCTGTCCGATTATTTCATGCTACATTCTGTCTATGACATCTTGGTCTTAAATATCTAAGTTTTGAACTAAAAACTATGAAATCTTCATAGCTGTAGTTAGGTGAGGACTGTAATATACCAGTAGACAGGCAAAAAGAAAATTAAAAAAAAAAAAATAATAAAAAATATCAAATAATCTGTATAATCTGTATAAATATTATAAACGTAAAAAGTAAAGTTTGTGAGTATGTATGGATGTTTGGATCTGGATGAAATTTGGCACAGAGATAGATTATAGACTGGAATAATACATAGGCTACTTTTTATTCCGGAAAAATATACGGTTCCCGAGGGATAGATTTGATTTTAACCCGCGAATGGCGAACCCGAGCGAAGCGAGGGTGAGCCGTTAGTAATAAATAATAAAATAATAACCATGGAATAGGTTCATAATTCATAAAAATATGATGTAACATACGTGTAAACACAAAACAATATACACTTCCACTTTCGAAGTCGGTCAAAACTAAAACGTTCTAGATTTATGTAAACATTAACTCAGAGTTAAATAACCTTGAATTTTGTTAAATTGTTACACAGAATTAATATTATGTAAAAACTTTAAAGAATTAAATAATAATTTATTTTAATAATCATACTTAATAAGACTAAAAATAACTTGTAAAATACTATTTTATAGTTATTTTATACAAATTTTATATGGACTGATATTGATAACAGCAGCGCAATAATTAATAGGCAGATAAATGATAATAGAGACAAACAAATTCTCTTCACTAAATAATAAAAGGAATCCATTCTAAAATTATCCTTTTCACATTGGTATAAAGTCGCAATTGCCTTGAGAGATGTGGGATGAGCAATTAAATAAAAACTTGCGTTGAATTTGTTATGTTGTGTAACTGTCGATTTAAGTAAATGCGTAGACGAATAACATATTTTTTGTCTCCAATGTCAAGGTCCATATAATTGTTCCTTTATTATAAATTTAACTGCCTCGGTGGTGTAGTGGCTAGCATGTACGGTTGCACACCCGAAGGTCCTGGGTTCGAGTCCCGGGTCGGACCAAGTTTAGTTATTAAGTGTTTCTGTATATTGACTAGCACTGCCCGCGGCTCCGCCCGCGTTCAGATGAGCAAAAACCAAATTCTAAGGTTTTACATATTAGTTTACTCTTAAATTGCAGTTTTTGTATTTTTTTTTCAGAAATGAGATATTTTCCCGGGGTAAAAAGTATCCTATATGTTGACCCGGATAACCAACTATCACCATACTAAATTTCATCAAAATTCCTCCAGTGGTTTTTCTGTAATGTGGTAACAGACAGACAGACAAAAATTCTAAAAACTATAGATTCGGCCTCTGTATCGATAATAATGTTTATTTCAATAAGATTTTCCAAAAAATATTTTTTAATGTACAGATTCGGCTTAGTTACAATTTTATTATATGTATAGATTATAAATTGATCGAAAAAGTACCTACTAGATACACAATCCCATGCAAGTTCTCTTAAAACTGTCACCAATTGTGTTTAGGTAATTATTCTAGTTGAAATAAATATACAACAATGTAAATTGAACTTTAAATGCAAAGCTTAAAGTTGTTTTTACAAAAAAAAAGGCGCGCTCAAATGTTCCAACGAGCGCTTATTCGGTAAGGACATTTTTTGTCGCCGATTGTGTATATGTAATAGGAGATGTATAGAAATTAAATTTAATTCGATTTAATTATATTATAGGTATCCTGTACGCTGGCATGATGGTGACCAAGTCCGGTCCCATGACACTGGAGTTCAACTGCCGCTTCGGAGATCCTGAAACTCAAGTGTTGATGATGCTCTTGGAGACCGATTTGTATAAGATTATGAAGGTACGTTCTTTGTATAAATGTAGATAGTGGATTGAGTGTTTAAAAATGGAAAGGCGCGACAGAGACAAAACGAATGTGCGGCCAGAAGTCTTCTGTATTCATTGAAATACCATTAATGAAGATAGATATTTATAAATATTTTACATTCATATACATTTATAAATTCAAATTGGAATAAAAGACAGGTATTGGCCGCGCGTTCGCTTTCTCTCTTTCTAGAGAGTGGTCAATTTCACGAGAGTATTGCTCAGTCCATACTCTATGTCTATGGTTATTTGTTAAAAATGACTTGCAAGTTTCTTGACATTTGTTATCGAGACAACTATTTATGTAGTTCAATAGAATTTATTTGGTTTGTGCTAAGCATAACACTATGTGTTAAATATTGTAATATTTATTATCAAAACATATATCAAGGGCTATTTTAATTATTAATTAACATTTTCAATAAACTATGTTACTTTTTTTCCTTTTAGTTTTTGTATTTTTTTTATGTTGTATTAAAAAAGTTTTTTTTTTACTTTTAGGCTTGTGTAAAAGGCAATTTGAAAGAAGTCCAAGTGAAATGGAATACAAACATGTCGGCGGTCGGTGTTGTCATCGCGTCTAAGGGATACCCCGAGACATCTACTAAGGGCTGTGTTATTAGTGGTGAGTAAATATTCATACATACAGATAAATAAAATTGAAGTGTCTGTTTGCAAAATAACAGCGTTTTACTAAATGTATATGAAATTATATACGGTACTTATTAGAAAACCACATTTTTTTTTAATTTTGCCTGTCTCTCTGTCTGTTTGTTCCGGATAATCTCTGAAACGGGTTGAGTGATTTTGACAAGACTTTCACTGGAAGATAGCTGATGTTATAGCGAGTAACATAGGCTACTTTATTTTAGAAAAAGAATGAGGGTTCCGCTCAAAAAAAAATAAAACGTACCTAGGGACGAACCCGAGCGAAGCGAGGGTGAGTCGCTAGTTACACTTATTACATTACTATACTTCTTATTACATTACATTATACTACTCATGATCCATGGACCCATTCGTTTGGCTGGTACCTCGATAAACAGTAGTAATATGCACTAGTCCAGGATATAAACTATATTTTTTTTATCAAGTTTCAATAAAATCTGTTTAGCTGTTATATCGTGAAAATTTAATTAAATCAGAATCATTTACTCACTCATAAACTTTGGCTTTAATTGGAAAGTGAATGCTGGTGTATTTAATGCATATGATGTACTTTATCCTTAAGCAATAGGGAATATGCGTGATATTTTTTTATACAATAGCTAACATCGTTATTTAATTGTAAAAAAATGTCCAGCTCCAAAAAACAAAAATTTAGTAAAAAAAAATAAAGAAAAATATCATACCGATACGGATACTTAAACGCCATTTCGCGCGCTCGGCGTGACGTCACAGTATGATATGCGCAGAAAAATGACGATTCTATTTGTAGCGACAAAGTTGCTAATCGCTCTGTTATGATAATACTTTGACGTCATATTCAGTCTGTAAGTTTCAACTACTTTGAATTTCCCATCTATATTTGCGCTTTTTAATAATTATTTTCTTAATGAAAAAGAAATTACATTAAAAATATTGATATAAGCTTAGTTGAAAAGCGAGAAAAATTATATAAAAAAAATATTTCACCTTTATTTAAATCACACGCACGCATATTCCCTATAGCTCAGTGGTAGAGGTAGCATTGGTAATGAGCACGTAGAAAACTAAGTTATGCCAGTTCAAATCCGGTTGTCACACCTTTGTAAATAAATAAATATGTTGGGACATAGACACACATCACCATCTAGTTCCATGGTAAGCTACGAGGCCTGTGTTATGGATATCAGATAGTTGATACACTACACATATGTAACTTTAAATACATACATATTATAAATATAGACACCCATGACTGGAGTACGAGCATTCGTGCTCATCACACAAACGAATGCCCCGCAGTGGGACTCGAACTCGCGACCGCAAGCACAGTAAGTATGGTTATAGGGTTACTACAAACTGAGCCAAACGTGTCGTTATTATTGGTCATAAATGAATATTATTCACAAAAGGGCTGAGTTATTACAAGCACATGCTTTCCTCTGCAGGTATATCCCAACTCAGCAAGCAGCAGGTGATGGTGTTCCACAGCGGCGTGTCGCGCGGCGCCAACGGCTCGCTGGTGACGGCGGGCGGGCGCGTGCTGCTGCTGGCGGCGCGGCGCGGCTCGCTGCGCGCCGCCGCCGCCGCCGCCACGCAGGCCGCCGCCGCCGTCGACTTCCCCGGCGCGCAGTACAGGAAGGATATTGCGAGACGGGCATTCTCTAAGTGAGTACTTATTTTTATTAATTTAAGTGGTGTATAGTAAGGATTTCTACGTGACATATTTAGATTTATTGTAAAGGTGTCTGCCCACTACACCGTATCATACCATGACCGTGCTATGAACGTATCAAGCACGGAAACGAACATGGCATGGACTGCTATGCCCATTAGACCGTATCAACATCGTATCATACTCGTACATAACGGTTTGAGTGCTGCGTATGCTCACTATTGCGCCGCCCGCGCGCACCGGCCCCGCGACGTCGCGTGCTAGGCACGGAAGCGTACCGGCATCGTCGTTACTGCTCCGTGCACGGCACACGACGGTGCCGATCCGATGATGGGACGGTGTAGTGGGCAGAGTCTCATATTTTTCAATACAAAGATTTTTTTTGCCTGACACGGTCCCAGCACGGTCATGGTATGAGACGGTGTAGTGGGCAGACTTCTTAATGATATCGCTAGACGAGTCTTCTCTAAGTAAGTACAGTTTTCTCTAAGTACCTACCACCTATGACGCGACGCGGTGGCAGAGTAAGAAGGATATTGCTGCTGTGCGTTCTCTAAGTTCTTAGTGTTTTTCTAACTTAAGTTGAAGTGCTAATGTGGACGCATTCGTTTGACGACTGTACATATTGTTAGACTGTGATAATAATGTTTTCCACGAGGTTATTGTTATGAATGTACGTAAGTAGAATAATTTTTATGTTTTACACTAGCGACTCACCCACCCTTAAATTTTTTAGAGCGGAATCCTAATTCTTTTACTGAAATAAAAGTAGCCTAAGTTACTCCTTATAACGTCAACTACCTGCCAGTGAAAGTCCCGTTAAAGTCGGCCCAGCCGTTTCGGAGATTAGCCGGAACAAACACACAGACAGACAAAAATTAAAAAAAATGAGTTTTTCTTATAAATACCGTATATAATTCCATGTGCATTTAGTAAAATGCTGTTGTTTTGACATTACAAACAGACACTTCAATTTTATTTATCTGTATAGATTATACGAATAAGTTTCTGTTTATGGACCTGTGAAGTTTTCGTCATTTTTGCATTCTTAATCGGCGCTCTCTATTAATAGGTATTACATTTTTAAACATTGGATACATTTGAGATACAAATGTTACTAAAAAAACGTTTGTGTCTATTTATGTACGCACGTAAGAAGTTATACTTCTTTAGCGTAACAGAACAAAAATATTAAATAATTAAAGATTTCATCCCGTACATCAATCACTCTGTTTGTAAAAGGAATGATAAATTAATAAAAATAAATATATATTTTTATCTCCTTTAAAAAAAACACGTATTATAGATTTATATGAATATTTGAGAAACTACCTTGAATATAGTTAGAGTTTTCACGGGAACCGGAAAGACAGTTATCAGCTAACTTCATCATGTTGCATATTGGCTGTCGGTGTGCGCGCGGACCGTAAAAATTTTACTCTCATATTTTTTCCAAACGTGCCAAGAGAAGAATAAGTTGAAAAGTAGTCTATTCGTAATTTATCTGTGTGTGAACTTTTGTCCTACCTCTTTACTGGTTTACATGTCATTTAGATACTACGTTTAAAATCCTTTACAAGTAAAATAAAATTCTATATAAAATTCTTACAATTTATAATATGAATAAGTTGTATACATTTTAAATTTAGACATAACAATGTGTTTTGTAATATTTTGCAATTATTACTCACCAACAAAACAACTAAAAGTTTTACAATTCCTATGCTTTTTTATTTAACACGTGAACTACTTAAATTCGTTAAAGAAAAATGAGGTATTTACTCAAATATCTTGCATTTACATATATCCATAGACCATAATTAATGTTCATTGTTCATGTGTAATATTATATGTTTATTACGGACTTACCGTTTGCGTAATTTTTCTAAAATATTTAGACATTCGTTTGGGATTTATTTACATTTATTTAAATAAATATTAATTTTAATTTCACAAAACATGGAATTCATTACATAATTTTTTTTATATTACTAACTTTTGGTGGTATTTTTTGGTAATATGTATGGAAAACAACACTTGGTATTTTTTTATTAATATTATCAAAGTACTCTTATATTATTTACCTCAGACATGCTTTTCTTAAATTTATATTATTACTTACAGCATTCATTGTCTTAATTTCATTTGGATTTTAATGTTCGTTTGCTTCATGTGTGTCGGTTTGTTTCAGTTCCGAATGAAGAATGAATGAGTTACGCACGAAACTCCCATTTTTTATTAACATTATTCAAATCACTTGTTTTTTTTTTAATATTTCTCTTTTTGTACCAGTGCTTTTTATTGCAATAAAAATGCAATTTTTAAATATTTTTTTATTTTACCCCAATTTTTTTTCCCTGTCACAGATTATATAATGTCGTATTTAAGTGTCAAATGTTTTTTTATTAAGTAAAAGAAAATTTATTTAAAAAAAAATGATGAAATACATTTATTTTAAATATAGAATAATATATATTTTTTTCAATTTAATCCATTAAAAATTCTCTCATACATATGATACGTACATATACATTGAATGAGTATATTAAAGTATAGTTTATTTACATTGACATTCCTGACCTATAACATAATTACGCTTTGATAACTAACAATTTCAATATATATCTGATTATTTGTGCAAAATGTTGTTTTGAAAAATTGACACTTGTATCGATTACTTACGATATTGCCCTTTTTAAAAATATTAATTGCTGGCTTTCATTAGCATTATATAGCATTTGTACATATTTCCTCGTTGAGAAGACAAAAATATGAAGTTACGAAGTTACTTTATGATATATTTTATTTATTAAAATCAGATAAGCTTATTTCATAGTATCTTATACAGATATTAGTATGTCTTTATGGAGTGTTCTAAAGCTTATAAAAATTCCAAACTAAACATTTTTTAACATAAAAAACGCTAAACGTCATATTAATCAATAATAAAATCTCATCTTCACTTTTTCTAATTCATTTCATTTTAACTATACTGGGACCGATATTTGTATGATAATCCATACTAATATTATAAATGTGAAAGTTTGTGAAGATGGATGGATGTTTGTTACTGTATAACACCAGAACGGTTGAACGGATCTGGATGAAATTTGGCACAGAGATAGATTATAGTCTGGAATAGCATATAGGTTAATTTTTATCCCGGAAAGTATACGGTTCCCGTGGGATAGATTTCTTTTGTCTAGGAATGTACCTGAAGCGAAGTCGCTTGTCACGTATAGAGCGGGAATCAAGTCTCAAACTTTGAAGAGTGTAACTAATGTTACTGTATCAATGCGATTTTAACCCCCGACGCAAAAAGAGGGGTATTATAAGTTTGACGTTGATGTCTGTCTGTGTGTGTGTGTCTGTCTATGGCATCTTAGCTCGAACGGATGGACCGATTTCAGTGCGGTTTTTTTCATTTGAAAGCCATTTTCCTTTCGGCTTCTTAGCTACGTTTGGTTAATATCAGTCCAGCAGTGTAAGAGTATCAGCTCTTTTCCAAAATGATGTAAGCCATTTATTTTGGCGTATGATTACTCGATTAAGTGCTTCACGCGTGCCAGTGTAATAGTTAAATGACAATTAATTTGCGTAGGGGTTCTTTTCAATTTTTAATTATAGTCGTACTACGAGCATTGTCATATAAATAACCTAATCCCAAAGCTATAATATACATTAGAATATAAAACATTCTTAACAAATAAGCCCAATTATTAAAAATCCAAAATAAAAGTAATGTCTTTTCAGAGTCAACGGACTGTCATACCTCGAAAGTGGTGTAGATATTGACGCGGCTGCGAATTTGATCCGTCTGATAGAACCTTTAGCTACTGCGACACACAGAAAGGGAGTTTTAGGTAGACTCGGTTGTTATAGTGGGTTGTTCCAGTTATCTAAGATGGACGCAAGTTTGAAAGACCCAGTGCTCGTACAAGGAACTGATGGTGTTGGGACCAAAGTTAAGGTTAGTTACAGATGAGTTATGAATTAATTGTTTGTATAATAAATTAATTATATTGCAATGTTTATTGATGTTTAATCGTAATGATAATAATCGATTTTCATATAGTAATCGATTTTTGATTAAATTGTATAGGTAAAGTAAATAATAAGAAAATTTATTTAAAAAATATTTTCTTACCCAATTGGCTGGCGGAAGTTTTAAGACAATATGAAATTTAAAAAATACAGCCTATCACTATAAGAAATATTTGTGATTGAAAAATCTAACATCTACGGCCTCACCCATATGTGACAAGCAAAATACAGAATTCGTCTAATAAGTTTAATGTTATTTACGCGTATCCAATACATACTTGATATTAGTATGATATATGTATATCCAGTGTGTTGGAACTTAGGAGGGAGCTGTGGAAAAAAGGAAAAAATATATTTCAAACGAATATCTTCACAAATAAAAGCGCGGGAATATTCACATTAGCGATTTATTCTTTCTCAGTTTCGGGTTAGAATTTGTAGCTTATAAAAAACATTTTTTTTGAAAAAGAAAAAAAAGTTTTTCACTCCACCCAAATTAACATATCAATGAAACATTTATACGTAAATCTCCCATCACTTATTTCCAGATAGCGGAAATAATGCAGAAATACGATACAATAGGCCAGGATCTGGTCGCCATGTGCGTGAATGATATCCTTTGCGCCGGCGCGGAGCCGTTCGCGTTCCTAGACTACATCGCGTGCGGGCGCTTGCAGCTCACCGTGTCCGCGAGCATCGTCAAGGGCATCGCAGACGCGTGCATACTGTCTGGGTGTGCCTTGTTAGGTAATATGGTGTTTTGTTATGTATGCATATTAAATACTTAATAATAATAACTTAATAGATATTTCTCTTACTTATGTTTAAAATTATTATTATAGGATATAACGTTTTTATGTTCTTTATCTTAAGAAATGATTTTTTCATATTTTAAACCCCTACTTCACACTCTTTAAATTTCATTTTGGCGATAAAAAGTTGCCTATGTTCTTCTTTAAAGTCATATCCATCTCTATACCAAAATTCATTAAAATTGGTTCAGCAGTTTATGCGTAAAACGTAATAGACGTCACTCTGGTATTTATAATATTATTAGTGTGAAACCAGAAACCAAAAGATATGTATATGTTATAACTATAAAGTTGCGAAAGTTTGTATGTATAATATATGTATTTATTCCTCTTTCACGCAAAAACAGCTGAAGAGATTTGGATAAAATTTAGTACACATATAAACTACGATGTGCAGTAACTCATAGACTACTGTTAGACACATAGCTTCTAGTTAACAATATTGGTGTATTCCTTACCACAGGTGGTGAAACAGCAGAAATGCCGTCAATGTACGAAGTAGGGAAGTACGACCTCGCCGGCTTCGCAGTGGGCGTGGTCGATAACCTCAAGCAGCTGCCGCGCTCTAAGGAGATCCGCGAAGGTGATGTAGTGCTGGCGCTCCCGTCTACTGGTGTGCACAGTAATGGCTACAGTCTCGTGCAGAAGATCATGGCTGAGAGTGGTCATAGGTACGTTTTGTTATATGTTATTTACATATCGTCACGCATATTGTTGTCTATTGCTGAACGAAGGGCTTTTTTGTATATAAGGAAAGGCATTTACGCATACCTGTATGTACAGATGGAATGGGACGCATCGGCTAAAAAAGCCAGTACTACCCACTAAAAGTCAACAGAACCTCCCCCGTCTTAATGGAGTGCCGCAGGATTATCCCAATACCTAAAAATATATTTTTTTAAATTTAGTTCATTACATTTATAATTAATTTAAATTTATAATATTTTTATTTCTTTTATAGTTTCCATGATAAAGCACCCTTCAGTGCAACTAACAGGAGCTTTGGACTAGAATTCCTGGAACCAACTGGATTATACGTCAAAGAACTTCTACCGGCCATCAAGAAGGGTTTGGTCAAAGGCCTCGCGCACATCACGGGCGGCGGTCTGTTAGAAAATATTCCAAGAATCTTACCGCCCGGTGTTAAAGTGAAATTGGACGCTAAGCAGTTCCAAATAAAGCCCATTTTCGGATGGTTGCAGGCTAAAGGTATGTTGAGGTTATTATGAGCAATTTTAGTGGATATTTCTTTGCTGATTATTAAAGACAGGGTAATTTAAAATGTTATTGGTTTAAATAGACTATTACAAGCACTTTTGAATACTATTTTTTTTCAAACATGCACACTAAATCTACAAACTTAAAAGTAATGAAGCTTATCTATACATATAATAAAATTGTAACTAAGCCGAATCTGTACATTAAATATTTTTTGGAAAATCTCATTGAAATAGACATTATTATCGATACAGAGGCCGAATCTATAGTTTTTAGAATTTTTGTCTGTCTGTCTGTTACCGCATTACAGAAAAACCACTGGAGGGATTTTGATGAAATTTGGTATGGTGATAGCTGGTTATCCGGGTCAACATATAGGATTCTTTTTACCGCGGGAAAATGTCTCATTTCTGAGAAAAAATACAAAAACTGCAATGTAAGAGTATACTAATATGTAAAACCTAAAAATTTAGTTTTTGGTCATCTTAACGCGGGTGGAGCCGCGGGCAATGCTAGTTTTCTCTATAACTACTATATTTTAGCTTAGCAAAGAAAAATTATATTGCTAATATTCTAATGCGGCCCAGTTCTCCTTTTTAAAACCACGCACATGTTTTATACTAGCCGCGAGTCTTGCTACGTGTATACAGCATGTCTCCGAATGCATAATACTATTTTCCTCAATCAATTTGTTCTCATCTTTTTAGTTCGCTTTTTAAGCAATCTGTTTATTTTTTAAATGATTTTTATTATTTGAATTTTTTGTCTTGGTCAGTTAGATATATCTTTTAGTTTTATTTGACCATTTGGGCTACTTTTGCTTCAGTCGGGTATAAATATATACAAATATATTTATATATTTGTATATGTATCATAGAAATGAAATATTACTATTATTATGTACAGGTCACGTATCAGACTTCGAAATGCTGCGCACTTTTAACTGCGGCGTCGGCATGGTGGCCATCGTCGACCCCGTGTGTGCCAAAGAATTCATGGAAGCTGTTGGAGACACTGTCCATGTTATTGGAAAAGTTCATGCTATTGGGAAAGAGGGTGAGTGTGTCATTTGTTATCTTAATTTTGTTATTTTCGCAATTCTTTAAAAGTTTGGTTAAAGATTGGCTTAGTTTCCGTAATTTTTTTATGTTTTGGTTATAATTCAAAATGTTCGTACTGAGTTTTCGTTCGAACTGAGGCCTAGATTGCGAGATAAAAATAACATTAAAAAAACTCGTTTTTTTGTGGAGCATGTTTTTTTTAAGAGTACAGAATTGGAAATCATTAAGGCAGTAGTTTCCATTAAAGATTAATACTTAAGAGTTCATATTAGAGTTTTCTGTTTATTTTTAAACCTTCTATACTACAATTTTCGTTAAATAGTACCAAGCTTACATGTGAACATTCCGACATGGATAAGTACAAGCCTAGTGAGTAAGAAAGTGCTACTGACATTGATACAAAGGAATTTTTTTTTTCTATAATTGATTCATTATACTTAATTCGATTTTTATTTTAGTAAAATATGTATAAGAAATTAGAAAAACATACCTCAATAAAACATTTCTTTTCTTCTCTGAAAAAAAACCAAATTAGAAAAAAATTATGGCACAATTTTTTTTTTCAACATAGTGAAAAAAAATAAAGAAGTTTTTTTCATGTTACATCACTAGATAAAACATAATGTGTTTTACCATAAAAAAGTTAAATTGAGAAATTGTGTGTTGTATATAAAATGTTAAAGTAGAATTTTGGTGAGAAAATTTAATAGCATTACATAGGGTTTTAAATTTGAGAACCCTACTTTAAAAAAAGCTACTAATCGTCGTAAAGCAGAACCTACTTATCAGTAATAAACGTACATAATGAATTAAATATTTTAATTAATATTTATTAATAATTTAATTGATACCAGGTGGTCATCAAGTGGTGGTAAATAACTTCAAAGAAGCAATGGCGCCGCTAACAGCTCCATACACCACTAACAATAGGGACGTTCCTCAAAAGTCCCTCTCGTACAAAGACAGCGGCGTTGATATAGAAGCTGGCGACTCTTTGGTTTCTCTGATTAAACCTTTAGCGAGGTGAGATATAAATTATTATTTACTACAATATTTTACATACAAACTTCCACCACCATTTTAACCCCTTAAAGGGTGATATCCGGGATAAAAATATATTTTCTCCTCCTGTCCTATGTCCTTTCCTGGGTCTCAAATATCTCCATTCCAAATTTCATCTAAATCGGTTCAGCAGATTAAGTGTGAAAACAGACAGACAGACAGAGTTACTTTTGCATATTTTGTAATACTAGCGACTTACTCTAGCTTCGCTTTAGGTTCGTCCCTAGACAAAAACATATATCCCACGGGAACCGTACATTTTCCGGGATAAAAAGTAACCTATGTGCAATTCCAGATTATAATCTTATCTCTGTGAGAAATTTCATCCAGATGAAAGATCAACAAACATCCATATATCCATCCACACAAACTTTCACATTTATAATATTATTATGCATATTAGTATGGATTGTTAATTTATTAATATTTACTTGTACATATAATATTTTATATGTTCAACTTTTATCGATGTATCAAGCAAGCGAAGTCGCAGGTCCTGCTAGTAAATTATATTTTGATTTGAATCGATTTGAAATATTATTTTAGGTCAACATCTCGGTCAGGTGTTCTGGGTGGGCTCGGAGGGTTCGGCGGGTGCTTCCAATTGAAAGCTGTTGAACAAGAGTATAAGGTAATGTACATAAATAAATAGAATATTTTATTGTTTTGGATTTTTTAAATGTTTCTTTGGATATATTATATTGTTTAGTTTTTGATTAAATGATAAATAAAAAATTTGTATATCATACGTTTTTGTGACGAAATTTCTTATGTGATTCGCACTATTCGCACATTTGGCGAATAAGAGTGAGACGGTAACAAGTGAAATATTTTTGCTGTCATGACACTTTTTAACTGACTTTCAAAAAGGGGGATTATTATTATTATTAAGAGCACCCTATGTGACGGCATCACAAGTACCAGGCGATGGTCAGGAGAACTACGTTCCTACCGGGTGTCTCTCGACATCTCTTGAACTTTTTTTAATATAATGTTAAATAGAAAAAAGCTTTTCTTATTTAGTGTCTAATATGAATGTGTATACTTGATATTTTGCTATAAGGTTTGTTTCGATTAGTCAAATACATACATACATACATATGTAGTGTAGCTTGCGTAGTAAAGTATAAGGATGTCCGCACAGGACCCGGTGCTGGTGCTGGCGGCGGACGGCGTGGGCACGAAGCTGAAGGTGGCGCAGCGCATGAACCGGCACGGCAGCGTGGGCGTGGACCTGGTGGCCATGTGCGTCAACGACATCCTCTGCAACGGCGCGGCGCCGCTCACCTTCCTCGACTACTTCGCGTGCGGCGCGCTCGACGTCAGCGTGGCCCGCAGCGTGGTGGCCGGCGTCGCCGACGGCTGCAAGCAGGCCTCTGCCGCGCTCATCGGTGAGCTTTGTGTACTCGTTCACCCTACCTCAACCTTTTACTCGTTCATTATTTCATTCATTCATTCATTCTTTCTCGAATAAATGACGTGTGTCTTCCTCAACTACTATATAAAATAGTGTCCCAGAGTGACGGAGGGATGATTTATAATATTAATGTGAAATTTTGTTTGTATTGTTATATACTATCCATTGATACTCGCGTCTCTTTGTTGCTTCCTTAGATACCTAGTACTGTTAATACGCACACACACACGTACACACACGAATATTTACACACACAGACATTCACAAACTTACACATATATAATAGAAATCCGATTTCTGAATATACAATTGTACAGGCGGCGAGACGGCGGAGATGCCGGGCATATACGAGGCGGGCGCGTACGACATCGCGGGCTTCGCGCTGGGCGTGGTGGAGCGCGAGCGCGTGCTGCCGCGCATCAACGACATCAACGTCAGTTTTGATTTATCTAATATACTAATATTATAAAGAGGTAAAGTTTGTGAGTTTGTGACGTTGCAGGAGGTAATCTCTGGATGTACTGAACTAATTTAGATGAAATTTGGTAAGAAGATAGTTTGAGATCCTGTAGGAAGTGAGATACTTTTTATTCCGAAAATCATCTTTTAAGGGGGTAAATGGAGATAAAAGTTTGTATTGGGAAGAAAGCTAGGGACGAACCCAAGCGAAGCGAGGGTGAGTCGCTTGTTATTCAATAATTGTGTATGATTTGTTTGTTGTTTTATATTGTACTAGCATTGCCCGCGGCTCCGCCCGCGTTCAGATGACCAAAAACGAAATTCTTAGATTTTATATATTAGTGTACTCTTAAATTGCAGTTTTTGATTTTTTTTTCTCAGAAATGAGATATTTTCCCGCGGTATAAATTAACCTATATGTTGACCCGGATAACCAGCTATCACCATACCAAATTTCATCAAAATCCTTCCAGTGGTTTTTCTGTGATGCGGTAACACAGAAAAACCACTGGAGTAAGACAGACAAACAGACAAAAAAATCTAAAAACTATAGATTCGGCCTCTTATCGATAATAATTTTTATTTCAATAAGATTTTCAAAAAAATATTTAATGTACAGATTCAGCTTAGTTACAAATTTATTATATGTATAGATGTGAAAGCTGTGTGTCAAGTCAAATGAAATTTTGTTCTGTTCCCATAATATTTTTTTACAATAGCGAATATTTAAAACATTTTATTTTATATGTATGTACCTGATGTTCTGCATGTTTTACGGAAAACATCGTCATGAAAGAGCATTTGTTCTGTTCTATTCTACACGCATACTTGTTTATTTTATATATAATAATAATGTTTATTTATGCAGGTGGGTGATATTATTATTGGTTTGCCGTCAAGTGGTATCCACAGCAATGGCTTCAGCCTCGTACACAGCCTAATGAAGAAGGCTGGTCTCACTTTAGATGACAAAGCGCCTTTCAGTGAAGATGGACTTACTTTAGGTACTGTGGTATACCTTATTATGTTTCGATTTTTTATAGATTTTAAGCATCAGTCAAAAAAGTACTAGATACACAGCCCTATGCAAAAGTTCTCTTAATACTGTCACCAATTGTGTTTAGGTAATTATTCTGTTTGTAATAAATATATAACAATGTAAATTGAATCTTAAATTGCAACTTTTAAAGTTGTTTTCACAAAAAAAAAACAATTTAAAAGCGCGCTCAAATAATCAAATGAGCGCTCATTCTCTCGCCGATTGTGTATCGATGAGTATATAACTAACTATCTGTGCGCAGGCGAGGAGCTGATCAAGCCGACGCGCATCTACGTGCGCGCGGTGCTGCCGGCGCTGGCGCGCGCCAAGGCGGTGGCGCACGTGACGGGCGGCGGCCTGCTGGAGAACGTGCCGCGCGTGCTGCCCGACGCCGTGCGCGCGCGCCTCAACGCGCACTGGTGGAACATACAGCCCGTCAGTGCACGCCTTTATACCTTTTTTATATAGTAAAACTTGCGAACGTTCGTTGCCATGGTGACCGTTGTTATTGTCTGACAAACGATATATAATATTATATTCTTTCCTTAAATTTCTATAAATACATATATGATTGTAATATGCCTTATTTTTAAATATGCGTTATTTTTAGTATCTCACCTATTCTAATTATTTAAAACATAAATTAAATTTCATAAAGAGTACCGTTAACTTACAGAAGTTTTACTTCTTGCGCGTGTGCATATTCATTACACACGCTCTTTAATTATTATTTTTTATTTCTGCATTGCTTATTTTACAAAGGCGTTCCCAATGTTTTTTTGTTTGCTTTATATATTATATGGATTAAAGATGCTAATATTACAATAAAATTAACCCAGCATGTACTTAGGCAGTGGCAGGTCAATGGTAGCGCGCTCGCTTGGGAAATTAAGTGAAGCGGGTTCAAATCCCGGGTCTCGCGCCTCTGATATAATCATGTGCGCATTGTTTCCAACATGATTATCACTTGTCTTACGGTGAAGGAAAACATCGTGAGGAAACTTGCATGTCTTAGAGAATCTAGCAAGTTTTTGAAAGACATGTGAAGTCCGCCCGCACTTGGCCAGCGTGGTGGACTATGGCATGATCACCCTCATGTTAAAGGGAGACATGTGTCCAGCAATGTTACGTAAAAAAGGGGTGAATACAAGAATAGAAAATTCAATTCAATTAAAGCTATGACTAAATGCTTTTACATTTAGATTTTTTACGCAAATCTGTTGAGTCTATATATATATAGACTTTCTTATTAATTCAATATAATATATATTATAGTGGTGTGATATTTGTGTGGCAGGTGTTCGCGTGGATAGCGGACACGGGCGCGGTGCAGGACGACGAGATGCTGCGCACCTTCAACTGCGGCATCGGCATGGTGCTCATCGTCACGCCCGAGGACCAGGCGGAGGTGACACGTGTTCATTGTTCATACACCTTATAAATTATGTCCTATTATAAAAATAAATCGATCTATACATATAATAAAATTGTAACTAAGCCGAATCTGTACATTAAATATTTTTTGGAAAATCTTATTGAAATAAACATTATTATCGATACTGTCTGTCTGTCTGTTACTGCATCACATAAAAACCACTGGAGGGATTTCGATGAAATTTGGTATGGTGATAGCTGGTTATCCGGGTCAACATATAGGATAAGTACTTCTTACCGCGGGAAAATGTCTAATTTCTGAGAAAAATACAAAAACTGCAATGTAAGAGTATACTAATATGTAAAACCTAAGAATTTGGTTTTTGGTCATCTGAACGCATGCGGAGCCGCGGGCAATGCTAGTAAAGAATAAATATGTTGGGACATTAACATACAACAGCTACAGCAATAAAGGATTATTTAAATCTATTTGATATAAAATAGAAATAAAAACCGGCATACAATATTGTTCGCCTTTTTTTAACAGACTTCCGAAAAGGAGAAGGTTCTCAATTCGTCAGATTTTTTTAATGAATGTTCACGGATTACTCGAAGACGTCTGAACCGATTTGATTTTTTTTTGTTTCGGATAGTATACTTCCCATTTAAATTTTATCTTATTTAATTATATGGCACCGACTTTGAAAATATCAAAATTCCCGTTTCGTTATTTTTCGGTCGGTTTTTTTAAGTTTTTAATTTTTAATCTCAGTACTTTTTTAGTTTTTAATTAAAATCTGTCACAAACGTAATTTATAAAAAAGACCTCTAGCAAAAATAGAAAAGTATTCAAAAGGATGTGTGTGTATATGTGTGTGTGTACCTACAGTGGTGATGATAATAATAATGATGATGATGATGTGTGATGACAGGTGATGAACATACTCCGTCCGCACGGCGGGCTGGTGATCGGCACGGTGCAGGCGCGGCCGCCGCGCGGCGCGCGCGTGCTCGTCGACAACTTCGCCTCCGCGCTCGACTTCACGCGCCGCATGCCGCTGCTGCCCAAGAAGCGGGTTTGTTGCTCACACTACGTTTATCGTTTTTGTTACAGAATATTATTTCCTTGTGGCTATACTGACCTGACTGACCATGCCTGGTCCATTGTGTGAGTGATTAAAGTACAGGGTAAGAAGTTTGATTTTGCTTGTGCTGCAAAAATGCTGCGGCATATTTTAAGTAATATTACAATATGACCACTTAAAGTAGTACTTTTTTTTTAAATATTTTTTTTGATGAACCCGCGACCGCTGACACAGCAAGCAGGGTCACTACAAAGTAGGGATGTGACTTGGAGAGAAAAAATAGATTACTAAATAATCGATTTTTCTCTCTTCAAAGAAAATCGATTAACTTAATAATAATCGATTTTTCTCTGTTCATAGAAAATCGTTTTGTAAAAAATCGATTAAATAATAATCGATTTTATCGAACTATTCGAAAATTTGGATTTTTTGTACATAATAATAAAATTACGAAGTCCACACGTTTTTTCATTTATAACACAGATGGCGCTATTTGTAAAATTCGAGTATAATATGTAGCTTGGTTTAATCAAACAACGCATATCTTATCTTATTTACTTTTAAAAAAAGAGAGTAAGTAATATAATCTATTCATTAAAAATCGATTTTGAATATTTAGAGAATCGATTATTAAAAATCGATTGTTTTTTCATATCCCTGCTACGAAGAGCCAAACGTGTCGTCAATTTGTCCTTTCCCACCCGCCAGGTGGCGGTGCTGGTGTCGGGCAACGGCAGCAACATGGCGGCGCTGGCGGAGGCGGCGCGCGACCCCGCGCAGTGCCTGTGCGCCGACGTCGCGCTCGTGCTCTGCAACCGCGCCGGCGCCCACGCGCTGGAGCGCGCCCGCCTCGCCGACATACCCGCCGTTGTGAGTACTGTCACCCCTTTATGCCGTCCCACTGCTGGGCACGGGCCTCCCTTCAATACGAAGGGTGATCAGGCCATAGTCCACCACGCTGGCCGAGTGCGGACGGACTGAGCATGTCTTTCAAAAACTTGTTAGGCTCTCTCAGTTGTGCAGGTTTCCTCACGATGTTTTGCTTCACCGAAAGACAAGTTTTAAACAAGTTAAAAATGATTAAGCTCATGAATATATCAGAGGTGCGAGACCCAGGATTTGAACCCGCTTCGATTTCCCAAGCGAGCGCATTATCACTGGATTACCACTGTCTTAACCTTTAGCACACACACGTTCTTTAATTTTTTTTACATACATACATGTGGGTGCGTGTGTGTAAGTGCAGCTAAAAGGAGGGTACGCATGCGTGTGCGTGCGTGTGAGTGCGGCTGGATAATTTTGATATTTAATACATAGATAGGCTGTGATCTGGATTACATAAACTACTGTTAGACATCCATGGACGCTTCGACCGAAGCAAGAACGAATCTCTAGTAATAATAATATAGTGGTATGATCTGTCTGTGTTTTATTTATTTATTTATTTGAAAGACAACAGTATTTAGTTACATATAAAAAAAACTTTACATACACCAATTAAGTCTTCATTGTTAACAAAATTCTTAAGGTAGGTTATATGTAAGCTTATTAAACTTTTTCTTCTCTTTAAGAGGATTCTATACTATTGAAAATCTTTTCTATAACATTTATATTATTTCAGGTGCTCAACCACAAAGACTACGAGACCAGGGAAGACTTCGACCGCGCCATGACCGCTGTGCTGGAACAGCACAAGATAGATATCGTGTGTCTTGCTGGATTCATGAGGATTCTATCTAAGGAGTTTGTACAAAAGTTAGTAAACGCCCCACTGCGGGGCACGGACCTGCATTTTAAATCAAATCATACTTTATTCAAATATTTTTCATATTGACTTTTACAAGCTCTTTTGAATCGTCAATTTTACATTTTAAATTTAAATTAAATATCAATTTGGTCAGTCCGTGAGGAATCTACCACCGGCACCGTATCTTTAATGTGAGGAAGATCAGACTATAGTGACCATATTTTTTACTACTTCACATAGTGGGGTATTCGTTGTTTTAAAAAATATTGGAATACAAAAGAATGGGTAGCCACCAAAGTCAGTTTTTTTTTTACAAAATTTTGTTCTGAAGATTTTTTTAATCTGTGGACTTGTTTAGTGATAGTGTTTATTATTACGTATATTTTACTAAATACAAGATGGTGAATTTCAAAAAGGCTGCCATGTAAATTAAAAAGTATCGCGTAATATACGGGAACCCTTTGTGTGTGAGTTCGACTCGCACTTGACCGATTTTATTATTTGGTAAAGCTTGCGTGGATATCCAAGTCCAACACGTTGCCGTATCGCAACGCATCAGCCGAGATCCATTTCTGGTAACCCATAGGGAATTGCCCAAAGATGGCCTTCGGATAATGCGTAAGGACGATAGAAAATATGGAAAACGAAATAGGGCTATGGAATATAGTTTGGCTTATACTACCAGACGTACGCCTTCTCAACGACCTCAGATAGAATATTTGGCGGATGGTGTCGCGCGTCCCACTAAATGGTTCTTTGCAACATCGGTTATTATAATAATAATAATAATCGTTTATTTGTAGCAAAAGATCAGGTTAAAAAATATACTGTTTCGCTTATAGAAATAATATGAAAATATCCAGAAAGAGTGCTCAGGAACTCGTACTAGGAAAATAATTATTACTACCAATAGTTAACAGTTACTAAAGTTAGTAGATTATAATGGTAGAAAATAGAATATTCAAACATAAAAGAAATTGTTTGTGTGTACGTGCGTTTGTATATATGAGTGTGTCATGTGTTTGTGTGTGTGCCTGTGAGTGTGTGTTGTTTGTATGCGTGTCTGTAAAGTTATTTATTAATTAATTTAATTAATTAATTTGACGACACGTTTGGCTCAGTTTGTAGTGACCCTACTTGCTGTGCCAGCGGTCGCGGGTTCGAGTCCCGCTGGGAGCATTCATTTGTGTGATGAGCACGAATGTTTGTACTCCAGTCATGGGTGTTTATATTTGTAATATGTATGTATTTAAAGTTATATATGTGTAGTGTATCAACTATCTGGTATCCATAACACAAGCCTCGTAGCTTACCATGGAACTAGATGGTACTGTGCGTTAACGTCCCAACATATTTATTTATTTATTATTAATTAATTAATATTTATGTCGGTGTACAGATGGAAAGGTCGCCTGATCAACATCCACCCGTCGCTGCTGCCGCGCCACCCCGGCCTGCACGCGCAGCGCCAGTGCCTGCAGGCCGGCGACCGCGAGAGCGGCTGCACCGTGCACTTTGTCGACGTGAGTGTTTGTCTGTTTGCATGCCCTTAACCAAGTTATAAATAGAGGGTGTATGTTATATGTTTTATAATTTATTCATTTGTGTATCGAGATATAACTAAAGTTTGAGGTAAACTACCAAGTTTAAAAGTTATTTTTATTACATTTTATTTGAGATAAATGTACATTACATATCATTCAGTCATTAGTTGTATTATTTTTCACTTCCCGTGTAATGTATTCTATCTCAAATAATTAAATTAGAATTAATAACAACGGTTACCATGGCAACATGCCAATGTATTCCATCTCATTCTCTCGCCGGCTTAATCCTATATATTTATGTGTTTGTCTTTTTTTCCGTTTCAATCGAGTTTCAAATCACAACGATTTTAAAGAAGTTTTGTTACACAGATTAAAATAATAATGCAAGCAGTTTTATTAAAAAAATAACACTTTACAAATAATCAAATATCTATATAGAAAAACTCAGTTATTTAATTTATATATTAATATCCAATCGTCAGGAGGGCATGGACACCGGCCCTATCATAATCCAGGAGCGCGTGCCGGTGCTGGCGGCGGACACGGAGGCGGCGCTGACGGCGCGCATCCACGAGGCGGAGCACCGCGCCTATCCGCGCGCGCTGCGCCTGCTGGCCGCCGGCCGCGTGCGCCTCGCGCCCGCCGGCGTCGTCTGGCACTCCTAGGTGCCACAAGCGACCAGGGCTGCCAGTGGAGACGACTTATTTTATACCGCTGGCTCACTCAAATTATACCGAATCAAATTTTATTATACAAACTAACGACTCGCCGCTCGGTTTCGTACATTTTAATTTTTTTGAGCAGAACCCTAATTCTTTTCTTTAAAAAAAGTAGCATATGTCACTCCCTATAAAATCAGCTATCTTTCAGTGAAAGTCCCGTCAAAATCAGTCCAGTCGTTTCAGAGATTGTCCGGAACAAACAAACAGACAGACAGACTAAAATTTTCAAAAACGTGTTTTTCTTATAAGTACTGTATATAATTTCATATGCATTTAGCAAAATGCTGTTATTTTGACATTACAAACAGACACTACAGTTTTATTTACCTGTATAGATTAACAAAACTGTTGAGAAATAGTCTGTGATGAAGAAAAAATTTCAATAAAAATATGGAATAACTTAATAACTTAAAATGAAATATACAAATATATAAGCGTATTTTACAATTTTCGTATCCAATTATGCTATCTGGCAGCCCTGACAGTAATTGCCAGTAAATATGCACATCGAGCTAAAGAGGGAGACTATCGGCTAATTTCGGTTTTGTAGAGCGTCGTCTCTGTCACTCAGTACATTATGTGAAGTTTCGTCAATTCTCGTCAGTCGTTCGTCAGAGACGACGCTCTACTAAGACGAAACTAGTTCAGCGACAATCGCGCTGGTAGATATGCGGGGTAAGCACACTCGATTATTATACGCACTTTTATGATCACAGTAAACTAGCGTCTTTCATCAATAAGGAAATACCGTCAAATGTAAAAATTCTAAATAAAATGGGGAACGATTGTAGCAAATTATAGTTTTACCCGTAAATCCTAAAGGCGTTTCTCAATCGCCATAATAAAATTCGTTGGCTCACTATTACAAGGTTCTATGTTACAATTTTAGTACTTATTTAGTTATTAATTCTACAAGGTTCTATGTGTCATTAGCTACAGTTTTGCAAAAACAAACCACTAGATAGCGGCACTTTAACTACAAAATATTCAATTTTACATAGTTCTATGTTGTTTTTTTTACGATAATAAAATAACGAAGTTCTTTAAAAAAATTACCAAACTTCATTAAAATTAACATAGAACCTTGTAATAGTAAGCCAACGAATTTTATTATAGAAGAATGTTTGTCAGTTGGGTTGCACCTCACCCGTGTCTGTCCCCATACTATTCCCCTGTCTAGAGGCCTTCGTTAGACGACACTGTATAGATTAACACACTGTGGTAAAACTGACGATAATTTAACAACACTACTCTCTGTAAGCAATCAAAGCTCACCGGATTGAAGTTCCGTAAGATGTGTGTATTCCGCACTCGTGCTGATTTCAAACCGGTCAGCTTAGATTGTAAAGTAACGTTTTATATATGTATGTATAATATAAAGATATATGAAATACTTTACTGTACTGTATAGAATAGATTTAAAAATATTAACAAACGGTAAATATTATTAAGACATTTATTGATTACTTGACTTTGATAGGTCAAACAATCGAAAGATCCCATAATACTAATGAAGCCCGATCTGATGTTTGGATGCAGGGCTTTGATTCAATAACAAAAATATAATTATTTTTTGTATTGTAAATTGAGATATAGATAAATAAACATTATTTACAGTTATTTGTAGGTAATAAATTACCCATTTATTGGCTGATTTACCTATAAATAACTTTTTTATATTTACATGTACATTTTTATTGTAAAACTGCAATCAACTGTTCTCATTATGAAAGTTTATACATATTTTTGTATATAACAATGAATTAGATACATGATATTATTTACATTTCTACACTTATGATAGTTTTTATTGATATTTTAATTTTGGAGAGAAAATTAAGGTTATTTCTTTCTCTATGTAACCTATTTCGAGAATGCAGTTTTTTATTGCCGTGAATGTGCCTTGTCAGTATATAACTGAATATATTCCTATTTAGAAATAAGAAAATCATCTTAATCTCCATTTTATAATTCACTTGTCATAAAGATGTCAGGTTTCTTTGTTTATGTATAAATGAAAATTATACCTTATTATTTTTTGTGTTCAAGATAGTGCTTATGTATGTATATAATAGAGGAAATAACAATTAAGGCAAGTTCATTCCATAATGTAATGAAATTTATATTTTTATTATTTTTAATTAATTAATAGCAAACTTTTATAAAGTACTGACTCACCCTCGCTTCGCTTTGTTCCTAGTGAAAAACAAAAACCACTCTATCCCACAGGAACCATATATTTTTCCAGGATAAAAAGTAGTCAAATGTGCTATTCTAGACTATAATCTATGTGCCAAATTTCATCTAGATCCGTTCAGCCATTCTCATGTGATTGAGTAACAAATATCCATCCATCCTCATAAATTTTCACATTAATAATACAAGTTTAGATTGTTATTAAATATGTAATTGTTCTCGAACTGCTTAAATATATTTTGTAGATTCTTATACATAATTAAATCAAATTAAAACTTTTAAAGAATAAGCTGCATTTAAAACATGAACATGGTTGTGTTAATTAAAACCTTTAAATAACCTGTGATGGAGATGTAACAATAAATATCTATTGTATAAAGTGCCTTTACAAATATATCACATTATTGTACATGTTAAAGTTTTTTGCATTTATTTAAAGACCTAAATAAAGATGTATGTCTTCCATACAAGTATATAGTATATTTACTCGAATATTTAAAATAAGATTTATTTTTAATGTTATAAACATTGTTTTAGAAATATTTTTCATGTTGAAACTGTTCTAGGAATACCCTTGTAGAATAGTTAGCTTACGATTAAATAAAATGAAAACAATTATTGCTGTGGTTTTATTTTAATATTATTCATACTATTTACACTAGGATATCACAGAATATTTATAATAAAAGTGTTTCTACTAAGCCTGAGTTTTAATAGACAAAACTTAGAGCCTTGCTCTTAATTGATTTACTAAAATTAAATTCTACTTAGGTTTTATTTGTCGTTAATATTATTACACTTTATTACTTATAAGCAAATTGGTCAATTACCGATTTTCTTTTTCTCGTTTCCTCTAAAACTTAATAATTCACCTAACACTTTAAAAAATATACCAATTATATCATCACTCTCTTGTAACACAACCTTCTGACTTTTCGCCTCTTCTGTTTGATCTCTGTCAACAGAATGTTGAATGTTTTTCTAATATATCAACACAAATTTTATCAAATTCAATATGAAACTTTTGTTTATTAAGAAGTGGAACAATAAGATTGTAAGTGTTTATTTTCATATTTATTGACTCGGCCAACAATTTATTACTTTCACATAATTTAAGCCATCTTACAGCATCCTCTTCATTTAAAGGATAAGGTCCTAAATACTTTCTATCGTTTCTTATTTCTTCTTTCAAAAGTTCTATGTCTTGATCTATTTCTTTGCTCATTGTTATCCATTCTGGAGTAAATCCATTATTTATTAAAACCTGAAAAAAAATACTACATTAATGTAGTCATATTATTTTTCTAATTGAAACAATAAATAGAAAAGGTTTTTGACAACACATTTGGCTCAGTTTGTAGTGACCCTGCTTTTTGTGCCAGCCGTTGCGGGTTCCAGTCCCACTGAGGGTATTCATTTCTGTGATGAGCACAAATGTTTGTATTTCAGTATGTATTTAAAGTTATATATGTGTAGTGTATCAACTATCTGTTATCCATAACATAAGCCTCGTAGCTTACCATGGAACTAGATGGTGCTGTGTGTTTATGTACCAATATATTTATTTATTCATTATTTTTAAATATTTAAAGCCAATATCATAGATATATATTCCTTACCTCATTCAGCTTATGAGTAGTGAAGTCAACATATGGATTACTATTTTGATCTTTCAATGGCTTTCCCTTGCCACTTAAATTTTCAAATTCTCCTTTAGACATGGATTCTTGTATTAAATCTTCCACCAACCTTTCAAACCCATATTTAGTTTTAATATCATGTTTCTTAAGTGGTTCTTTTTTCATAAGAGTCTTTTCAGATGCAACAGCTTTTGCAGTTCTGTGTTCCATGACATTAATAGCTGCTCTTTGAGCTCTAACTTGAGCATATTGTTTTTGTCTCTGAGAGGGAGTCCCATATCCAATTCCATCAAAGCTAAGAAATTGTCTATGTTGTGGTGCTGTATGCTGTAAAAAATATTAAAGCGAAAATAAAATTATATTTAAATAAGTACTGATAGAATTCGAAATTAATTTCATACCTTTACTAAGTGAAAACAAACAAATATTTAAATAAATATGAAAAGTATTGACAATCTATATAAGGAAGAGGATTTGAAATTGTTTACATACCTTTATATCATATATAATTTTTTCAACTTCCTTAGTATTTGTGGCATTATGTTTTGACAAGATTCTGAATGCATTTTCTACAGCCACAAATTTATTTATATCAGCGTCCGGGGACTTAGCATCTGGATGATATTTCTTGGCAAGATCTAAGAATGCTTTTTTTATTACATCTTGGCTGGAGTTTTTTGGTACATCCAGGAGTTTATAGCTTTCCTTGAAATAGAACATTATTTTTTTATATGTTTAATGTTTTAATTATAATTCAATGGATTTAAGCAAATACTGGTCAGCAAAGACTACTTACCTCGATTTGTTTTTTATTTACAGTTGTCAATGTTTTTATTTGCAATGTTGTCCTGAATTCTAAGCAAGCCGGCTTAGAACAAATTATCGGATATATTGACTTTCTCATATTGGTTTCATTTATCGTAAAATAAGTATTATAACTTTTATGTGATGTTACGCAATATGTTTTTATAGCTACATAATATTTTTATAGGGATTACGTTTTATTGTCATTTGACATAGTGAAAACTTTTGTTTTGATATATTTGACAATTTACTAAAGTGACAGCTGTTTTTATGACAAATTACATCTGACATTTTGTGTTGCCAAGTACTTAGAATAATTCCATATTAGTATGATTTACATGGAGTACTATGGGGAAGAATTTTGCCTTTTTCTCTTGCTAGACGTCGCGATCACTATGTCCGTTAGTATATTGTAAAGCTCTTTAACGTGATTTTTTTTTCAATTTATTAAAAAAAAATGAAAATTATGCAGTGCCAGGATGCAAAAAAAATCGATATCATTTGTTACTAAAAAACAAAAACTGAAGAAATTGTGAGCTAAAGCAATAAGACAACCAAAATTGGCAAAATCACAATCTTTATATTTTAGGCTTGTTATATGGAAATCATTTTAAAGAAAGTGATTCTAAAACTCTTAAATCGTCCACAGGTGACTTTTTTTATTTTTGTATTTTTTTACATATTAATGACAGAGTTTCATATAAACTTTCATCCTCCATTTTACCCCCTTATGGGATTTAATTTTGAAAAATTTTACAATACCTATTTATTTAATTGTATTGAAAAGCATTAATATTAAGTTTAAAGTAATTCTGATCATAAATAATTCTTTGCCCAAAGGGATTGATGATTGATGCCCTTTAAGGGATGAAGTTCAAAAAAAAAACAAATGAATATATTTCATCATTTTTTTCTTAAATCTAAACACCACTTTCTGTGTATTTCACATTAAGAATGACAGAGTGTCATATATCTTTTAACGGATATAATTATTGGATATATCGTCTTATCAGATGCCTACATAATTTAAGGAATACATCCTCCAAATTTCACGTTTCTGCTAAAAGCGGTTAATGCTGTGTGGTGGTGATCCGTCTGCCAGTCAGAATCACCAAAGAATGCATCTCACCTTCTCACGTTCTCAATTCTTCCTTCAGCTGGTGTAACTTCCAGGTACAATACATTGCATGGAAAGATCCGAACACAATAGAAGCTAAAAATCAGGTACAAAAGAGATATCATTTACTTAATCTCATACTAAATATAAATAGGCCATAGGCCCTTTACAGAAATTCCTTTCGATAAATCTTTCCCATTTCTTTTTTAACTGACTATAAACTTTATGAATATGTACATATTCATAATGTTTTGTTAGTGTTGCCTTTATCTGATTAGTTAAGTTTTTTGCATTTATCATAGATGACACAGTAATAAGCCAAATAACAAAGAATTAAATTGAGATCATGCATGACATAACAAACCTAAAACCAACAGTTCGAAAGAAAACGAAACTTTATACACTAAAATAAAGTTAAATTAAATTTAATTAAAGTTACTCTTTGTAATAAAGTGAATTTGATTAATTCTAGTAGAAAATATATTTTAAACGCTTACAACATTTTAGTCTATGATTCCATCCATTGAATTCTGTTCTGTCACCTGCACCGAATGATTGTGATTTGTGTCTGTATTCTGCAGGCTCAATTCTAATTTGACACAATTGTGAAGAAAGTGGAAAAGATAGTAATAATTTTTTGTGTTTTTACGATGTATTCAAGTTGAGTGACGTGTACAGCGAAATGTTAATAGTCGTGTATGTAATATACACTTAAAATAAGATTATTTATAGGAGAAGAGATATTAAATGTGTTGTAAAATGCCTCTGACATCCGAAGAAATTGCGAGCCGCTACCCTATTCATTGGCTTGTTTGGAATAACAAGCATGAAGAACTAAAGAGTGCTCTTCAAAATAATAAGGTTGGTAAAAAAAATATTAGTTTTTTTTCCTTTGTATAGCAGAATTTCTAGTGGATTGTTATTTTGGGGTTAGGTTAATCTGTTTTAGACAATTAAAACCTATGTGATAGAATTCTTTGAGTAATTCCTAATATATAATAAATAATGACTGCAATATTGTCTTATTGACGACGACAAGCTTAAGCTTACATTTTAAACAACAATTTTTAGATTAATCATAGAAATATTATTTTAGGTTCTATTTTACTGCAAATCAAACTGTAAATCAGGCAATACTATAGGGATAATCATATTGTATTTAAACATGTAATTGACACAGTGATGGTGCAATGTAACATTATTACATGTAAACAAGTGACAGGAGTGTGTAGGTTGTGAGTAATGTTACATTAAAATAATCTTATTATCTGTGATGAAGCCATTGCAGTGGTACTTGATATGGATTAGAGCTCAAAACATACTATTGCTGCCTAATATTGTGTGAAAATGAAATCCCATTAGTAGAAAACTGATTTATAACAAAATATAAATTAACAAAAAAAAAAAAACAATAAATTAATTTTTAACTATTCAACAAAATACTTGTTAATATGATTGATTTTTTTTTTTGAATATTATAATTTTATTACAGTTTTCACAACAAGATATAGAAAAACAAGATCCCAGAGGCCGTACACCCCTACTTTTAGCGGTTACTTTAGGCTATATAGAAGTTGTTCAAGCTCTTATTGATGCAAATGCCGATGTTAACTGTGAAAAAGATGGATGGACAGGTATGAACAATAAAATCAGTTAGCAAAAGATTTCTATTCAATTTTTGGTTTTAAAATGTACATTTGTGCTCTCTAGCTTAGCTCATCTAGTATTATAAAGAGTAGAGGTTGAATTATATGAATTGTATTATTATTAAACATGCTTTAAATAGTTATTGTATATTCATATATGATCTGGCAGTAGCAATATTAATTATTATATATATTCTTTATTATACAAACAGTTAATAAAAGAATATATACAGAAAGTGACATGGACGAAGGTGGACATATCTCTATAAGAGATCCCCTCCAATCAACCCATGCTTGTGGGGAATAGTGTTAAACAGCGGGACAAAATGAGAAAGTGCCAAGAGATTATTATTATGTTAATTTTCAAACCCATTAGCTGTTATCTCATTCAGAGGAATGATTGTATTCCTGCTTATGTAATATTTTAATGATTAATCTTGGTATGAAACATAATAGTGTTGGGTTAGTTGATAATTTACAATAATAACAAAGTATTAGAGAGCTGTTAATTATTGGATTTATCGGGTTGTATTTTAGCTGCATACTAATTAATTAAGTAGTTGATTTTGATAAAAACTTTAATAATTGTGTTATTTTATTGTATAATGTTATATATATATATATATATATATATATATATATATATTTTTATGGATGTTTAATTTTTCTGTTATATGTGCAATGTACATATATGTTGGCCAATTATTAAAGAAATGCTTTAAATTCTATCAGTGTATAGGTTTAGAAGTAGTTATGTTTACTAACATACATGTATGTTGTATGTTCTTTTAAGTAAAGATCTCTTTATTTGAGATATTAAAATGATATATATTTTCGTTATGATTTTTGTGGTTGATTTTCTATAGTTATTGATTTTATCAATAGTTATATATTTTTACCAATATATTTTTATCATAAAAATTTAAGTAACGTTTAGTATAGATTTTGCAGAGATGAGTTATTTACCGACAGTAAAAAGTATTCAAGAAAATAAACCAGCTATCATCATACCAAATTTTATCAAAATATATCCAGTGGTTTTCTCGTGATGCGTTTCCAGACAGACAGACAGACAGACAGACAGACAGACGGCCTCTTTAACGATAATATTGTCTGTTTCAATAAGAATATCCAAAAAATATTTAATGTACAGATTCGACTCAGTTAGAATTTTATTTTATGTACAGATTTAACAATTGCTTTAACAAATCATAAACAATATAATTACAAGAAAAAAAGACATACTATATTTCTGTTTCAATGTTCGGGACGATATGATAACGCTAAATATCGCGTTAACGTGTATCGCAAATGACGCACCAGCAATCAATATGTATGATGTATGACTAATTTGAGGTAAACTCTTCATTTACATTTGGACATATTGATCCATTTCAGATTTCAATATCTATTTAAATATATTGTTTATTTCATCATCATGATTATTCAGCCCTTTTTAACATCCCACTGCTGGGATTAGGCCTTAGTCTACTTCCCCCCCAACGTGCGTTCACCTTGTCGTGGTGGGGGGGCTCAGTAGTAGTAGCGAAGCTAAGAAACGCACAGGGAGGTTGCCCACTTCGGTGGGCGGTGGGAGGTGGCCCTCTTCGGGGGGCGGTGTACCTTGCGGGTTGCTCCTGGTACTTCTCTGATAGCAGAGTGGACCTTGGAGCAACCCCATGGTTGTGGTGGTCTGCTTTGGCAGACCTGCCGTCGGGGCGTCGTAGTTGAATGCGTAAGCGATCCTGCGACGCCCCATTAAGACGGGGGAAGGTTTTGTTGGGTTTTAGTGGGTAGTACTGGCTGTATTACGCCGGTGAGTCCCACACGTCGTGCGTAAATGCATTTCCCAACGTTAAAAAAAAAAAAGGCCTTAGTCTACCAATATGACAAAGTTGCAAACTTTCAGGTCTTTCGGAAACTAGTTGGTTCTTTCAAACATGCAGGTTTCTTCACGATGTTTCCTATTTCCGATAGAGAAGTGGTAATCATTTTGAAAATGATTCGCACATGAAAATATCAAGGATGCGAGCCCCGGGATTTGAACCGTGCAGGCAGGCAGTGATGCACACTTGGTTTTCCAAGCGAGCAAGTTTCCACTGGGCTTTCACTGCCACTATTATTTCAATTAATATGAATCGTATTAATATAAAAATAGTACATTAAAAGTACTTAAATTTATCAAAATAATATAGGTGATCTTGTCGGTACCAGGATTTAATGTCGCTATTCCCGACCTAGATACAGAAGAGCTGGATCGATTACACTGAGATTTTTTTAAATTTTACGATACAAACTTCACATAATAGTCTTCGAAATATCGAGTCTCAGTTCCCAACAGGGACTTTCCCGATTAGAATGAAGTAGTTCCAATTAAGAATTTAATTAGCTATTTTTTTTTAATTAGTGGCTAGTGGTCGTATTTTATTAGTATCTGAGTTAATAAAATACACATGAAAGCAAACCTCTTTACTATATATACATCTATACAGATAGATAAAATTGAAGTGTCTGTTTGTAATGTCAAAATAACAGCTTTTTACTAAATGAATATGAAATTATATAAGGTACCTATAAGATAAACACGATTTTTAAAAATTTTGTCTGGTTGTCTGTTTGTTACGGCCAATCTCCGAAACGTTTGGACGGATGTTGACGGGACTTTCACTGGAAGATAGCTGATGTTATAGGGAGTAATATAGGCTACTTTAATTTAAAAAAAAAGAATTAGAGTTCAGCTCAAACATTTTAAAATAACGAATGAATTTTGTTTTTCAGCTGTTCAAGAAGCAACAGCTACTGGAAACCCGGAGCTGTTAGCCTTAGTGCTGTCCCGACGTGATTACCAAAGGCACGTGGTGCGGTCCAGCGGGATACCTGACTTGCTGAACAAACTGAGCTTGGCCCCTGATTTCTATGTTGAGATGAAATGGGAGTTTACTAGTTGGGGTAAATACATCACATTAGTAAAAAAAATGAGTTAGTGTGCTTTTTCACGGCTTTTAGTCAAAATGTGTATACAATACATTTATACAGATAAAGAAAATTGAAGTGCCTGTCCAAAATGTCCAAATAACAGCTTTTTACTAAATTCATATGAAATTCGGGTACTTATTGTAATTTTTTGTCTGTCAGTCTATTTGTTCCGGATAATCTCCGAAATGGTCGGACCTATTTGGACGGATCTTTAACTGATAGATAGCTGATGTTACAAGGAATAACTTAGGCTACTTTTATTTTTAAAAAAGAATTAGGGTTTCGCGCAAATTAAAACGTATGAATTTCTAGGAAGCCACTAAACAACGTATGAATTTGTCAACATAATCATAATTGTCTTGCAAAAGAGACAAAAATTGCTTTTCATCCTTTTCCTTAAATTAAGATAAACTAACGCTACTATTATGATTAAAAAATTATCCATATATTAACATACATGTGTATGTACTTAGAATTTTATATTATTGACTATATTTAAAATGTTATTTATATAATTACTGTTCGTTATAATAATATTTTGAGTGTAAATATTTTTTTCAGTGCCCTTAGTATCTCGAATGTGCCCATTCGACACGTACAAAGTGTACAAACGTGGTGCGAACGTTCGAGTCGATACAACATTGGTTGGCTTTGAGAATAACAAGTGGCAGAGAGGCGATAGGACTTACATATTTAGAGGACAAGGTAAGTTATTTTATTTTAAATTTGAGATTATTACTAGCGATTATTTACCCTCGTTTCGCTCGGGTTCGTCCCTAGGTACGTTTTAAAGGCTAGTATGAAATACAAATCTTAGAATTTCTCGGCTTTTCTGTACTATAATATGCAAGTATTATACATACAAACCTTCCCCTTGAATCACTTTATCTATTGCTGAAAACTGCATTAAAATCCGTTAAGTAGTTTAAAAGATCTAAGCGAACAGACAGCGGAAGCCACTTCATTATATACTATGTAAAGATAAAGCTTGTATAACTTTGCTTAAAAGGCTGGCAAGGCTGGCGGCAGTGCCGGCGGCACTGTGTGTAGGAACGCTTTATGTATATTTATTGTTAGTTTTGTTCGCATACCACGATAAATACGTATATGCCTCTTGTAAACATACAAATCTATACTAATATTATAAAGAGGTAAAGTTTGTGAGTTTGTGACGTTGTAGGGGGTGATCTCTGAATCTACTGAATTGATTTAGATGAAATTTTGTAAGAAGATAGTTTGAGTCACTGGGAAGGACATATGATACTTTTTATCCCGAAAATCATCTTAAGAGGGTGAAAATGGGGATGAAAGTTTGTATGGGGAATCAAGCTACGGACGAACCGAAACGTGAGTCGCTACTAGTAACGTATATAATATTACTCCTACCTTGTTCCCTATGGATACAGGATACAAAAGACACACATATATATTTGTCTTGTGTAGTAATGAACCAATGAGAAACTTCGCCATAAAATATAGACCTTAATGGTGTCTGAACATTTTTCTGTGGAACTTGATATTAGTTACCTGTTCAAATATTTTTGAAACGTAACGTTTTAGAGTACCTGTAGTGGTATTTCTATTATTTATTTAAATATCTTCTGTTCATAACTAAGCAGTTTCATTGTGTGCCACAAGTTTAGAAAAAATAAAAATGGCAAACCTATAATGGTTCTATCACATGTATCTGTTATTAATGTTATAAAGGCAGTGTTCTTTTTCATTGAATTTATTTGTTTTAATATATGACAATTTTGACGACAAGGTGGCTCAGTTTGTAGTGCTGCTTGCTGTGCCAGCGGTCGTGTGTTCGAGTCCCGCTGGGGGCATTCATTTGTGTGATGAGCATAAATTTTTGTACTCAGTCATGGATGTTTATATTTATAATTTGTATGTATTTAAAGTTATATATTATGTGTAGTGTATCAACTATCCGGTATCCATAACACGAGCCTCGTAGCTTGTCATGGAACTAGATGGCGCTGTGTGTTAATGTCCCAACCTATTTATTTAATAATTCCAAGGTCGCACAGCCAGCCTGGTGGAGCTGGACCACGAGGCCGGCACGTCGTGGTGCGAGTACCTGGAGGGCGGGCGCGAGCGCGAGTGGCCGCCGCCCGCCCAGCACGTCATAGACCAGCGCCTATCTGCACCGCTGGCTATTAATTACCTGGATACTGATAAAATTAGCTTTGAGAGGTGGGTTTTTGGTGGGTAGTGAGGGGAGAAAGGGTAGAAGAATAGAATAGAACTAGCGGCTTACCTTACCTTCGCTTGGATGCGTCCCTAGATACGTTTTAATTTTTTTAAGCGGGAACTATAATTCTTTTGCTAAAACAAAAGTAGCCTATATTACTCCTTATGACATCAACTATTTGTTAGTGAAAGTCCCGTCAGAATCGGTCCAGCCATTTCGGAAATTAGCTGGAACAAACAGACAGACAAAATTTTTAAAAATTGTGTTTTTCTTATCAGAACCGTAGTATTTTCATATGCATTTAGTAAAAAGCTTTCATTTCGTCATTACAAATAGACACTTCAATTTTATTTATCTGTATAGATAAAACTTAATTTATGATATACTGCTTAGCAGACAAAATGGTTAATGTGAGTATGTAATTGCCTCGTTGGTCTAGTGGTTAGCATATGTTACTAGTGGGTACTGATCTGAAGATCCTGGGTTCGAGGTCCGGATCAGGTCAAGTGTAGTTAGTAAGGATTTTTTCATAATGAAATCAAGTCAAAATTATAATACAATCTTTAAATTTACTTTTATTGTGGGGCTGTAGAAAATGTTATACAGCGTGTTTTATTATAATTTTTAATATTTATATGTAAGTATATAATAATTATAATTTAAATAAATATATATATGAGTGATAATATAATACTAATGAAAATTGTTTCCTCTAGAAACAAAAGCGGCATTTGGGGCTGGCGTCAAGACAAAAGTGAAAGTGTGAACGGTTACGAGTGTAAAGTGTTCAGTGCGAACAACGTCGAGCTTGTGTCCAAGTCCCGTACAGAACACTTGCCTAAAGGGGAGAGGAAGGCGCACACTCCCCGCGCTCCCCTCGCCGGGTTACTGGCTTTGGCGGACAATGATGAGGGCCCATCGACCCCTGTTTCCCCTCTGTTAACACCTGATAAGGTAAGAGAATCTATAATAATTTGACGACACGTTTGGCTCAGTTTGTAGTGATCCTACATGCTGTGCCAGCGGTCGCGGGTTATAGTCCTCGTTGGGGGCATTCATTTGTGTGATGAGCACGAATTTTTGTACTCCAGTCATGGTTGTTTATATTTATAATATGTATGTATTTATAAGTTATACATGTGTAGTGTATCAACTATCTGGTGTCCATAACACAAGCCTCGTAGCTTACCATGGAACTAGATGATGATGTGTGTTGATGTCCCAACATACTATAGACTAGCGACTCACTCGCTTCGCTCGGGTTTGTACCTAGCTTGCTTCCCAATACAAACTTTCATCCCCATTTTTTTTTATAATAAATGTATAGGCAAAGTGTTTGTCAAACTGGTCTTCCAAGTCGTATACGGAATACTTGCCCAAGGGGAGAGGAAGATACGAACTACCCGCGCTCCTCTCGCTGGGTTATTGGTTCTATCGGACATGAATATGAAGGCCTGTCGACCCCTGTTTTCTCTCTGTTAACATCTTTTAAGGAAAGAAAAATGGTAGTTCCTAAGTAGTATGGTCCAAAGGAGATAGAAATGTATGGTCTAGAAGTGGTATAAGCTCATCACGACGTAGACTTACCTGAAGCACTTTTTTTTTATAAACTTAAAAATTGCGAATTTTAGCCCTCAATAAAATAGCTTTGAAGCTACGATATCATTGCAAAAGTACGCAATTGTATATCTTCTAGAAAATATTTTATGTATAATAGTCTTCGATTCACCTATGTTGTTTGTTTATTTGTTTGTTTGTTCTTCTTTCACGTTAAAACGGAGCGACGGATTGGCGTGATTTTCTGTGTGATGATAGTTGGAGGGCATGAGAGTGTTTTTACCATATAATATTCTCGTCCAGAAAGAGGGAACATGAGGGAACACGTCATAATACAAAAATCAACAAGTCATACCTTTACCATAAAAGTTTGTCGTCCAGGAAGAGCCTATGAAGAGGAGCAGGTCCCGCGAGGAGCTGCGCGCGGTGACGTGGGAGGAGTACTTCTCGGCGGAGGCGCCGGAGCGCGACGTGGGGCGCGCGCGCGAGGTCTCCGCCAAGGTGCAGAAGTTCAGGGCCACGCTGTGGCTCTGTGAGGACTATCCGTTGGAGGTGCTATATCTTTATTTTGTTTTTATATACAGATAAATAAAATTGAAGTGTCTGTTTGTAATGTCAAAATAACAGCTTTTTACTAAATGCATATGAAATTATATACGGTACTTATAAGAAAACACTTTATTTTTTATTTTTGTATGTCTGTCTGTCTGTTTGTTCCGGATAATCTCTGAAACGGCTGGACTGATTTTGACGGGACTTTCACTGAAAGATAGCTGATGTTATAGGGAGTAACATAGGCTACTTTAATTTTAGAAAAAGGATTAAGGTTCCGCTCAAAAAAATTAAAACGCACCTAGGAAGGAACCCGTGCAAAGCGAGGGTGTTTTTGTTTTCCTAGAGGGGAACTAAATTATATGTTAAAATTATTAAATGTATATTTATTTACTAGCAACTTGCCCTAGTTCTGTTTGAGTGCTGTCCTACGTACCTAATTATAGCTTTTAAGTTATTCTATGTCTAACTATAAAATTTTCTCTAAATTCTTTCAGCTCTTTCAGCGTGAAGGAAAAAACAACATATACACATACTAACTTTCGCATTTATAATAGTAGCCCGTGTGTTAGGGGCCATTCATTAATAAGATAATAAAAGTAAATTAATATAAGCCATCCTTACGTAATATTTTATCGAATCCAATTTTCTTATATTTTAATGTTTATATTTTTTATTTTTTCAGTTACAAGAGCAAATAATGCCCATCCTAGATCTAATGGCGGCGATATCGTCACCACACTTTGCTAAGTTAAAGGATTTCGTACAGATGCAACTGCCGTCTGGGTTTCCCGTTAAGATTGGTAAGAAATGTAATCGATTATATATGTAGTTTTTGTTTAGTAATTAAATGTCGATGTGCATATCCACATTGCCTTATTGTATACTCGCCAGTTCTCCTCAGCAGAACTGCCTTCCGGGTTGATGTTAGATTCCTCAAGGACCACTTACACTGATATTTAATTTAAATTTAAAATGTAAAATTGACGATTAAAAATTGCCCGTAAAGTCTGTTTGAATAAAGTATATTTTGATTTGATATACTGAGATTGTACGATGTACATCTTTATTAATATAAACATATCGAAAATGAATTTGAAAATATAGAAATATGTGGAAGTAAATTTTAGAAATAAGGCTCTGAAATTGAATACTTATGTCGCTTATTATAAATAATAATAATACGTGTTTAATATTGTTGTACAATTTAACTAGTAAACTGGGAGGGATTTAAAGTCACTTTTAAATCTATACTAATATTATAAAGAGGAAAGATTTTTTGTTTGTTGGAATGTTAGTACCGAATAAAATCCGAAACTACTGAATAGATTTAGATGAAATTTGGTAAGAAGATCTCAGGTCTGAGGCTTCTTCTTTCCGAACTGGTAGTAGACTCCATGACGTTCAGTAAAAAATTGTAATAATTTAATGCTGAATAAAATATTTTGGTCTTCCGGTTTCGACCTGTCAAGTAAACTACGTGTATTTTCGTGTCTCCAAAATAATTTCGAAAAAGTGTTGTAAAACCCAAAAGCTCCGACGCAAATAGTGCACAAAAACAAGGACGTATATTCCAGTAATGTGAACAATACAATTAGATGAAAAACAACAGTGATTATCGCGAGAAACAGTGAAACACAATATCGTTTTTGAAAATAAACATAACTATAAATGCTATACTAAATTCAAAATTGATAAATAACAGCGTAATCACTCAGTGGAGTTTGACATTGACAACTTCAGTTCCGACCATAAACATAGAATACCAAAGTTACTAGTCTAAAAAGTGTTGCCACATAAAGGAAAAACTACCATTTAGTAGAAATTGAAACATGACGGACCTAACAATTTTACTTTCTAAAATGGAGGAACAATTTGAAAACAAACAATAAGAATAACCGAAAATGTGACAAAAACCCTATCTGCCACTATAGATGAAAAACTGCGACCTATTCTGGAAGAAAACCAAGAATTGAAAAAGGAGATTACTGCTTTAAAAACAAAAGTACAAAACATGGAGAGGGATATAAGGAAGAACAACTTGATACTACATGGAGTTCAGGAAACTGATAAAAATCACGCGGACCTTCTAAATCTGGTATTAGAAATCTTCAACACGGCTGGCGAAAAAGCTGGATTGGACAATTGGGACAAATGGGAGATCAGCAACGTTCGTAGACTTGGGATGCCAATGCAAAACAAAACAAGACCCATCCTTGTTTCTGTTACCCTCGAATGGCGTAAAATGGAAATGTTAAAGAATAAAAGATTCTTCCCACAAAAGGTCTACATTAGTGAAGATTTCTCAAAAGACATCCTAAACAAAAGGAAAGAGTTGAAAATACAGCAACAAGAAGAAATCAAGAAAGGAAAACGAGCTTATATCCGCTATGATAAACTGATCATAAATGAAAAATCAACAGAAAAGCGGAAACGATCGCCGTCAAAGTCACCTAAAACTGCAGCAGCTGCTGAAGAACAGCCAACTACTGCCCCAACTAAAATAAACGAAACAAACAAGTTAGAACAAGTGCACCGAGTTAGATCGAACTCACTTTCACTAACCACAGCAAGCAAGAAATAGCAACAACTGAAACGACAGGACCGGGAGACAAACACTCTAAACAACCAAACGCACACAACCACAACTGAAAAAAATTCTTTCCCAAGCCGGCTGGTCACCGTGGGAAAGTACGACCAACACCCTCCAACAGAAATAAACTATATAGGAAAACAAATTCACAAACAAAAGGACCTCATGTATATCAGTACACTGAATACTCGAACACTGAGAACAGAAGAAAGCCTTGAAGAACTAGAACTTGCCCTACGAGACCTAAACTGGGACATACTAGGTATCAGCGAAATGAGAAGAGAAGATGAGGGAATAGTAGAAAGAAAGAAATACATCATGTACAATAAAGGCGGTACTGCTGGTCACCGTGGAGTAGGCTTCTTAGTTAAGTCTAATCACAAAAACAAGATAAAAGAATTCGAAGGGATATCGGACCGAATAGCAATTCTCCACATCAATATCTCCAACCACAAAAAAGACTGGTCTATTATCCAGGTATATGCGCCTACAGAGCAAGCTAATGAGAACGACACGGTCCACTTTTATGAGTGTCTATCAGAAATCGTGGAAAAATACTCCAACAATCACCTTATAGTGATGGGAGATTTTAATGCTCAAGTAGGCACGAGACAAGCGGGAGAGGATTTAATTATGGGCAAATTTGGTCACGGAAAGAGAAGCACCAATGGTCACAAGCTGGTCGAATTCTTGCTCGAAAACAATTTGACACTGTTAAACTTGATTTTCAAGAAAAAAAATAAGAATTAATGGACATGGATATCCCCGGATGGGCGGACTAAAAACGAAATTGATTTTGTATTAACGAACAAACCCAAACTATTTAAGGACACACACATAATTCAGAACCTAAACTTCATCACAAACCACCGCATGGTACGAAGTTGTCTAAACTCTGCACCACCTAAAATATCTAGAAAATTCATAATCAATCGAAACCTCCTACCTTCAGAACAAGAACTCATTAAATTGAATAAACCTGATACCAAACCTCTTCTGGAAATTGTTCAGTCCGAAATAGATGTACTAGAAAAATACAACAAGGTAGAAAACAAACTCACCAAATTAACAAAAACCAGCATAACAAACACAAGAAAACCAAAACACAGCGAAAAAACCTTAAATCTCCTAGAAGAAAGAAAGAAGTTGTTTGCGGAAAAAGACAACGTAAACAAAATCTCTGCGCTTAGCAAAATAATTAGGGAAAGTATGAAAAACGATAGAAAAACAAGAAGACTTCAAACTTTAGAAAAAAACATAGTGAAAACAGGAGGCATAAAGAAATCACTAAAAGAGTTAAAAGAGAAAGGGAAAGAATGGATACCCAAAATGAAAAAGAATCAAACTAGCATTACTAAACGAAAAGATATACAGAGATTAGCGATGATTATTTCCGCACAATGTACTCCAAAGACCATGCTAACGACGTAAATCAGCAAGACAAATCTGATCCTCAACTCAAAGAAGACCCAATACCATCTATACTTGCAGGAGAGGTCGAGAAGGCCATAAATTCCCAAAAACTAGAAAAAGCACCGGGACCTGATAAAATCCCGAATGAGCTAATTAGAGGATCAATTGAGGAATTAAGCCCAATACTAGCAGTGGTATTCAACGACATCCTGCGCACAAAGCTCATTCCAAATCAATGGGGCGAATCCCACATAATGGGTAACTACCGGCCTATAAGCCTAATGTCTAATATATATAAGGTGTTTGCCAAAGTCTTACAGGAGAGAATATCAAAAACGCTGGACGAGAATCAACCTGTGGAGCAAGCAGGGTTTAGAAAGTATTTCAGCACTATTGACCATATCCATACTGTGAAACAGATCATCCAGAAATACAACGAATACCAGAAACCCCTATACGTGGCTTTCATTGATTACTCTAAGGCATTTGATACGCTCAACCACAACCACATATGGTCAAGCTTAAGACAGCAGGGTGTTAACGAAGTCTATATAAATATAATTAAAAACATCTATAGTATAAGTAAAAGTAGCATAAAACTGGAAGAAACTGGTCACCCATTCCCTATTAACAGAGGAGTTAGACAAGGGGACCCACTATCCCCAAAGCTCTTCTCAGCTGTTTTAGAAAGTATATTTAGGAGTATAGACTGGGCTGGCTTAGGTCTAAATATAAACGGCTGTCGTCTTAACCACCTGCGATTCGCTGATGATATTGTTCTGTTCGAAGAGAATCCCAAGAAACTAGAACTTATGATCAAAGATCTGGCTGCGAAAAGCAAGGAAGTAGGGCTAGAAATGAACAAGAACAAAACTAAAATAATGACCAACTCCAAACATGTAGACATAACAATCAATTGTGATCTTTTCGATTATGTTACCGAATATGTTTATTTAGAACAAATAATTTCTCCAAGCGACCAAATGACTAAGGAGATCAACAAGAGGATAGCATATGGTTGGAAGAAATATTGGTCTTTGAAGGAAGTAATGAAGAGCAAAGTGCTGGGAATCCATCTTAAAAGGAAGACCTTTGACATATGTATCTTACCATGCTTGACCTACGGATGCGAGACCTGGTCGCTAACAAAGTCCCATAGGGAAAAACTTACAAAGTGTCAGCGTGCAATGGAGCGGAGTATGTTGGGATTGAAATTAAAAGACAAGATCCGCAACGATGATATCAGATCCAAAACAAAAGTTACCAACATACTCACGCGAGTTGACCAATTAAAATGGAGGTGGACTGGGCACCTACTAAGAAGTAGCCTGGAGAAGTGGAGCAAACGTGTAACGGTCTGGTACCCCAGAGACGGTAAACGCAAAAGAGGGCGCCAGATAAAGAGATGGGAGGATGAAATCTGCCAAACTCTAGGGCCACTGTGGACACGAGTGGCGCTAGATAGAGCCCAATGGAGACAGATGGAGGAGGCCTTTGCCAAAAGGCACACAGAAATCAGAGATATTTTGTAAACCCTAAAACAACTTTATCTGAATAACTCTGTAACTCTGACTCCTGTAATAAAGGCTATTTTATTTTTTATTTTTTTTATTAAAATATTTTGATTTTGATTTTATGAGGAAACAAACTAGAGACGAACCCGAGCGGAGCTAGTATATGTTTGTTCTATATTACTATATTTTTTACTTAATATTTCCATTTTGATACATTACAGAGATCCCACTATTCCACGTATTAAACGCTCGTATAACATTCGGCAATATATTCGCAACGGAGACCCCGGTCGCGAACATCGAGTGCATCCAGGAGGGGCCGCGGCTGTCCTGCGTGGTGGACGACCGCTGCTTCGGCGTGGGCCGCGGCTACCGCGACGCCGCCGCGCCCGACGACCGCCTGCCCTGCGACGACGACGAGCTCCTGCAGTACGCCATACAGCAGAGCCTCATGGAGGCCGGCACTCACGATGATCAGGTCAGTTGGGGGTCACCTCGCTAAGTGTAGTGTAAGCGTTAAGTGTTCTACTAGTATGTTATATATTTAAAATGTTATCGGATGTATGGAAATGACTTAAACTGGACTTTGCCGCCATCCATCATATGACATATATATCTTCTTCTCCCTGCCCATTTCCCAATCACTTGGAGTCGGCGCAGTACATCTTCTGTACTGCTGATAGGATATGGCAAAAGTTTTACGACCGGCCGCCTCACGCCTGCCTGACGTCAACCCTCTTTGGGAATGCTATTGTCTCTCTTTGTCTGAATGGTGTCGCGGAAGTCTTATAGTATGCACTTTCTATTTTTTGTCTTTTGAAACATTTTTTATGTGAATTACTATTACTTGAATATTAATGTTATTTACAGATATATATTAAAATAAATTTTGATTGCACAATAAATAAATTCATTGTATATTTATTATATATATTTATTGTATATATATAAGATATGTTAGTGTAACACGCCTCCCCCCTCCCCCTCCCCCAGGTGGACGTGTGGGAGGCGCTGCGCAGCGCGCGCTCCACGTCGCCGGTGCCGCCGCGCCGCGCCGCGCCCGCGCTGCTCGACCACGAGGACGCCTACTTGCAGAGGTGATACATTTCTTATGTTTTTATTTGTAACTAGCAGAACCCGCGGCTTCGCTCGTGTTAAAACTACAAAAAAAAACTCTAAAAAGGTAGGTTTCATACAAAATTTTCATCCCCTATTTTACCCTTTTAAGGGTTGAATTTTAGAAAACGCTGAAATACGTAACTCATTATTTTTGCCGTACTCAATTCATACGAAGTTTCATGAAAATATGTCCAAGGAATAAAAAGTATCTTACAAACTTTTATCCCCTATTTCACCCCCTTAGGGGTTGAATTTTGAAAGATCCACCCAATTTGAAACCCAAACCCCACAATTTGAAAGATATGTAAGGAAATATTTATTTAGTATTTATGTATTTTTATTCTTTTTTTACTTTATCTTTTCATTATGATATCAAACATCAATGCAACGAATCATATTATATTTGTTCTATTTGTTGCCAATTCCTTACTATTGCCCCTAAATGGTTATATTTTTGAGTGTTATGTCATATATTTTCATTACAGATTTCGACGGTTTTAGTTTTTAAATTGTGGGCTTATTAGATATTAATTTTTGTAGTAGCGATGTATTTTGATGTTGTGCTAATTTACTTCATATTTACATCTTATTTTCTAATTTATTTTTCTATTTTCTTCTAGACTTATGGTATTTGCTAGGTATTTGTTTTTAATAGTGTATTTATTCATTTTTAACCGACTTCCAAAAAGGAGGAGGTCCTTAATTCGTCGGAGTATTTGTTTTTTTTTTACATCGTCACATTGTATTTATAAGGTAGTCGAAAAATTTTAATTTGGTGTGATGTAATGTATGAAAGTTAAACCATACGTTGGACTTGTCACACGATTTATCGGGCAACTTATGTTATGTACATATATCAGTCAGTCAACGAGTTTGGGGACTTGTATATGCAAAATATGTATAATGAACGAATAAAATCACATATAAATTTAAAAATTGTTTATTTATCATTATCATTAATTTCAATTTACTCTATTTAATGGAGCGATTTAAATAAATTTATTTTTTTTCTATCTTTGCATATATATTGTCAGAGCTAAAAAGTTAAATAGTTTAAAAGATATATAGTTTAAAATATATTATATATTTTTATAAGAAATAAATCCTGTGTAAAGTTAGAAACATCACCCTCAAGATCTGACTTATCACAGTATAAAAATCCATACAGTAAACGATCGCCTATTGATTTTATCGGAAATGCTGTCAAATGTAAGGATTGTCAAAAATACCAATTTTCATGGCGACTGTTTTTTAAGTTAAAGCGATTTCTACTTGACATTGGAGAAATGATCTGTGCTTAATTGGCACGCTTTGAAGCACATTCGTTTTGTTTCTTGATTCCATGAAATTTAGTATGCAGGGGGTTTTGGGGGCGAAAAATCGATCTAGATTAGTCTTATGTCTGAGGAAACACCTGTTCTGGAGTTTTTATGCGGTTTTCTTTCGCATTATTCCACACAAAATATGGTCGGTAACTTCGCACATTCTGGCATAAACATCGTGGTCAAGCGGCTAAGGCGCAAGATTGATAACTACAGATTCTAATCTCGGTCGGATACAACGTTTTTACCTTTGTTTTTTTTTGTTTATTTTTTTTATATTTATTCAGGTTTCTGTCGTGTCTGTCCGCCATTTTAGCTCTTGTCAGACGACTGTATGGATTAGTATACTGTGGTATTATCATTAACATTCTAACTTACATTTACAAACACTCGTACGCTAAAGCTAAAGTAGTGAGCTAACAAAGCTAGTGTCGCAGAGCGATAGAGGCGTCATTAGCGGACGTCGGCTCCATCAGTCTGCGCGAGCAGGCGACGGATACGGATACGGATGTCAACGTGGCGGACGTGAACGCGGATGCGGACGCGGATACGGATACGGATGAATTGGACGCGGACTTGAGGGCGGCACTGGCGCTGTCCGCGCGCGAGCACGCGGCGCGCGGCCGCCTGCTGGCCGACGAGCAGCGCGCGTTGGACGAAGCTTTGCGGTTGTCGCTTCTAGATAAGTAAATAGGTGTGTAGTATTATTTATATATATTATATCATATAAAGTATGTTGTTTTGGTTATTTTGAACCTATTTGAAGGCCTCTTGGATTATTTTTTACCGTAGCCGTCGTTTTGTCCGAGTTCTTAAGTGCGTTATAGTGCTTAATCCACTCCAGATCACAGCCTATCTGTATACTAAATTTCATCATATTTCTATAATTCGTCTAGCTCTAGAAGTTTCAGTATAAAGGAATAACAAACATACATACACTAATAATCTTAAGCATTAGTATTAATAATATTATCCGATATTTGATAGGTGAATTTGCTAATTACAAAACCATTATCTTTCTTTTTACCGATTTGGAGAATAAATTAGGATTTTGGTTTTTTTTTGTGTTTTTGATGCGTGAAAAAATGTAGACGAAAAAGAAGTGATTGTTTCCTTTGCTCGAAAATTGAAAGTTTCGATTTGTAACAATTAACATAACTGCTAATAACAAGTATGTTAAAATGTAATATTCGAATCGGGGTATATTTAGTCTCTATAGACAAGATGACATTCTAAAATCGTATTACAACGTTAGATGTTTTAAATAAAACTATCTTTTCGGATTTTGTCGCGGATTTTGTCACGGGAGAGACACTCCCGTGACCATGGATGCTGTAAAGCATTCGAAACGTCGGGAAACAAAAATACAAATAAATCCGCGACAAAATCCGAAAAGATAGTTTTATTTAAAATGTCAAATATTCGCGTAAATCTAAGAAAGTATTTGTGATATTGGTTCGATTGAAAATACTTATAATTTTAATCAACGTTAGATGTTGTGAAATTCCAAGTTAGTTAAAATCTTAATATATATAATAAGCATCGATTAAAAAAAGTATCACCGAATGAGCGCTCATTTGTATATTTGAGCGCGGCTTTAAATATTTTTTTTGTGAAAACAACTTTAAGCTTTGCGTTTTAGGATTCAATTTACATTGTTGTATATTTATTTCAACTACAATAATTACCTAAACACAATTGGTGACAGTTTCAAGAGAACTTTTGCATGGGATTGTAGATCTAGTACTCTTTTGATCGATGTACATATATACGCAATAATCGTGATAAAATATGCTCTTAAAATTTCATTTTTTTTCTTCAGATCTCAAAACTGAAACGTCCACCAAATGAAGACTTAATGCCTAAGAGTACGACTGACATCACCCAAAGAGAGAACTACGCGCGACGCAGTTGGTTAATTTGGTGCGTACCCGAGTAGCTGCGATTTGTATATTTACAATACGAGTGAGAGTTATATACTTAATGTATTCAGAATATATGCTATGTTATTATACGTGAATGATTACGAACGGTTTTGTTTTATTTACGCGGATTTTGTTCGCGCCTTCATGGCTTTAATTTCTTTTTTGGCGAAACTCTAAGTCTTTTTTTGAAATAAAAGTAGCCTAAGTTACTCCTTATAACATCAGCTATATGCCAGTGAAAGTTCCGTCAAACTCGGCCCAGCCGTTTCTGAGATTAGCCGAAACAAATGATATACAGACAATTTGTTTTCTTATAGGTACCGTGTATACTTTCATATGCATTTAGTAAAAAGCTGTTATTTTGACATTATTACAAATAGACATTTCAATTTTATCTGTATAGTTTATTTATTGATTTTGACATTTATTATCATTTTGATGATAATAAATGTCAGATGATGATAAGCGATGATTTATTTTACAGAATTTTGAATGAAATAGTAAATCGATTTAGATATGTATGTAAATATAAATAATCGATATTGTATCGATATTTTAAATTAAAACGATTTTATTTATATTACAACCGAATTATTTATGTGGGACGATAATTGAATGATTTGTCGTTGATAATCATTCACATATAATGAATGGATTGTGTATACTACTTACCTATATTAGAATATATTTATATGTAGTTTAAATTTTTAACGGACTAGTTACATTTTGGTTTTTAAATTTATAACTTTGATTTACAGTCCAGTGAGTTTATTATATATGTTTTTTTTTTATAAAGAAATAGATATATGAATCAAAATTATCGGTAAATGAAAAACATCAGCTTTGTACATAATATATTAAATATTTAGAAAGAGATTGAACAATTACATTCTGTTACGTGGTTTTATTCAAAGTGACTCTTCTGTGTGGCTTTTTTTTTCAGGTTTTATGTTTATTTTTCGTATTCTTAACTCACTTTTTGGCATCATAGCATGATCATTGATAGTAGTATCTCATGAAATCCCATTTGTTTCCGAGAAACGTTGTGTTTCCCATGTCATTGTATGGCTTCTTTGTAAAAAATCAGTCCGACTCGTTGTTGAGTAAAAGAAGGACAGACATACTCGCATTTATATTATTAAGTAAGAATCGATGTCACTTTACACGTGTTTGTTTTTTATTTCTGTCGTGGAGAGAACAGTCGTTTTGTATGACATCATATTTTTCTTTAGTTATTGTTTTGCTCTAGCCATTGATATACATAAACTCAAGACACATAATTAGCGTCTCAAAAGTGTCTACAAAAAAGAAGTGCATAATTCAAATTTGAATTGCGCTTTTCTTCAAATCTCTGTTGTTCATTGCTTTTAGGATGACAAAATTAAAACGCACGTTTTTTCGTTTAAAAAAGTACTTTATGTGGTGTGCGTAAGTTCGAATTTGTGCTTAGACAATTAAAACTTTGAATTTTTCAATTTTATTCTTTGGTTTAACTTAACGTCACACGTCGACGCCACTTTTTGAAGATTTATTTGTTAGGAAATGTGTATCTATCTATGTTTTTATATATCAACTAGCATTGTCCGCGGCTCCGCCCGCGTTCGGATGACCGAAACCGAAATTCTTAGGTTTTACATATTAGTATTCTCTTACATTGCGGTTTTTGTATTTTTTCTCAGAAATGAGATATTTTCCCGCGGTAAAAAGTATCCTATATGTTGACCCGGATAACCAGCTATCACCATACAAAATTTCATTAAAATCTCTCCAATGGTTTTTCTGTGATGCGGTAACAGACAGACAAACAGACAGACAGACAAAAATTGTTAAAAACTATAGATTCGGCCTCTGTATCTATAATAATGTCTATTTCCATAAGATTTTCCCAAAAAATATATAATGTACAGAGTACAGTCGGTTTAGTTACAATTTTATTATATGATTTTAGTAAATAAAAATCACTGGACTGTTTTTTTTTAATTATTTAATTACTTATATAAATATCACGTTACATTTGTTGTCAATTTCATACAATTATTTTATACCTACATTTACATTTAGTATTTTGATTTAGAGACGAGGTTTTCAAACTTCTGAAACAAATTTAGTACCTAAGAATATTTATTCTTGTATTAGTGTGACGTCCGAACCGATGGGAATCGAAGCTGTGACCCAATCAGATGTTAAGAGCACCCGCACACTGTAGAATTTCTAATCAAAAATGTTTGTCTGGTTTATAATAAGCGTTCTTTTTCATACTAATTCTGCAGTATGCGGGGATTCTTATTAACTGATACTGCCCCAAAATATATTTCCATACATTTAATGTGAACTCTATATTGTAAAATTTGTGACTTCCATATTATAGCAAGTCTCGCTTCCTTATAATATATATATATATATATATATATATATATATATATATAAAATTGATACGGTATGTACGTCATTAGTACGACATAGCTTTAGCAATGTGGACGATTCAACATAAATAAGTTAAAATCTCAGACTAAAGAATTATATAGACGGATTCCGTTAAAATAAATGTCAAAGTCAAAAATAGTAGCGTGATTTACTGTATATGCTACTATTTTCGATTTTGACATACAGAATAAAGATAGTTTTATTTTTTTAAAGAATAAGGGAAATTTCATATATGTACTTATTATTAAATTAATATACAATTTTTGAGAATGATATATATGAATAATAAAAATAATACGAATTGTCATTTACCTATATAAATTTTTTAAAGATTATTGTTTGGCTTCATGTTTAGTTCTATGACACACTGTCCATATCATACCTTAGTCTGAGGTTATAACAAAATTTTCATTATATTATAAGTAAAATAAATACCAATCTATACTTAGTGACTTATATTTTTTTTGTAACTCCCTGTATTATAATGATCTCCAAACTAGTTTTTTTATTATTATTAATATTATAATTCAAAATTTAATATTTTTGAAGTTATACTCCTTTTGGCACGTTTGGAAAAAAATATGAGAGTAAAATTTTTACGATGCGCGCGCACACCGACAGCCAAAAAACGACATGATGGAGTTAGCTGAAAGCGACATGATGAAGTTAGCTGCATTTCTTTCACAAACAGAGAGTTGTGACATACGGGATGAAATATTTAGCTATTTTTGTTCTGTTACGCCAAAGATGTATAACTTCTTACGTGCGTACATAAGTACACACACACACATTTTTTTTATATATTTGTGCATTATTATTTATTATATCGAAAAATCATAGAAATTAAATAATCCTAATAGTTAATTATTTGAACAATGACTTTATTTTTTATACAAAATACAAATTGAAATGTATAGACCAATATTAAAAATTAATTTAGTATTTTTTTAGATTTACACAAATATTTGATACTTTAAATAAAACTATCTTTTCGGATTTTTTCTCTCCCGTGACCATGGATGCTGTAAAGCATTCGAAACGTCGGGAACCCAAAATCAAAATAAATTCCCTAAACAATCCGAACAGATAGTTGTATTTAAAATTAGCATGAAAAAAATGTCATTATCTACACTAAATCAGTTTCGTGATACATTATTTTATATTTCCATGTGTTTTATTCTTGATTGTAGCAGAAAGTCCATTCATTTATATTATTATAAAGTCGAATCTATTTTATACTGGAAAATTAAAATTATACAGACAAAGTCGCGGGCCTTAGCTAGTGTAATGATATTTATCTCTAAAATCCTATTGCATTATAATATATAAAAAACTATG